CTCTTCGCACTTTATTGTTATTATTACTTATTGCTTAGACGGATGGACGAGCTCACGGTAAACATGGTGTTAAGTGGTTACTAAAGCCCATAGACATCAACCAGGTTAATGCCGCTGCTCATCTTCAGACATCTGTAAATTCTAAGTCTCAACGTTTTCAGTACAACGTTTGACACGCCCTTCAAACCGAAACGCATTACTGCTTCCCGGCAGAGATAGGCAGGGTAGTGGTACCTACCAGAGCTGGCTCACATGACATCCCTCACTAGTAATTACGAAAATTATAATTTAAGCGGGTTTTGATTTTTAATACATGGTGATATTCCTTTACAGCGGAAGCCATTCGTGAACATTTTTTATGCACGTTGTTCATTAGAAAAAATATTCCTGCCAATTTCAGTATAATGTGATTTATAATCAACCCTATATAGTCCGCATTTAATTCTGTTAGTTTCACTATTATATGCACATTGACATACATATATAAGTGGGTTTATGCAAATAAATAAAGATTCTCATTTAAGCTTAACCGCACAAACACGTTCACAATATGACGATATTAATTTAATGTCGAATCCATGATTATACATATTTCAACTTTATTATATTACGTAAGCGTATTATTATTCACAGAAAAAGCAAATATGAAATTATTGAGTAATAAAGAACTATGTTGTATGTATTTCGGTGTAAGATTATTTTGCTGTACATTGCTGACTGCATAAAACTATAGTCAGCTTTTTTATGCTGTCTCAAACCTGAGGAGAAAAGTATGGGTTTATTAAGTTATACGAATTTTTCTTAGTACATTTAATTCAGAAAACATATTAGAGGTTCATTGTCGATGAAAATTAGAGATAATTTAGGCACAATTACTATTGTATTTGTTAACCAGAGTACCTTGGCAGACCGGCGAGGTTTCCTTAATCATAACAATAAGCTGCTACTTATTTCTAAGACTACCGAAATTCGGGAAATAATGTTAAACATGTTACGATATTAAAAACGGCTTAATATGCTTTAAGATTTTATTATTCTTGGCAATGGCATAAACATACGCTTTGACATTATAAGTAAAGTAGAGGTAAGTAGGGACGGACATCGACACAGGCGTAATAAATTGTTAACATTTACATGATTTTTTTTACATTTAAACATTTTACATTTAAAATAACTGCATTCCCATCTACCCACTACTTACTACACGATTCGCCAATAATGTAGTTTACTGATAGTGTGCATTTCTTGTTTAATTACGTTAAGGTGAACACTATTAAGTTCGTGCAACAAAAATAACAGTAATTATAGCATTTTAAAGTTAATTTTACTTGTGTTCATCTGAATTGTCCTATCAGTGTGCTTAATGCGAGTTTTTTGACGTTCTCGATAGCGTAAAAGTTAGCTCAAATTTGTATGGAGTTGGAACGTTTGCCTACGTCTGCCGCTAGAGGGCGCTGTTCGATCCCGTTAACGAGAACGTTAAAAAAGTCGCACTTAGCACATAGATCACAATACAATTATAGGGTGAAGAAAGGTTTGTCACTATTCCTGTGAAATTAGATACTTCAATTCTCGTCTCAAGGTTTACCGGTTAAATCTTACTTGTGCAATTAAGGTAGCCGTGTCTATTCATAACATCATTTTATTTCAAAATATTCTCATGATGATAGCGGGACAATGTTTTTCAATCTATGTTATTTGAGAGAAAATATTTCGTTCTAAGCGATTCTATTCAAGTACTCTTAAAGATCCGCTGAATTGCGGTTAATAGCGACGTCATTGCTTAATGACTTATAATGTTGATTCCGTCCGAGAGATTACGATGCACATCAATGGGTCAGAAAAACTTGGATCTACTCGGGATCGCTCCGTCTTTGGTATCACCTAATGGTAGGGTAACTATTTGAAATGCTTCGTAATATAATTCTCATTTGTGTATTTTTTCTTATATCTGTAGCGTGCAACATTGGCGTATCTAATTCGCACTCGGGAGTTATCGAGCGAAATCGGTATTCCCGAATACGCACTGGATGTTATAATAGCCGGCAAACTTCTTGAGCATTTGTTGACGTAGTGGGGGTAAGTTTGCGCATGGTACACTCACGTGCAAAAACATTATTTACTCTGCGTCATAATACAATTAAATTATTAAAATCAACATATGTATTTATTTATATATTTATGAGAACATCAACAAAAAATACAGGTTAATAATTGTAATAATTTAATCTTGGGGTAAAATAGATATTCCTTCTATTAAGTCAAAACTAGAGCTGTTGCCAGGTCTTGGTTCAGTTAAAGCGAAGCTGGTATTTGTAATTTTTTTTTCGTTATCATAATCTTGACCATCATCATCATCACTGTTTTCATCACCCGAGTCGCTATCATCGTGATGAGTCGACATAGGGCTCATCGGCGTAGTTTACAACTCGGTCGATTCGGTCTTCTTTTTTGTCTATAATTAATTATTTTTTGAAGATATTCGATTCGTAGTAATCGAATGTTACTTTTTTCATTTACCAGCTTCCGATTATTTTCTGTTCTTTTTTTCCATCTGAAGCCTAGCTCTTTCATAATTCGTCGTAAGCTTCATTCCGAGCCATTAAAATTTATATCTTCTTTAAATTTTTCGAAGCCTTTCTACGGTACGGAGTTTCGCTGCTTATTATGTAGTTATTATGATTACATCTTTTTATTACAGATTGAACGAAACTATCCATTCCGGTAACTTTCTTCTTCCCTGATCTTTTCTTACCCGGAGTCCCAAACACGGCGAGCAAGCCAGAGCCTTTAGCTTCGCTAATAATGCACCTAACAGTACTCACGGATGTTTTTGTTGCTTCCGAAGTCTGTTTTACTTTTCCATATCATTCTGCCCCTGTTTTATAATGAAGCAATATACGTCGTACACAATTTTTCTACCCTTTCTTTTGAATACTACACCAGTTTGTTGCGGCATAGTGTATTTTTTATAAAAAATTAACAAACACTCAACAAATAGCAATGGCAACAAAGTCAACAAGCAATTATAACAAATAACTTAACGATTAATAACGATAGTTCACTGTACGCAAGCGTACTTTTGGGAGCAAGCGGAACGAAGGCGCGGTGCGGGACGCAAGGTTCGACTGATCTACCAATAACGCGCTCGATACGATTTCCCCTGCCGTCGCGCCTCACCCTCACCACCAAAGTGATCTAAAATTCGGTTCTGCGCAGTCAAGGTCATTTGCTCAAGAAGTTTGCCGGTTACTATACTAGATGTCAGTCGATAACAACTCGCGCGCCGATTTATGGTTTAACTTGAAAATAATATTTTCGGAATATACGATAATTGCTTTCTCCTAGTGCCTGGCTTCCTTTTCTCAGTTTCTTATGTAATATATTGTATACTAACTGTAATTGCTTAGAAGGGTGGACGAGCTCACAGCCCACCTGGTGTTAAGCGGTCACTGGAGCCCATAGACATCTACAACGTAAATGCGCCACCCACCTTGAGATATTAGTTCTAAGGTCTCAGTATATTTACATTCTTAAAATGTGGTTGATTTGGATTTGAAGAATATCTAGTACAGTAGTCAAACGTGCACTTAACAGCTATTGTAAGGATTAAACATTTTTCAAACATTTGACGACAGTGGACGCAGTATGTAGGCAGATTTCAGTACTAACATTTTATAAATATGAATAGGTATCTACAATTTCTGAATTTGCAGTTTTAGAATAAATATGTTTTTGAATTAAAAATATTCAATAAGTCACTGAAGGATTACACAGCACAAAAACATTACATGAAAAACATTAATCCATGGCAATTACTGTTGTTTTTAAAGTCACAGCTGTTGGACCTAATGGCCGCTGTTTTGTTATATTACTTCGTTTATCAAACGGGTGCACGAGACCACGAGCATCTGTGAATGAGTTTTATAAATTCAATTTTGACTAGTGGATCTAGTGATAGAACTAACGATATAATTTATCAAATTCCAACATTGTATTGTGATCAATAACTGAGTCGTAGAAAGGAAACATTTTTATTTATACCAGACCTCTCGTTCAATAACTATGTAATTGTAAAGGATTATGGTCGTATGAACATAGCTGCACGATTTAAGGCTTACTTACAGACAAAAATACGATTCTAGGGATGGGTCTGATTCACGATATGATTAATAGTATTCTTGATTGTCCAGATCTCGTAGCTGACTACTACAGGTATTAACCTGCCCCAGAAATCAGACCGTAGTCTATCAGTTGTGGAGTATATCGGATGCCTTACCTTACGCCTTTTTTTTTCTACCTAAGCTGCTAGCCTTGAGAGGCTATTTCAGCGGAACCTTAACTAGTAGGTGAGCTCACGGGGCTCAAACCTGACGAAGTTGCTAACACGAACCCTAGCAAGAGCCGTGCTTCCCAGAATCTACCACTGTATCGGAAACGCGACCCACTGAGAAGATCCGGCGAGAAACTCAGTGGGCTGTGTCTGAGGGTTAAACCTTACGCCTTGCCTTACCTGCCATTTTATGCCTTACCTTGCCTTACTTTACCTAACACGGACGGTTCCAAGAAAATCAAAAGATACCGTCAAAAAATCCTCCCACTTTCCAGATACTTTTAACGTTCAGGGTATAATTTCTTTGTGTGATTGTATGTCGGACGAGAGTGTGGAGGAATCGTTTAGTGGGTGGATCTTTCCTAACTTCAGCCCTGGCGTTTACCATCTACGACGGTGACTGTTACTATCTTCGACCACCAAGTCCCTTGTAACCCATTCGTCCCCTACTGAACCAGATCAGTAGAAAATTGTAGTAGTCCTTATCAATAATGTGGAAGCCGTCAATAAAAAAGAAAGACTTGCATACAAAGTATATTTATATTTCATAGCATTTCATAAATCTGTTTACAATATTTTCGTAAAAGTAGCATAGTGCGAATAAAAAAAACTTAAACATCCGAACCTCAAGCTGGTATGGTGTTGTGTAGAAAATACCACGGAAAATACATTATCGTACACCAAAATACGGCACACTACTCAGTTCGAGGTATTGGCGTTCTTATCACTTTAAAAGATCTGTTTCGGACCAATATACACCGGAAACAAAATTAAGTGAAACCTTCTTAATTCTTACTTAATTTGAAAAAAAAAAAACATTAATTATTATTTAATTATTAAGTTAATTTGGAGGCAAAACGACAACGGGCTCTTCAACAATCCGACCGTCGGGATGGAATATTTTTGTTTTTTGAACAATTATCGGTTGGGTATCTGAAACAATTGAACTGTACGATAATTACGATACATCAATATCGCCTTTAGCAATAATCTTTTATCAATAATAATTCACATAGATATGTAGACTAGACAAAGAAGATTATGAAGATGATTTTTTTTTTACTGCCCTTGTAGGCAGACGAGCATACGGCCCACCTGATGGTGAGTGGTTACCATCGCCCGTGGACTTCAGCAATGCCAGGGGCAAAGCCAAGCCGCTGCCTACCTAGCCAAGCCGCTGCCTACCAAACTTTTTACTGGTAGTAGGACCTCTTGTAAGTCCGTACGGGTAGGTACCACCACCCAGCCTATTTCTGCCGTGAAGCAGTAATGCGTTTCGGTTTGAAGGGGGGGCAGCCGTTGTAACTATACTTGAGACCTTAGAACTTATATCTCAAGGTGGGTGGCACATTTACGTTGTAGATGTCTATGGGCTCCAGTAACCACTTCGCACCAGGTGGGCTGTGAGCTCATCCACCCATTTAAGCAATAAAAAAAATAAAAAAATCTTATTTGTTATTGTAGTAACATTGTATGAGGCAAGGACGAACTCAGAGCTGATCTGACGTTAAGCGGCAGCTGAACCCATCAATTGAATTGAAATGATGCTTGTTCTGATATTCAAGTCAAAACAAACGAACGGCAAAAATAAGCACGATTATGGTGTGACTATTAACACTAATTATCCGTAGTGCATGTGCTAGGTAGATTACCCCACCTAGAAAACATAATGGTGTTTATATGCCAAAATCGAACCATAGCAACTGGCAAGACCAAAATTATAATAGACTTCACACAAGACCATTCTATATTTTTGGCTCCGGAAAATTGTCATTTTTGTATAGCTTTGGCGGATTAATTAACTCATGGGCCACCTGGGGTTAAAAGGTTATCGGAGCCCGTAGATACAAAACCAAAGTCTCACTCCTATAGCTCAATGGCTATGGAATGCATTACTGCTTTGCGGCAGAAATAGGTAGGGTTGTGGTACCTACCTATATGGCTCACAAGACGCTCTACTACCAATAAAAATAACGTAAAACACAGAGCTAATTTTGGTAACACGTGTTTCAAACATTATATCTAAAGAGGCTTCATCAAAAATGTACAGAAAAAAACATTTTGGGTGAATATGGGTGAGACGAGTTGGCTCTAGAGTGACATTCGGTGGCTACCTAATATATCGTAAAAGGCGGGACACCTCGTAAAATTTTATGTTTCTCCCTCAATCTTGACACCTTCTCAATGTTATTACGCTACGATTTCCATGTAATAGCAAAAATACGTTTTACGCAATAAATTTCATTTATATGACATCGTTTAAGTAATCTTTGGGAAGAGGCCATTTTAATTAAATTTGCATTTTATAAGAGAGATGTTTAAGCACTTGTTGTATGTTGTATTGTTGATAAAAATTAAGATGATGAAAATTTTCTAAAATTAATTCTTTAAACAAAATAGGTAACAGACAAAAACAAGGCGCAAAATATGAAAAAGAAAGACAACAAATACATTACAAATAAAATAAGATGACTTTATCGTGTGAGAGTTTGCAGCGACTTGTAAGGCTAATTAATGTACGTAATGCTAATACGTACATTACGTACATTAGACGTAGAAGTACGTAAGGTTTTTAAAGTTGACAGCGGCTTGACTCTGCCCCTGGCATTGAATTGCATTGCATTAGCAACGATAACCACTCACCATTAGGTGAGTCTTAAGCTCATCTGCCTAAAAGGTTCAAAAAGGTTATTTGTTCAGCGAGAATACTCGTTACAGCCTGCGCCCAGTTAGGTATCATCATCATCATCATCATCATCAGCCTTTATCTGCCCACTGCTGGACATAGGCCTTCCCCAATGCCTTCCACATAATGCGGTCCTCCGCCTTCAATTATTATAAGGTATCAATCTAATGAAATTATTATTAAGAAAGGTGACCTTTGGAATGAAACAGTTAATTTACCAGCGTAAAGCGATAAAATAATTGAAACCGCGAATCTACTGAGTTATCCGTTATGTATATTTACCTCCTTGTTTCTTCCAAGTCTTTTCAACATACTGCTGAACTATAGTGCCATTCGGATAAATGATCGTCTGTGTTTCCTTTTCAACAACAGGCTGATCATGAGCTTGAAACAAATACACGACATCGTACGTGATGTTCCCGTTTTTTATCTTCTGCCAGAAGTCAGCATCGACTTTGAACATAACGGTGTTATTGTCAGCAGGATTCGCGACTGCATCATCTGAATCATATATGAGATTTTTTTTAAATATTATAAACAAACTTATGTGGAATACTTAAGTACAATTGTATAATACTAAAGATTTTTTAGATATTTTTGGTTTGCAAGAAGCAATTTGAAGCTGAAACGATATTTCGGTACTACTACTAATTCAGTTACAATACTTACTCTGAACTAATAGAAAATAATGTTAATTTTATTTAAATATTACATGATACATATTTTGTTAACTAAACGTAACTGAAAATGGAGTCAAATGTCGAACGCTCGAAGTAACTCCCTTCTGACAAAAACTTTTGTCAGAAGTTGCAAATTGGATGAAACGAAAAGCGACACCCAACAAAGACAAAAATTTCAGTACTTCTGTAAGATCTATTTGGATACGGAGTCCCAGCCTTCTCGACGTACTAAAGTTCTAGCTTTTATAATACCTTTCCATTCTTTATCTATGTAACTTCCGCCCTAATTCCTACTTTGATTCACAGAATAATCATTCATGTTACTTTGAGCTTATAGAACAGCAACTATACCTATACAATTGAGACTCCGACCGGATTATTCGAAGTGGGCTATAATAGTCACATTGTAATCTAAATGGACTCCGGTCTGACTATGAATAAATTCAAAAAATAAAAATATTAATAATTAGAATATCATTACAGTAACATAATATTATTAACTATTTGTAGTCTACTTTTTCAGTCCACTAAAATTGTGTGTAAAGTAACGTTTACAATTAATACCCACTCCATTACATTGTCTGTTTTACCATCAAAATAAAAACGCTTCATACCGTTTAAAGTGAAAATATCCGGAAGCGTATCCGGTTTCGTATTTGAAGTAATCGTTTGATCTTCTTCGTCGCCTTTTATACTGGATTGGATTACAGTGGGATTCACAATCCTCTCCCTTACATCTGGATAAACTTCATCCTGAGTGTCCAACGTCAAAACGAAAGGTTTTCTATTATTTCCGTTTGCGTTATTCTCGTTAAAAATATTAAAGGTTTCATCACTGCCAATGAATGGATTGGGTATTTCTTCGTTGTCGATAGCTTTAGCTTCCTGAGAGAATACGTCTACGTCTTCATCAAGACTCTCTGTACTAACAGTAGTCATACTGTCCGTATTAAATAAAATAGCCACATCATCAAAATTCATTTGATCGTCCTCTAAATTTATGGGCTCATTAGCAATGTTATTATTTTCTGACAATGGATTCATTGAATCAATGTATTTAATTTCATTCAATATATTTTCAGTACTATCAGTCAGAATAATATTCAATTGATCTTCAGAATTATCAGTTTTACTAGACAAAAGATCAAGAATATCATCGTTTCTGGCATCTACAGTAAGAGTTTCAGTACTTTCAGTTTGTCGATTATCTTCAACTGTGGAATGATTGTGTAATGAACTAATTGTTGGCGCTACATAACTTTCAGCAACACTCGGCTTTGAAGTATCTAAAACGAAAATTTAGGAATAAAGTATTTTCATTGATTAACTGTGTATATAAATACTATTAAATACGAAAGATTGTTTGTTTGTCATCATGAAAATTTGCGTTCCATACAAAAAAGCTTGTAGGATAGGAATATTAAAATTTATTAACGCAAACGATAACAGCAGGCAGCAGATTGGCTCTGCCCCTGGCATTGCTATCGTCCATGGGTAACGGTAACCGCTCACCATCAGGTGGGCCGTATGCTCGTCTGCCTACAAGGGCAAAAAAAAAAAAACGTAATGTTCCTTTTCGGAATTTCAGATTTGTCAGATATTTATGAAATATATTACAATATAATATATAACGCAACTGTGTGTTGATATTCAAACTGTCATTTAAAGTCACTAATAATATGACAAAACTCCATTTTAACTGTATTTTGTATTATTATGTTGACAGTGTGTGTTGATACTCAAACAGTCATACAGAGTCAGTCATAATAAAACAAAACTCGATTTGGAACTGTATTTTATGTATTCATAATAATATGAACATAAATATAAGATGAAAATCATTTTTTTTAACAATGCCTTCTTGATATCTAAAAGAACTCATTGTATACTCACCATTTTTCTTGTTGTTCAATGGACTTAACAGTGAACTCACTGTGGTGCTCTGTACGTTTTCCCTTTCTTTGTCTTCGTCACTTGTAAGCGGAGATACCACATTACTATTTGTAGCACCATCTTCACTTTGTTCTCTAAACCAATTAGCCTCATTAACGAAAAAATCTTTTTTTTCTATAACTTCAACAGGTTTTTCATTTTCTATATCTTTCGCTTCTTTTATTTCTGGAACTGTACTAAATGTAAATGTAGTTTCTTCGGGGAACATTTTTGTTTTATTGTTTGAAAAGTGATCTTCTTCAGTGATATTACTGCTTCTAAGCGGCTCAGAGTTTAAGTACCAGGGTTCTGGTGTTAAGTGGTCGTTGTTTGGAATAAGTGGTTCATTCAGCGGTTCATCGAAAGTAGCTTTTTCTAAGGACTTCTCCATAGGAGAACTAGGTTGATTAAATATATTATCATCCAAAACGGAATCTAAGATTTCGCGACCTACTGAACTATGATGATGATGATGCTTTACAACTGGTCGACCCGTGTCACTTGGTGTATCAGTTGTGGTTGTCTCATTTTGTAAATTAACCGTTTTTGCTTGAGATTTATATTTATCGAAAGATATGTTTTGTCTTAAAAATTCACTTGGATTATAATCCTCTGGATTTGAATTGTGTTCACTATTGTTCTTAGTAACATAATTCGTGGACAATGTACTAGTTTCGATAGATTTCTCTGTTGCAGCAACGGGAATAATAGATTCATCAAAAATAGATTTCGGTTTGTCGTGTTCATTGTCTTGTGCCGAAATCCGCATATTAGGCATTACCTCCTTATTAAGTTGATGGGCTTCTGTACTAAACAAGCTTACATGAGGAGCTTTCTGTGGGAAATTATCAACTGCAGATGGATCTTCTTGTACTAACGGCTTATTGTATGGTACTGATTTCATATTAAATGCAGTATTTGGAGCCGTATCTTCTAGACGAACGCCCCGTGAAATTTCTGTTTCAATAGTTGATATTACTTGGGGCTGCTCTCTATGTCTTGGAATTGTATCTAAAGTAGCAGAATTTACACCCATATTTTCTTGTACTAAAGGCCTATTATCTGGTACTGATTTTATATTAAATGCAGTATTGGAAGCCTCATCTTGTAACTCATGGCGTACCAAGTTTTTTGTGTCGGCAATTGATGACGTCGCCCGAGGCTGATTTTTATGACTTAGATCCGAATCTAGAGCAGAAAAACTTGGAATTGCCTCTTCTTGTACCAAAGGCTTATTGTATGGTACAGATTTTGTATTAAATGCAGTATTGGGAAACGAATCTTCTCGACGATCACCCCGTGAAATTTCTGTTTCAATAGTTGATATTACTTGGGGCTGCTCTTTGTGTCTTGGAATGATATCTACAACAGCAGGATTCAGAACCACAGTTTCTTGTATTAAAGGCCTACTATCTGGTACTGATTTTATATTAAATGCAGTATTGGGAGCCTTATCATGTAACTCATGGCGTACCAAGTTTTTTGTGTCGGCAATTGATGACGTCACCCGAGGCTGATTTCTATGACTTGGATCCGAATCTAGAGCAGAAAAACTTGAAATTGCCTCTTCTTGTACCAACGGCTTATTATATGGTACTGATTTCGTATTAAATGCATTATTTGGAGCCGTATCTTCTAGACGAACGCCCCGTGAAATTTCTGTTTCAATAGTTGGTATTATTTGAGGCTGTTCTTTGTGTCTTGGAATAATATCTACAACAGCAGGATTCAGAACCACAGTTTCTTGTACTAAAGGTCTATTATCTGGTACTGATTTTATATTAAATGCAGTATTGGGAAACGAATCTTCTCGACGATCACCCCGTGAAATTTCTGTTTCAATAGTTGATATTACTTGGGGCTGCTCTTTGTGTCTTGGAATGATATCTACAACAGCAGGATTCAGAACCACAGTTTCTTGTACTAAAGGTCTATTGTCTGGTACTGATTTTATATTAAATGCAGTATTGGGAGCCTCATCTTGTAACTCATGACGTAACAAGTTTTTTGTGTCGGCAATTGATGACGTCACCCGAGGCTGATTTCTATGACTTGGATCCGAATCTAGATCAGAAAAACTTGAAATTCCCTCTTCTTGTACCAACGGCTTATTGTATGGTATTAATTTCATATTAAATGCAGTATTTGGAGCCGTATCTTCTAGACGAACGCCCCGTGAAATTTCTGTTTCAATAGTTGGTATTATTTGAGGCTGCTCTTTGTGTCTTGGAATAATATCTACAACAGTAGGATTCAGAACCTCAGTTTCTTGTACTAAGGGTCTATTGTCTGGTACTGATTTTATATTAAATGCAGTATTGGGAACTTGTAACTCATGGCGTAGCATGTTTTTTGTGTCGGCAATTGATGACGTTACCCGAGGCTGATTTCTATGACTTGGATCCGAATCTAGAGCAGAAAAACTTGGAATTGCCTCTTCTTGTACCAAAGGCTTATTGTATGGTACTGATTTCGTATTAAATGCAGTATTGGGAGCCGTATCTTCTAGACGATCGCCCCGTGAAATTTCTGTTTGAATAGTTGATATTACTTGGGGCTGCTCTTTGTGACTTGGAATCGTATCCACAGCAGCAGGATTCAGAACCACAGTTTCTTGCACCAAAGGCTTATTATCTGGTACTGATTTCGTATAAGCAGTATTAAGCGCAGTATTGGGAACAGTGTCTTGTAAATCATCACGTAGCAAAAATTTTGTATTTGATGACTTCACCCGTGGTTGGCTTCTGTAACTTGAAATTGAATCTAGAACAGCAGGATTTTGAACCGCATTTTCTTGTAATAAAGGTTTATTGTATGGTACTGATTTCGCGTTAAGTACAGTATTGCCAACGGTGTCTTGCACATCATTATGCAGAAAAATATCTGTGCCAGTAGTTGATGATACCACTTGAGGCTGGTTGATCACTTGAGGCCTGAAAGTTGGATGTGATTCGCCTTCATTTGTCTTTCCCAGGATGTCTTTCGCATTTACCAAAACATTGTTCTTATTTTCATGTGGTCTCAAGTTCCCTACCAGTTCTACATTTCCTCTAGGGTTATCTATCATAAACGTTTTATGATTTGTATCCAAATTAGTATTTGTTCCAGTCGCCAATCTATTCCGCATTTCTGGGACTATAATAACGAAAAACTTTATTAGTTTAAAAAATAATATGCACACAACTATGCAAAATTATCTATGTTATTCGAAACAAAGTTAATACTCATAAATATATGAAAAAAATATATATAAAGCTCCGTCTGTAATGTTTATAATAAATAAAAGCAAAAACGAAGATAGTCAGAATATAAAATTAATAGAAAAATCATCAAACTTATCCAATTGAAGAGAAACGATTGCATACCAATAACCGCTTATTAACCTTACATCTGATTTAAGAGGAACTTGAAGTTAATCATATTCTGTCTAACTATTAATTTAATAAAAACAAATTGGGACTGATTTGATAGCTGAATTCTTCGACCTACCCAACCTACTTATACTCCCCTCAATTTCCTACCTAACTGCATAGTTTCTAAAGCCCTATGTTCTGATAGTAATACATGTCAAACTATTACAAAATCACTTCAGAACTTTAGATGATCGAGCGCTATCTTTTATTTATCATGAAATCACCTGTTAGATTCAATTAACTTCAAGTTCTTACTTATATATCTATTGCAGCGGCGAAAGTACGAAGTAGTGGAAAATTTTATATATAAATATGTAGGTACATAAAATAAATAATATATATATATGTAGGTACATAAAATAAATAAAAGATAGCGCTCGATCATCTAAAGATCTGAAGTTATTTTCTATTCACGTCTTTTGCACTCAGGAAGAGATATTTATATCTGATCTGTCAATGAGTGTTGATATCCGATAAAAAAAATATTCGCGGATAGATTTGGTCTGAATTTAATTTTAATATAACTTGCATTTAAAAGGAAGCTATACTTACGTCTATTATCTCCAGGTATATATCCAGCATTCATCTGTGAGTTTGTTGCTAGATTTCCGTTTACAATTCGAGGTAGGTGTTCCATTGGGGATTGATATTTATTTTGTGTGAACTCAATAGTGCTCCTGGCTATTTCTTTAGGATTTACTGAAGGTTCATTACTTAGATATTGGGTTTTATTGTCATAAGCCCCGCGCATGTTTTGTACCCACGGTCGCTGTACTTCTGCATTAGGAACATTCATGTAATTTGATCTAAATTGTGACGCTTGAAGTCGAGGTAGGGGTTGTTGATTATAGTAATTGGGAAGGACCGATCTAGGGTATTGCCCCTGTGGATTTCCATTTTGTGAAACTGAAGTTAAAGGTTCCCGAATCGGTTGAAAATAAGTCTGCTCAATAACGGGATTTTGTCTGACTGGGGGTACATTGATTTGTTGAAATTGCCTTAATCCATTTTGTCCGTTGTTTTGATAATAATTCTGATCATTTCTCGTACCAGTAACTCTATATCCCGTTGGAGTTTCAGACGCTTTCGGCAATGCGGCAAGTGGTGGTGCACGGAATTCTTCATTGGGAGAATTTATTCTACGTTGCGCCATTTCTTGATAATAAGGTTTTTGATATACAGGGGCATGAAAATTTTGAGGTGGTGCAAAATTTTGATTTTCCCTCGCTTGAAGGTTTGATGGCCAATTGATAGCAGGGTATGCTCTTTGTCTCACATTTTCCTCATTATAAGGAATAGATACTGAAAGGCGTGGCAATTTAATTTTTTTAATTAATTTAATATCAAACTATAAGTGTACTGTTATAAAAATAAATCATCATTACTTTTAATAAGGCTATGGGCCTTAAAATAGTAATTAAAATGGCAGACCGTCACTTCTAATAAAATAAGTTAAATGAACAAATCGTACATGTTACACATTATGCAGGTTTTTTTAAGTTAAACAAATTTCTTAATTTTTATACGTAACTAGTTGTATTTATAACAAAAACTTACCAACAATTTTAGAGCTAAATACCACAAGGAATATTAAATTCACTTTGTATTCCATAGTTTTGGCTACATCGGCGATATTTCACACAACACTGTTAATTCCCGAGCCCAGGGCTCTTGTTAAAGCAGTATATTCCAAAGTAAATAAAGCCCGCTGAAAAGCTGTTCACACAATGACACGACCTTATTGTGTATTATAACGTTTGTGGCGTTTTTGATTTGTTCACATGTTACATTTTGAAATACGTCACAAATGAATTTGGGCCTCTTCTTTTAGTTTTAGTCAAACATAAAAGAAAAAAAAATACGTAGAACGTGGTACGACATAGTTAATTGACAGTATTATTCTATTGTTTTTCAACTTGTTTACGCAAGACAAAGATTTATGTGTTTGTTTCACTTTTAATACACTTTGTACTCATGTTATAGGTGTTTGGTATTGTTTCTGCTACGTCATAAACTTGTGAAAAAAATTTTTTAGGGTTCAAAGTCATTTTCTTATTGGATTGTAAGAACACAGATTCTTTTTTTTTATTGCTTAGATGGGTGGACGAGCTCACAGCCCACCTGGTGTTAAGTGATTACTGGAGCCCATAGACATCTACAACGTAAATGCGCCACCCACCTTGAGATATAAGTTGTAAGGTCTCAGTATAGTTACAACGGCTGCCCCACCCTTCAAACCGAAACGCATTACTGCTTCACGGCAGAAATAGGCAGGGCGGTGGTACCTACCAGTAATTACGAAAATTATAATTTTGCGGGTTTCACTTTTATTATACGATGTTATTCCTTCACCGTGCAAGTCAATCGTTTTCTATAGCCTAAAACATTCATTAGTGCAGTGCGCATTATTTTATACATGCACCAGTTTTATACAGGAACCCAGCCCGCTTTGCTGGCCGACTTAAGATTCTTTGCTATCAAACGACACACCCGCCAGGCAAATCTAGAAATATCCTTTTTTTGTATTGAAATTTGGTGGGGCCGCTTCGGATTCCATGGAAAAAATATTAATCATCGACTTTTATATTATTATCGTTTCAAAAATATGATGCTGATTCTAAATTGTTTTTATAGACCTTTACATCATAAAATTGGCCATTTAACTATAGTTTCATACTGATTTTAGAAGATTACGGCCGAAAACAAACAATGAACTAGCATCTCAACTATTTTGTTAAATAAAACTGTTATAATAATGCTTCCTGAATGCTAATCTTCATGAATATTAAATTATGTGTGCTTACTCATAATATTTAAATACATTTTAATCATATATAAACAGTAATGTAATATAATAACGTTGTGACACAATTTCATTGTTCAAATATAATTAATTAAATTAATTGAATAGCTGAGAGTTTTGCAAATGAATAAAAATGGGGGTAAGATATTATTCATACACATAGTTATTCTACAAACAAATTTGTGGATTTTGTTCATGGATAACTAATATCCTGATAAAAATTAAAAGCTTAAGAAAAATAATAATTAAGGTATGTTTTGTAAAATGATTTTGTAGTTTAAATCTAAAATATATCAAAAACAAACCTTCCTTTTGGTGATTGAATAAACGGGGTGTAGGAATATACGACAAAGGGAAGATCTTCCACCGAGCGGGTGATATTGCTCGGTAGACCGACGGTCCGAATGTTGTTGTTCGGAACTTGTATATATGCGCTTTATCTTGGAAATGTCGTAAGCGAGATTCAGGCATCTGTCAATTATCTTGCGTTGTATGATGGCTACCCGCCACAGGGGGCTGGAGGAGACAGTACAAGCGTGCATCCCGGCCCCTGTAGGTGGCGGCTTCCCCCAGGACCTGAATGAGTCGAGGCCGCGCGGCGCGCTACCGGCACTCTAGCGCGCTGCCGAGGAGTAAGAGAGCAACCGGTTGACGGTGAATCGCGTCCCGACCCGGCAAGCTGGTTCTGGTCCAGCGGGGTATTCCGGGACACCAGCGGCACCGTCTGGACGGCCTGACGGGCTGCCGTACCGAAACGGCCGACGTTTCAGAGCCTTTGAAGGCTCCGTCGGCCGGGCGTCCTTAGGGTGAGCTGCGCCGTCTGTTTGTAGTATTAACCGCGGTAAACCCTTTACCTCATCCGGGTTCCGAACGCTTGAGCGAGGAGTACAGGGGAGTCGTTTAGTGGGTAGGGCCCTGAAAACATCCTTGGGCGCCCGGTCTCGCAGTCGCTGACCAGCCCCACATACCCCACGCGCCCCCTAGGCGCTGGTAACTTGCAGGAGGTTCGGCCAGCGGCCTGAAAAAAAAATTGTGATTGAATAAAGGAAATTACGGAACTTCCGTAACCTGCAACCGAGTACAGTGCTTCTAACATGTCTCATAAAATTCACGGGAAAAAACAGGTGAGCTAAGGATTCTTTCCGATTTATACTCGAAACCTGGGTAAAGTTAAATTCCAGGGATTCATAAAACGTAATAAAACACGAGTGTAGTAAAACACAAAGTAAAACACGGTTTTGACACAGGGAACAGTCGCTGTTTCACTGGAACACAAAAACATTATTAATTCTGTAACGATGGAAAACATTTGAAATGTATTCAGTTGGTTTCTCGGATAAATAAAATTATAAAGAAAGTTAGTTTTAATGTCTTCGATTATGATACATTTACGATCATATGCTATGATAAATTTTAAATTTAATTGGTTTTTTTCTAAGACAAGGCAAGAAACGATGCATTCCAGTTTGAATTCCTACGCTTAATTAACTTAATTCTAAAGTATATTCTTATTTTTAAACTCGTATTGCCCGACGTGAATCCTCAATTTTTTCCAAAAAGTCCATTAAGTGGGGATAATTTAATACATTGCATCCCATTTCAATTAATTTCATGTTAATTAATTTAATTTTGATTCCGTGCATTTTTACTTCTTCCAGAACAGCCATGTCTTCCATCTTTCATGGAAATATATGGCGTGTAAGTTTACGACGAAGAGAAGATCTTCCACCGAGCGAGTGATATTGCTTGATAGACCGACAGTCCAAATGTTGTTGTTCGGAACTTGTATAATAATATATGCAAGCTTATCTTGAAAATGTCGTAAGCGAGATTCAGGCGTCTGTCAAATATCTTGCGTTGTATGATGGCTACCGCCACATCACTCCCCTCCGAGACTGGAGGTCGTGTCATTAAGCTAGCGTTGTCCGTGCTGAGATTAGCTTGCAAGTGCCAGTGCTGTCAGTGAAGTCCACGACGCTCGAAGTCTACGACGCTCGAAGTCTGCTACGCCATGCTTATCGGTCATGCTTATTTCTGCCGCAAAGTAATCAATTAAATTTGAAAATTGGAGCAGTCATTACGTAATACAATTTATTATTATTATTATTAAAGCCTCATGTCTCAAAGAACCGGAACGACAAATTACCAGGTAGATCCGTTACTAATGTGCCTAACTACAACAGCTAAAATACATATTTCTATTTGCTAAAAACTCTAAAGGGATAAACAAAATCAGACGTCGCATTAAAACATTATTATAAACAGATTTTGGGCTATAAGGTATACGAATACATTATGTATGTTCTATAAATTTATTATATTAAACGGCATGTTACATTCTAACCGTTGTTTTATCTCAACTACCGTATTCCTCAATCTCTGGTTAAATAACGATCCTTTGAGTGAAGGTAACGGTAAACCTAAAGTTCTTCTTTTAACCATACCCATTTATTGGTGGCCTAAGGGGCTATCACTGTAATTGAAACTCTAGTAAAGGTATTATCATTTCAATTATCTCTAAATTAATACGTGAACCATAAACTTTGTACCACTTTTTACGAAAATTGCGCGAACGGAGGAGTATGAAATTTCCAACACTTATAGAAAATACTAGCTGGCCAGACAAACGTTATTTTGCCATATAAATTATTTCTAGGAGAGATAAATAAACTAGATACCGACTGCAGCGCCATCTTCCGGGCTGATTTGTAAATCTAAGCCATTCTCGAATCCACCTGAAGGTACACAGAAAGTTTTATTAAAATCGGTCCAGCCACTTAGGAGGAGTTCAGTGACAAACACACGCACAGAAGAAATCTAAATATAAAGATAGAGGAGTACAGAATGCCACTTTTTTTAAAATTATGCATTAACATTCAATCAATAAAAAAGCATTACACACACACACTACCATGTATTTGACACACACATATACATAATTTAAACTCTTTGTTTATTGTCAAACTTTTGTTATTGCTTAAAGTCTGTGGTCAAAATAAAAATAGGTTAATATTGTTTACCTTGAATATTATTAAAATTTGTCTATAGTGTGGTCTTGGTGAAATCTGTGAATAAAGAAGTATATATTAATTAGTCTATGACAATAGAACCTTAATGTTCAAACTTATAATTTCAATTAATTATAGTCGAATTTCAACTATGTACTGCGGGACCACTAGTTATCACTACATAGTATAAAACAAAGTCGCTTTCTCTGTCCCTATATCCCTATGTATGCTTAAATCTTTAAAACTACGCAACGGATTTTGATGAGGTTTTTTTAATAGATAGAGTGATTGAAGAGGAAGGTTTATAATAATAATATATGTATAATAACATCCATTAAATAGTGGAGAAATACTGGTATCATAAATTACAGTTTCCTAAGCGAAGCGAGGGCGGGTCGCTAGTAAGCGGCTTATGTAATAATAACACGTTTTTATTTACATATTTATATTAACTGTGATTATCAATTTTGTTTCGATCGGTTCCTTCGGAATAAACGTGCCACGAACGCATCCGGGTGGGTAAGACCGATTATCCCGGACTTCCGTTCCATTTGTTTTCAATACCCACTCGGCGGCCTTTGTCGGGCTTCATTGTGAAGGGACTGCTGCAGGTGGAAGAAAGGAGATAGTAGGAAACTTTATATTGTTGAGTGATATTAATGATTCAGACTTATTGAAATTAATTGAATAGGTAAAACAAAAGTAATTTTCAGTTGATTTCAAATTAAATATATAAACATTGCATCTATCATTATTTACATAGATTGTTTTAAAACAAAACAAAATTACTATTGTACATAATATACTTTGTAAGTATACAGAACTCCGCAAAAGCAAACAACACTTAAAGGTATTCGAATCGTATTTGATTTTTCAATTTCGCCTTTAAAGCTATTACTTTAAGATTCAGATTTAGAAACACAACTGTACATTAAGTATACACTTAATAAATGTGTACATTAAATAATGTATCAGAGTCGGATGTATTTAAAGGTCACATTAGTTTGAGTTCAAGACAAGGAGCCATGAGTACAACGATTTTTCGTTTTATTATTGCTTTGATGGGTGGACGAGCTCACAGCCCACCTGGTGTTAACTGGTTACTGGAGCCCATCTACAACGTAAATGCGCCAGCCACCTTGAGATATAAGTTCTAAGGTCTCAGTATAGTTACAACAGCTGCCCCCCCTTCAAACCGAAACGCATTACTGCTTGACACAGAAATAGGCGGGGTGGTGGTACCTACCCGTGCGGACTCACAAGAGGTCCTACCACCAGTAATTACGCAAATTATAATTTTTGCGGGTTTGATTTTAATTACACGATGTTATTCCTTCGCTGTGGAAGTCAATCGTGAACATTCGTCAAGTACGTATTTCATTTAAAAAATTGGTACCCGCTTGCGGGATTAGAACACCGCTCCATCGCTAGATACGAATGCACCGGACGTCTTATCCTTTAGGCCACGACGACTTCATTCCATGATATTCCATGATTTTCATTACATGATAATTTCTAGCAGATAACCCCTAACCCAAACGGCATTGAAGAACTATTTTCAATTAAAGAATATTATAAACTTATTCACGCAATATTTTTCTCTATTATATTTTTCTCTATATCTATTTTGTATGTTTAATTAACGTTGATGTGCAAACAAGTTAAACAGCTCACACTGGGTTTACACGCAACGATTATCAGAACTCGTTAACACCTCGTGTTGAGCGTCCGTGATCACTTTGAACTGAAACATAAAGTCAAAACCTTATTGTATTAGAATAACAATGGGTTATAACGGTAGTAACCAACGGGGGACCAACTTAAGGGTGATCATTTCTTTAATTAATTATAAATAAATAAAAGACGAACAAACAATTTTTACATTCGAACATTAACGAACAAACGACGGACAAATAATCAAAAATAAAATAAAACCGAAAATAAAAAAGAGGGCCAAATTTAGTGAGCCACAGCTGAGCTGTCATCAATAAAGTATTTTATCTATGGCTACCACATAGAATACGCTTTGAGAAATGTTTAATACAGACTAGTGACAGTGACTACAATTGACTACATTTTTATTGTAAATTGATGATATCACAAGTCAAAAGTTATTATTTAATTTTTCTGCGACCAAAAAATAAACAGTAATTGATTTTACAAGTTTACCGATAACAATGTATTCGTGGCAAATGTTTTTTATTTAAAAAATATGTCCGAAGAGAACAAAACGACGAATAATAAAATTGTTGATTTCGATCCTATTTTGCCCGATTCTGGGCTTCTTTTCTACGAAGAATGTCCATCTGAGTACGAAATAGAACGGCCTAAATTGTTGCCTTTGAAATCTAATACTCAAATACGTTTCGAGAAGTTACAGCACGAAGCTGCGAACGTTTGGAGAGAACAACAAAGAACAGCTAAAAGTGGAAAATTGAAGACATCATATTAAAATGGTTTACACGTTGTTCGTGGTCGAAATAATATCGGCGTTCGTGCTCGCCGCGACCCTTTTGTACCGATATGGAGATTGTTATAGAAATCACATATTGGTGACAGTATCAGTGCTAACAGCATGGTACTTTTCTTTTGTTATTATGTTCCTCTTGCCATTGGACGTGACGTCGGTAAGACCCAATAACATAATTTTCAAAATTAATAAATTTTTATTTATTGTGTTTTCGCTTATGTCTTTCATTTCATTATTTCATAAAATAAGTCACCCACTTTGAGGGTTTGTGATCTCTCTTTCATTGATTAATTTAAATATATGCATAATCACATAAATAGTTGATAAAAGGTCTCAATTTTTTTTCTAGACTGTTTACCGTCAATGTCTAGAAGATAACTCCACAATTACAATAGCAGAAAGAGCTGTAATTAACAATGTATCATCTACAACAACTCCGCCCATTGTGCCATGTCAGGAACCTTGGAGCTATGTACATAAGGAAGTTTTTACTAATCTGTGGAGGGTTGTTTATTGGACATCACAATGTCTGACTTGGTGAGGAACCACACTTTTTTCATAACTGGCTTACTTTATAAATAGTGAATTTTTAAGTGATAAGACAATATGTTCAGGACTTACCTGGCCCTGACCATAGTTTGAGACAAGCTGTAGAATTCACATTGCATCAATTATAGGTGTCCAACCCCTTAAACCATTAAGCAAGACTGTTTCATTGTAGAAATAGTATAACAACTTTTTTGACACTTCATGCTTGAGTAAAAAATAATTTAACTTCTAAACAAATTCCTATTTACCGTTTCAATTACCTGGGGGCCCACAGTTTACTATCTCTAACTGCTGGACCAAGAGTTGTGATTTAGATTCCTACTTCAGGCCAACATTTGTGATATAAATAGGCAGGGTGGTGGTGGTACCACGCTGTGCGGACTCACAAGAGGTCCTACCACCAGTAATTACGTAAATTATAATTTTGAGGGCTTAAATTTTATTACACAATGTTTTTTATTCACTGTAGAAGCCAATTGTGAACATATGTTAAGTGCCTCAGTAAAAAAATTGGTACCCACCTGAGGGATTCGAACACCGTTGCATTGCTCGACACGAATGCACCAGATGTTTTATCCTTTAGGCCACACTTCACCTTCAGACTGGCATAAAGTTCTTGAAATAACTACTTCAATACATTATTTAATAATATGTTGGTAATTATTATGGCATAAGGTTGTTCTTACATAATCTATACATCCATGAACAGTAAATTACGGTGTGAATTTTTTTACAAACTAATTCAATCGTATTCTGTGTTATATTGTTTTATTATTATTATTATTATATCAATTGTATTTTTAATTGAACCTTGAAGAAATGTGACTCAATATAAACAATATAACACAAAATGTAAGATATTACAGACATAAGCCCACAGGTGTCTATAATTTTTATATAGATTTCATTTCCATGATTCATGTATTTAGGCAATTCAAATGTTAACTATTTTAATGTATGGATCTAATAAATTTGAGTTTTTATTACTACATTTTATTAAAATATTATGAACCTAATTAGTTACTTTAATTAAGACAAAACATTTCACCAACAACATTCATGATGACCAATCATACAATTTCAGTCATAGGAGTCAGTAATCATTTTAATGTAAGTGTTAGTGAGTACATACATTATCAGTAAATCTATTTTTTTCATATCAAAAATTGTTAGAAAATGCTTGTCCTACATTTAATGGAACATCTAATTGCTTTCTTTAGTTATCCAACATATCAGTATAAAATATATCTATTAGTGAAATGATATAGTGTTATCAAAACAAACATTATTTCATTTACCTTTTGGCAATTGTAAATAAATTGATAACAGATATCAACATGTGTGAATCTTAATGTTTTTTGTATGACACGGTTTTGAAATTAGTTTTTAATTTATTTATTTATGAATCTTGTTAACAACATGTAGATATTTTCTTCACTCTATCATGAATTATGTAATATGAAATATTTTTGTACATTTTCTTTTGCATTTGATTGGATATTTCTCTATCATATGGAAGTATTGAATAACTTGAATTGCTATTGATTGATCTTACTATAAATCCCATTAATATACAAAATTTGTTCATAATACTTTGTTTTACGTACTATTATTGTGAATGAATTCTACTCCAAGTAAATCAAAGAGTCGAAATAGTAATTATGTGCTTGTCCAAAAATATAAATCTGTTCAATTAATTCTCGAATGATGTTTGCATTACAAATCATTGACTATTAATATTACTATTATGCCTTTTTTTTTTATTGCTTACATATGTGGACGAGCTCACAGCCCACCTGGTGTTAAGTGGTTACTGGAGCCCATAGACAACTATCTACAACGTAAATGCGCCACACACCTTGAGATATAGTTCTAAGGTCTCAGTATAGTCACAACCGCTGCCCCACCCTTCAAACCGAAACGCATTACTGCTTCACGGCAGAAATAGGCGGGGCGGTGTTACCTACCCGTGCGGACTCACAAGAGGTCCTACCACCAGTAAACCTTAAACCATACGACTTATGGAATTTAATTTCATTAAATTTTCCAGGTTAATAATGCCGATGATGCAGTCGTACAGTAAAGCAGGTGACTTTACAGTGAAAGGAAAATTAAAATCTGCATTAGTTGACAACGCCATATACTATGGCTCTTACCTACTGATATGTGGCATTCTCCTCATATACATTGCCTTGAAACCGGGCGTATCATTAGACGGTGCAAAAATAAAAGCAATAGCTTCATCTGCAAGTAACACTTGGGGTCTATTTTTATTGATTTTGTTACTCGGATATGCTTTAGTTGAAGTACCGAGAAATTTATGGAATAACTCAAAAAAGAATTATACATTGACATACAGTTATTTCAAAATAGCAAAACTTAGTACGGACAAGTGTGAAGCTGAGGAAACTGTAGATGATATATTAGATGTAAGTAATTTTACAGAAGTTTTTTTTTTTATTTGCCTAAAACATATGCAGATTTCCATGCCTCAAGAAAACATAAGAAATGCGCCCTGATCATAGTGGTGTAATTTCATTGGCATGATCTGAGCCCGCACAGACAGGCACCACTACCCTGCCTATTCTGCCACTAAACAGATGTGCGTTCTGATATGAAATATACAAAAAAAAGCGATTTAGTCCTTATGTCTCAAGGTAGAGTATTGACGTAAGCTATACCTATGGATTCTGGCAATCAGTTAACTACAGATGCTGTCTGAGTTAGCTTTTCCAACATCTAAAAAAACGAATCTGTTTTCCCATAATGATTTTATCTATACTTCTGTACTAATATATAAATCTACAGTGATTTTTACGGATGTTCCGTTATAACTACTGAACCATGCATCCGATGATTTGAAACTTGGTATCCATGTTGAAAATACATATACTTAATGGATATAGTAATATTTATATGAGTGTTGGACTCCCTAATAATAATGACAATAAATAATAATATCAATTTTAAACGCCCAGCGAAACGGGCAAGTACAGCTAGTTGTTTAGATTTCTGTACTCAGTGTGCTACAACAACTATAGAAGAATGTTAGGACTTTATTCTGGATCGAATGTAATCGTGACCTAGCAAGACCTAGTAAGAAAGATACCGGATTTATTCATATCCAGTCATATCAGGGTTCAAATCTCACGGCAAATACCAATCTAGCTATCGGTCAGTCTATTAATGCTCTCGTCTACCCATTTTGAGGTATATATGCATTACATTATATTTGTAACCATTTCAGTATCAGGGACTCGGTTTTTATATTATTGTAAATGAAGCTTTCCCTACTAAACAAATTCCAATAAAAAATTTTCTATTGAAGCATTAGATGTAGCAACACCGATTCTTGTATTAAGCTCAACGATGGATGATTGAAACATGTTAAATTTCAGAGTTTAAGTGCAATAACGGCGGCCGTGGGTCCGGGGCATCCTCTGCACCGCCACGTGGAGACCATCGTGCAGAAGCTCCCTGTACAGCTGCGCGACCGGATGACGTCACGCCCACCGCCCGAGCGCCCCGCCTCGCCCTCCCTCAAGTCTCTAGTCAATTTGCATAAAAAGGTAATTTGATCCGATTTCTAACTATATTTGAGACCCTAGAACTTTATCTCAGGATGGGTGGCGCATTTACGTTGTAGATGTCTATGGGCTCCAGTAACCACTTAACACCAGGTGGGCTGTAAGCTCGTCCACCCATATAAGCAATAAAAAAAAAACTTAATTGCTGTAGTTTCATCGCTTTTTTTATTATTGTCCTTGTAGGCAGACGAGCATACGGCCCACCTGATGGTGAGTGGCTACCGTCGTCCATGGACTTCAGCAATGCTAGGGGCAGAGCCAAGCCGCTGCCTACCGCTTAATACTCTCCACAACCCTCGTTTGAAGAAGGACGTGTCATAGCGTTATTTTTCACACCACGGACCACTTTAGTTAAAACGTGTTATGTTTGTGGGTATTGAGTGTGTCAGTAAACGGTGGTCACAACGCACGTTGTCTATTATGTATTAGTGGCAAAAGCGGGAAAAAAACAATTTGTGGCCAGTTTTTCTTTGTTTTGAACTAATTAATTTCATTTTAAAATTATGTCGGTGGGACAGTTGAAAGAATTCGCTGTAAACAGTGGAAACTGGTCCTCATATGTTGAGAGATTAAAAATGTACTTTTTGGTGAATAAAGTGTTTATTACGTTGTCTAATAGGTACTATAACGAAAAAAAGGACATATTTATAGTGAAGCCTTTAAAGTTTTTATGAGTGTTACACATTGTACTATCGCGAACATTGACTAGTAGTTCAGGATATTGTAACCAGCGCATCACCGCAGGTACGCACCACCACTCTGCCACGAATCAGTCATCCAATCCAGTTCCGGCAACTATTTATAAAACAATTAATCTGTAGTCTCGTTCAACCATAGAGACAATTTTTTTTTTATTAATACTAAACAAGTAATAAAGGATTGTGTGGTTTTATGAAACCACGGTAAAAGTGAAACTTTTTTCACATTATAGACATTTAACTCTGAGAAACAACATTTACATTAAACACTGACAAAAAGCGTGGAGCACAAATGAGTAATAGTATATACACTACACGGTCAGCTGCTGCGAACTATAGATGCCGCCATATTGACCGTGGCTGCTCTGGCGAGCGCCTTTCACTTTATCCCTAATCCGCGGCCGACCGTCACGCGACATGCAACACACAGACGAAAAAGTTTGAGACAATGTAATAAAAGTTTCACTTAATGAATAATATAATTGGCAGACAATCAAAGCGCTTCACGTCCTCCAACGCACGGAGACACAGTGGGGCCTGTCACTGGAACGTATATTCCACCTGGAGGACGTGGCCTCCAACCAGCGCCTGCCAGACAGGAGATTCCAACATTTCTTTCCCACACCACGACCGAAACTACAGCGAATATTGTACCCGCCCATTTTAGGTAACCGAACTATATTCCTTCATAGTAACAGAACTGCTTAAACTACCCAAGCGTGAAGACGTGCCGTGGTCATGCCGTGCAATTTAATTGTAACGAAAAATGACCCTAATATTGAACATATTGTATATTTTACAAAGATAGAGACCCACTCCGGCACGAAACCGAACTGGATCCGTGGTCCTTTTGCTTGACGTCTGAGGAAAAGATGGCCGAATATATATTATGTTGCGGGACCAATTGAAGTCAGATTCAAAAAAAAAGTACCTTATATCTGATCTGATCTTCAAATACCCTCGTTTTTAAGGAAATAAATTACAACTATTAAAACATTATTCAACATGTAAACTGAAAGTCGACTGAAACTCCACTTTGAGTATAATGTTTATGAAAATTTCGATAAAACTCTATATTAGTTAACTATATTAAACAATATTTATAAACATGAAATAAACAGGCAGAGACAGCAAGCGGGCTGAAAAGTTCTCGAGTGGCGACTGAGAACCGGAAAACACAGTTAAGGCAGCTTCTCGCGAGGTTGGGGAGACCTGTGGTCAGCAGTAGACATCTTTGGATTGATGATTATCATGGTGATGATGAAAACATAAATCTTCTATATCTCTTCTCAGAATGGTACTGGGAGTGCTTCCTCAAGCAATACTTCCTTAAGGGCATGGCAATAATCACCGGCATAATGTCCGTGGCGGTGGTCTGGTCCGAAATGACGTTCTTCTGCAAGAAACCAGTCCTGTCAGTGTTCGCTAACGTGGTCATAGCAGCCGGAGAGACTTATAACTATGCAGCTATTGTGGTCAGTATTAAGCTATTGCATAGCTTTTATCGCGGACTTTGAGCGTAGCGATCGAATCAAGAAATTCCGTAACGAAAATAAAACCTAACACCACCCCACTCCGCCTAACATGTACCTCACGTTCAATACATTCACGTTGCGCTTGTGTAGTGTTTGTGCATAAGCGCGCGGCATGACGTCGCACTGCATGCGCATCATGAAAAGGCGGTCTAGCTTATGAGTGTGAAAGGGACAGTTAATGTTTTGCTTTTGTTAATGTTTATAAATATAGCGTGGTCTTATTTTATTATTGTTTTGATATTAAATTCTGATTGTCTAATTATAATTGCATAAGTTGATAAAAAATGTTATGCAATAGCTTTACCGTAGCAGTCCCCGAGTGTCACACGTGTTTGTTACTAAATTAATATAAAATTCTGTCTTTATAATGAATACATTTATATCCACATGTTCAAGTGTATTATAAATATTACGGGAGAACGAGATATAATACTTCTAAAGGTTTCACGTCTACCCCGTGTGTACTGCACACAAATGGTTTTGTTATATGAATTCAAAGAACATGCTCTAATCATAGAGATACAAAATACACATTTAGTGTTATATCTATACTAATATATAAATCTCGTGGTTTTTACGGATGTTCCGTTATAACTACTGAACCATGCATCCGGTTGACTTGAAACTTGGTATCCATGCAGAAAATACATGTACTTAATGGATAGGCTAATATTTATATGAGTGTTGGACTCCCTACACCAGTTGCGGGTGCGTTAATGATGAGAATCTTTGTGGGGGTGAGAAATAATAATGTTAATTTTAAATGCCCAGCGAAGCAGACTGGTACAGCTAGTGTATTAATAAAATTATTTCCATTTCCAGACAATATCGACCGTAGTGATAGCGTACATGTTCTACTGCGCGTACTCCACGGTGCTGAAGATCAGACTGCTGAACTTGTATTACCTGGCGCCTCATCATCAGACTAACGAATACAGTTTGATATTCTCCGGAATGATGGTCTGCAGGCTAACGCCGGCCATGTGCTTGAACTTTCTCAGTCTGATCCATATGGATTCTCATGTTATTAAGGAAAGAGTCATGGAAACTTCATATACACAGGTGAGATAATATGAGAAAAAATGATTGCATTAGACGGTTGAACAATCTCATGGTATACCAGATGCTAAGTGGTTACCGAAGGCCATTAGTCATCAACCGAAGTCTCAGTGTACTACCGTATAACTGCTGCCTCACCCTTCAACATCAGAACACTTGACTGTTCCGACACAGAAATAATTTCGTGGTAGTCACCCTTGCGGTCATTCAGTGTGCTCATACTACTGCAAGTCCTTGTTGAGTTCTCATTCATTGGAAACTATTGCAACTAGTTTATTTTTATCTAATATCTACATGTAAGAGGCGGCGTTTCAATCGATGAATTACAATATTTTATCTGTTGAGCTATGGCTTTTTAACCTAGCCAATGTCTTCGGAGTCGGTCTCTTCATTGCTGAAGGTCGTGTCTAATTTGAAATGTTGACCACTCGATGCACAATGCTTCCCCACGTCTTCATGTCGGCGGTCTTTAAAGCCTCGGTTATTGGCAGGCCGGTGAGCGTCCGCGTGATCATCTCCCGTCAACCTGACCAACTACCATCAGCTAATGTCTCGGCCAACACCAGGCAATGCCTAATATCACTATATTGACCTCTATATTTACCTATTATTATTATAAAATAATAATAATAATAAAATAATTTATTGCCTTTCACATTAAATAAAAAATACAAAAAAAGAAAAAGGCAAAAGGAGGTGGCTCAGCTAATACTGTTCAAAGTCGATAAATCGAACAGCGCTGATTTTCAGTCACCCCCCAGTTTCAGTCATTACTTACTTACTATTTACTTATCACTATATTTACCTCAGCCCAGGAAGTCTTAACCCAGTAATTTCATCGACAGATAATGGGCCATATGGACGTATTGGGCATCATAGCGGAGGGCTTCAACATTTACTTCCCCATGTTGGTGGTGTTGCTGTGCCTGGCGACTTATCTGTCCCTGGGCAGCCGCGTCCTCACGCTGTGCGGCTTCCAGCAGTTCGTGGGCGACGATGAGCTAACAACCGACCTGGTGGATGAAGGAAGAGAGATCGTGAAGCGAGGTGCGTATCAGGGGAGATTCGGGCTACAGCTCTGGAAACGTCGGGGAAGCGTGGGGTAAAATGATATTGGGGGGGGGGGGGGTTAAAAATGAAACTTAAAAAATAATTTAAATTAAAAAAAGCTTTTTTATGGGGGCTATATATAAAATGTAAACAAGTTTTTTTGTCTAGTAATACAAGAAAAATATCATATGAATTATAAAATATCAAGATATGATCATTTACTTATATTTTCTGTGGGGGCGATTTTTTATTCTCAACTATATATTACATTATATTACTATTATTACCGTTATGTATTACTAGGTATTACATTGATAAATTGAATAAGTCATGTTTAAATTAAATTATTAGTTATCGTTTTGTTTTCAAAATTATCATGGGGGCTATAATATGAAAGATGCTAAAAAGAAGCGATTTCGTTTTTTTTTCTTTCTGTTCTTCGCCATGGGTTACTATCAACTGACACAAAAATATTTTGGGGTAATAATTAAAAAATTTCCCCGACTGCTGATCTAGTGTCTCAAATTTAGTAATGACAATTCACTATGAGCTCCGAGCTCCGCTCAGCATCGGATGCCATTATGTCCGCCTCGGCTAAAAAAATAATACGTCGTTGTCAAACCAAAATCTGCTATGTGTACTTTTTGAGATTTTTACTTTTTGACCTTTTCGTATAGCTTATAGCCCTATATCTACCGTATAAAAAAAACTGTTATGTGTTTAATAGCTTTAATATCTATATATAGCTTTCATTTGTTATTATAGTTCTTAAAAATTCACCTTCATATAAAATTTTATACGAAAATGTTTTTACTCGTAAAATCAAAATAGAGTTTTTGCACATGGTTTGACACTGACGAATAGTTGTTAATACGTTATATGAATTGTAGAAAAACGCAAGCGGCAACGCGCCGAGGAGTCCATGAGCAGACGACGCGACTACAGCGAGAGGTTCACGAAGTACCGCACCAACAGGGACACCAATGATGGAGGTAACACGAATACACTTTAACACATTATCACTACATAGTATAAAACCAAAGTCGCTTTCTCTGTCCCTATACCTAGTCAGGTCATAAATTCTGTCACATGTTTAATGTAAAATAATTGAAACAAGTTTATTCATTATGTAACCATCCATATACCAAAATGAACTTAACAAAACATAGATTCTTATGACACTAAAGTTTATTCAAAATGACCTGCGTGATTTTGAATACAGGCCTTCAATCTGCGCGGCCAGTCGTCTATCGCAGCACGAACGAGGTCCATGTCAATATCGGCGGCTGCCTTAATCAAGGATGTCTTGAGTGACTCCAAATTGGGATGAGGCTTTGAGCACGCCTTTTCCTCCAAGTGTTGCCATATCTTGTAATCTAACGGATTCAAATCTGGACTGGAGGAGGGCCAGTCTTCGTGCCGGATGAAGTCGATTTCACGCGCCGCCAGCCAGTCTTGTGTGCTCTTCGCTCTATGAGCTGGCGCCGAATCTTGTTGGAATACCCAGTGCCTGTTATTGAACATGGTATGAGAAACAGGTTCCACAAGGTTCGTCAGGACTGTATTTTGATACACAACTGCATTCGTTTTTACACCTTTCTCACAAAAATGTACCTCTGTTAAGCCCCAATAAGAAACTCCCAACCATACCATGAGCGAGGATGGAAAATGACCTCGTTGGACACGCGGAATACGGTTGCTCGCTTCTTCACTACTGTGTGCGTACACCTTATCATTTTGTTTGTTGTAGCTCTCTTCTACGGTAAAAATTTTTTCATCCGAAAAAAGAATTTCCCGATATTTTTTTCCCGCGTACCGCTTCAACAAAGCGCGGCATCTCTTCAGTCTCAGGTCCATTAGACGAGCATTCAAACGATGTCCTGTTTTTCTTCGATATGCCCGAAGCCCTAAGTCTTCATTTAACACCCTTTTCACCGTGGTTCTGCTTAACCCCATCTGAAGGGCCAACAGTTTCTGCTTACGTTTGGGATTTCTTTGAATTCGCGCCTTCACAGCTTTTATCACTGCTGGAGTCCTAACAGACCGAGGGCGACCACTTCTTGACCTGTCATCTACACTAGAGTCTTCATTGTATCGTTTGATGGTACGATAAACGAATCTTTTGGTTATATTCAAAATTTTCAGTATGTTAAAAATTTGAATTGGCGCGTAACCGCAACGATGCAACGCAATAACTGCAACACGGTCTTCTTTAAGCGTCTACTCCATATTTAAAAAAGAGTAAAATTCTAAAAGTATACATTTTTATTTTCATGAACAATTCGAAATTCGAATTCAATAAACTTTTTTGTGGCCAGCATTCTAAAAGAAAAGTTTTTACTGTGTGACAATCCTTATGACCTGACTAGGTATATCCCTATTTATGCTTAAATCTTTAAAACTACGCAACGGATTTTGATGCGGTTTTTTTTAATAGATAGAGTGATTAAAGAGGAAGGTTTATATGTATAATAACATCCATTAAATAGTGGAGAAATCAATGATAAGTTATAGTTTCCGAAGCGAAGCGAGGGCGGGTCGCTAGTTAATAATAAATATAATTCTATTCCTTTTCACAATATATATTAGTAGTGAAATTAATCAAAACAACTAATTCTCGACCTTGTGTAACATTAAATAGAGCGCAAAATAATCATAAAAATTTAAGTGTCAAATGTATGTAAAGAAAAACCTTTTTATGCAATTTTTATGTAAAATCTTTGACACTTTTTAGTATTTAAACATTTTTTTTTTTTGGATAGATTGACTGAACTGTCTGTGGAGTCAGCTTTACTTAATTCAATAATACTCGTGTAAAATAATAATTTAAAAAGGAAATTAAGGCTTTAAATGTTGATTTACTAATAATATTGTATAAAAAAGTCTTTTATTATTGTTCAACCATTTTAGAATATTCTATATCTTCATCTGAATGTAAAATTTGCTACCTTTTTACTCTTCGAGAACAAAATATCTATACTACATTGATAGAAACGTCGAGAACAAGCTATTAAAAAAACAACATTCGTACCGTCGATTACCATTTCATCATCATTTTCTTGCCCTTCTCCCAGTCAGTCCCAGGTCGGCGCAACATGTTTTCTTCTCCCATACTCTTCTATCATATACCATTTCTTCGCTGCTTCCCTTCTTCCCATAGGACCCATATCGTCTTTCACGCAATCCATCCACTTCTTCTTAGGTCTACCTCTTCCTCTATATCCTTCCACATTTATAGTTAACATTCTCTTACCAACCTCATTTTCATTTCGTCTCATCACATTCGTACCGACGGTCTACCGAGCAATATCACCCGCTCGGCGGAAGATCTTTCCTTTGTCGTTAAAACATCCCACAGCGACTAATATATCGGCAGTTATTGTGCATCTCGGTCACATTTCAGCCCGCACCGGGCTGCTGCACGACGTGGACACAGAGTACTACGCGGGGCCGGACCGCAGCGCCGCCGTGCCGGACTACGAGCGCGCGGAGATGCCGTACAACCGCTCCAACTTGACGCTGGAAGACGAGATCGAGCATCGGTTCGGGGACAGCGCCCTGCCGACCGTGCGAACCGAGTACGACGGTAGGCGGGATAAAATGACAATGCCTCCCAGGGGCTTGTTTGACGATGTTTAAGTGCAACATAAAACGCCCTGTAAACGATCAAATTGTTTGTCAAATTATTTGACAGTATGCAGCTTTGTTTGTGTTTGACACGTTTGATGCAGGCAGCGGCTTGGCTCTGCCCCTGGCATTGCTGAAGTCCATGGGCGACGGTAACCACTCACCATCAGGTGGGCCGTATGCTTCTGCCTACAAGGGCAATAAAAAAAAGTGTGTGTGTGTGTATAAAATACAAATAATCGCGAGGGTCAACCACTCCGCAGTGCAATCGAACAGCCTCGTTTCGTTTCATTTCGTTTCATCGAGTTTGGAATCACATCACAAAGATTTCAAAGAAGTTTTACTTAAAAAAAAAATGCAAGTCTTGATTGACGGCCTGTTTGGCAAACAAGTATGAGCGTGTATGGGGGTGTTTGTCAAACAAGATCTCAATCGTTGCTCGACACGACGTCTCGTTACGGCAAGGAGACAATCTACGGGCAAGTTAACAAATTCGTTTGATCTTTGGTTTGATCGTTTATAGGGCGCTTTAGTGTTATACAAATAAAGATTGCATCAGTACGGACAGAAGTGAAACTTCCTGGACAGAGAAGGAGCTGTTTTCCGTCCTTTTTGTGACAGAAATCTGGCACTCAAATTAATCTTTGATTACGTAATCACGTCGCGCTTAATAATGTCGCATCAAAATAGGGATGTGGGTTGTTGCTAAAACGGTCGAATCGATTGTCCCGGTTATTCGATATCGATATACATCGACGTTGGTTGATTGTTACCGAGTTTAAGGAAAATCGTTTTTTTTTTGCGAATAAAAAAAACTATCGACAATGTTTTACTTGAGTCGTCTATTATCAAAGGTGGCAATCTGTGCATTTGGACAAAAAAATGTTATTGATATGTCAATACAGATTGATTTGAATATAATCGTCTCCTTCAAAGAATACGGTTCAAAACCTGCATTAAATAAAGGTTAATACTTAACCTGTTATTTATCTAAGATGTCGTTCAGAAGAGTTTTGTGACTGCCAATGGAATACANATACAGATTGATTTGAATATAATCGTCTCCTTCAAAGAATACGGTTCAAAACCTGCATTAAATAAAGGTTAATACTTAACCTGTTATTTATCTAAGATGTCGTTCAGAAGAGTTTTGTGACTGCCAATGGAATACAAAGTCAATAATTCGTTTTTCTGATTTACCAATAATTGTCCAAAAGTCACATTGCCGGCTTTGATGATAGTCGACTCACTTAGTGTTAGCCCCTTCCGTTGGTCAGCTTCAAGTATTTCGTTTTATGGTAAAGCTAGATTTAGTAACATATGGTGTGACGGTTTCGTTTTTCTCAAGACAGTTTTTTCATAAACGTGAATTAAATTGTTTTATCTAATAATTACTAGAATGATAAAACAGACTTGGGATTTCTAAATCCTTCCTAAAATCTTTATATTTGGCAACAACTAAGTCATCTATAAAATACGTACAAATATGAGAGGGGCGAGTTAAGAAAACTGAATAGAAAACCATGCAGCTCATAGAACCTATAGATATAAATAAATAATATTTATGTTCGTTATTCAAAGTCCCGTCCTAGCGAAGCCGCAAAAAAAACCCCTCTAGTACATATTTATTCAAACTAATATTGATATAAAACATTAAACTATTAACGTTTCTATTATTTGTCGTAAGGGATCACTTGTGTAGTTATACTGACGTAATATTTGTTAGGGGGTCAAAGCGAGGGTAGTCTAATGTCAAGTCCATGTTTCTCGTGACGTGTTTTATGAACGACCCTTTGTGTCGATAACGAGGCTTGTGGAGAGTATTAAACTTGTGAAGATGTCCACAGCAGCTTCGATCGACAGTATTTACTTCCAAAGATCATTCAGACTTTATTCATGTAGTAGGCAGCGGCTTGGCTCTGCCCCTGGCATTGCTGAAGTCCATGGGCGACGGTAACCACTCACCATCAGGTGGGACGTGTGCTCGTCTGCCTACAAGGGCAATAAAAAATAAATAAAAAAATAACAAAAAAAAAGGTTTCGCACTGGGAATTTCAGCGTGGTGCCTGAAATTCAATTTGTTTTTTAATAAAATAATTGTTATTATACTAAAGATAGAATAAATAAATTAAAAAAAAAAAACAAGTTTAGCTCATTATGTAAGAGAAGCAGTAAGGAAGAATTAGAATAAGCTATGTGTAGATATATATTAGAATAGCTCTGTATCATAAATGTAAAATTTTGTATTTATTTAACATTATAATAACTGAATGAGCAAATATTATATTCTATAAGTTTTATGTGATATGAGTTTTTTGTGTACAAAATGTATGTTATGTTTATATTTCATTGTAAATGTAAATTAATAATTTAAGTTTATTTAATTATAAAATACCCTTATTTATGGTGAGAATCATGAATTATTTATTAAATATGAACAAATGTGAGGCGATTTGGGATTTAGTGATTTTGCCCGCAACTCGTCAGCCTAAGAGTCGGCTGTCGTTTTAGTCATTATGAATGACATTTTTAGGGTGGTCATCAGGTGACTAGTGATTTGTATCCACCCCACATGGGTTTGACAAGATTTAAAAAATACCAACTTTATTTATAACACCTTCGAATAATGTGTCATTTTCAAACTACATTAATATACAATAAATATTAATTTATAATATGCACCGATAATACAATACATGTATATGTTTGTAACTTGTGATTATGTTTACTTTTTCAAAAATCGCTTAATTTACTGATCCGAATGTATTTTTTTAAGTTTCTTTTAGTGTCTACTAAAATCTTTGGATAGATTATTTCATTAAATCTTACTCTGAATATGGTCGCATAGATTACTTACAATAATACATTACTAACTACAATTATTAATGACCAATTTGAAAATTTGAAAATTTACCCTTATTTATTGTTTATTCTACACCTATAATATCGGGATATTGTAGACAATAATAATTAATTAAATCCTAATCTAAAAAACCTATAGAAAGTATATTCCAACAGTATTTTTGTTCATCAACATTGTTCTTGAAAACCGATTGAACTTAACGACCGGAAAAGAATATATATTTATAAAACAGTTTAAGTTACGGCTCAAGGATTAAACAGTTAGGAGGACGCACGCGGCCCTCCCTCATCCGCCAGTGTTCTATACATTAATTGCGAAATCATAAAATTTTAAATCTAAAGAAAATATTGATTAGAGGCAAATACGTAAATACACAATTTACATGATACAATTTAATATTAAAATGCGTATAAATAGTCAATTTGTATAAGTCATGCGTGGTATATTTATACACATATAACTCCATAAAGATTAGTACAGGCAAAGGCAGAGACAAATAAATATGTGTCTTTTTCGACGTAAGGTTTATAAAGTGGACCTGCGCTTAATCTAAACCGCTGTGAAAACTCCAAAATTATTTATAGATTGATTAAAACACACACTCTAAATTGTATTCACGTTTATTTGGCTAGAGATTAATACACGTTTACAATTTATATGTAGACATAGTTTTCATTCTGGTATCTATTTTCTATGCATTTTAATTTTCTTATTGAAATGTAGTTGTTTCTCGTTCCACTGTTAATTATTATTAGCTGAATGATGATGGCTATTATTTGAAATTCATGGCAACTAGGTTATTTCTTAAACAATCACTTAACTTCTTAAAAGTAATTATTTTATTACTTACTAGAGTTTATGAATAGATTTTAAACATTACCATAAAGTTTGTGCAATGTTTTTAAGAGATGTAATGTAGAAAAAACAATGTTTTGTAAATTAGTTAATCATATTATACGAATTGTTTTTCACTAAAATTTGTTGTGCTTTGGCACGTTTGTTTCATTCCATAGGTTTATTTAATAAATGCTGATGTGAATATGTTAATATTATAATGATTTTTTATTTTACTAAACTCAATATTTCAAATTAATCATACAAAACCTTTTTATTGAAAATCCAAAAGCGTACAGTCAATGTAAAATCTACTAAGGCCAGTTTTCCAGAAGAACCTGCGAATTAAATTCAATAATATTTAATACATAATAAAATCAATTCAATAAACAGATTTGTTTTCTTAAATAATTTACTGATCATAAATGAATTTATCAATATGGAGCTATCCAATATTACCGCCATTATTAGGGCGTCGTATGAACATTACATTATCAACAAAACATTTGCACAAGACAAGTCTATTAACTGAAGTAGTAGTGGCCTGAAAGGTAAGATTTCCGGTACATTCATATCAAGCGATGAGACCGTGCCGATGTTCAAAACCCGCAGCCAAAACCAATTTTTCACGAATGAGTTTCACGGTAAAAGAATAACCTCGTCTAATAAAAAACCAAAGCTCCAAAACTTATTTGCCACGAGTTTAAGAAGTTTTAATGCGGTTTATTGAGGTGGTATAGCGCGTCTTGTTCGTCCGCGCGGGTAGGAACAAATCTTATTTATGGCGCGAAGCACTAATTCGTTTCGATTTGATTGCTGAGCAGTTGTACTACCGTCCCGTGACTTCGAATTCACGACTCCAAGTGGATGGCGACACTGCACTATTGATATCAACGGGTTCCGTTAACTACTTAACACAAGGTAAGAACGTGAGCTCGTTCATCCATTTAAGCAATATAAATTATAAATATAATTGATTTGGAAACATTTTTAATGGCCATAAGAGTAATCAAAGGATAAATCAATAATTCTATTCTATAAAAATAATTGTCAATAATAGACGGACTATAGAAACTTGATCGTTGTGGAAATGTCTTGTTTTTTGTTAGTACCTACATCTTCTCCTAAGTATATTCCTCAGCTCCGCGTTTCAGTAAACATAAAAACATAACAATTACTTCACATAATTAATAGATACAATATCAAACCGTATATTCATTGTCTTATACTCTCATCTGTCAGACACATTTCATCGTGATTTTGTTGTTCATACTACACTTGCACTCTTTTGCATAACATCAAAATTGCACCGAACGCATTCTCACCAAAATTCATTTACATACAATGTTTAAATCTTTAGGGGGGCGGGCAAACCCCGTTTGCACCGAGAGGGCTCATTGCCCTCGACACCGGTGTTGTCCACGGGCACCTGCCGCACAGTGCCCCGTACTCATATTGGGGTCTACAGTTGACGTCACGTGTCCTCTTTCTGACCTTCGAATATATGACGAGTGCGGCTCGAGGACTATAACTTGAACCTCCGAGTCCTCATCAGTCACAGACGTACATACGAAAGTATTCCGGCACAATATATCAGTTCTCTCGTCACATAAAAGATCAATACACACATCCATATTACAATAAAGGTACATACATACGTTTATACTAAACAAACTACATTCATCACTGAAACTGATTAATATCGTATTTTTTTTACATTTAATCTATTTAAAATGAACCTTAATACTGTCGGCATTGGTTCTGATTTCGTGTGATGAATCCTTCGATAGATTTTTCGAGTAGTTCTGGTATATTTTCCTTAGCCTATTGAGTTCTTCGGGTTTTTTGAGATCTAAACAAAATAAATACCGTTAAAGGCACACGCATAAAATGCAGAATGTTTATCGTAGTGGGAGTCGTCGGCTCAAATCCAGTGAAATACGCCTATTTCCTTCAGATTGGCAAATTGATGGTTTGAATTAATTGGTATTTTTTTATGAAAGTATATATGGGGAATACGTCTTTTTTTTTTTTGGTCAGGAGGAAATCGCTGGACTTCCGCCCTCCCCTGGGGATGGAAGGCGGGGCATGTCGGAGTCGAACTGACTAAAACATCCTGTCGCTCAACAACCCGCGTCCGAACCTCGCATGAGACAGAACCCATGAAAAGGCAAAGGGGGGAAAGTTAAGCGTTTAGTGCGGAGCACATCTCTCCCATCACCCTCCCCCTCGGGACGCCGGACCAGCGGTCGTCGGCGCCACGACCACCAGCCCTCTCGGTGGGGAATACGTCTAGTTATCTTTATCAATCATCTTACTGGTGATATGATCTCTTGTGAGTCCACACGAGTAGGTACCACCACCCTGCCTATTTCTGCCGTGAAGCAGTAATGCGTTTCGGTTTGAAAGGCGGGGCACCCGTTGTAACTATACTGAGGCCTTAGAATTTATATCTCAAGGTGGGTGGCGCATTTACATTGTAGATGTCTATGGGCTCGAGTAACTACTGAAAACCAGGTGGGCTGTTGAGCTCGTCCATCAATCTAAACAATAAAAAATAAAAACCAAAGTTTTTCACCTCTCGAAATAGTAAAATCGTTTCGTTTTTTAATTCGGTGAACAACCCACCTACTAGGTGTAACCTAGTTACCACAATCTGTAGGCATCACTGTGTGAATGCCCCCACCCACTTTGAGACATGATCTCTATGTATCAATTATTTTGCAATTAGATTGCATTTATTGACATTATTAATGACATAGTCCATTGTTGCCTTTAGGCCGTTTGCAAGTCGGCGTTCTCCAAAATACTCATACATACCTTTTAATTGTTTGATAAGTATTTCCATAATTTTAAGGGCGTCCCGTCGGTGGCGCACCTGGTTGATGTTTGCTGAAACAAAATGGAGAGGTTTAATAATCCTCCTCCTCCTCGCGTCGTTTCCTCACTGCTGAGGGTCGTGACCATAATATTTCGACAGGATTTTACTTCTTGTAATGTCCCTCCAGCGCCTCCGATCGTTGGCCGCATGAAGGGCCGGATTTAATCATATAAATTACATAATACTCAAAACCCACAGATGACGCGTTTTTTCCCCTACCTAAGCTGATAGCCTTGAGAGGCTATTTTAGCGTAAACTTAACCCATAGGTGAGCTCACGGGGCTCAAACCTGATGACGTTGCTAACATGAACCCTAGCAAGAGCAGTGCTTCGCAGAATCTACCACCGGATCGGAAACGCGACCCACTCAGTAGATCCCGCGAGAAACTCAGTGGGCTGTGTCTGAGGGTTATTTTACTCTTCGAGCCCTTCGTCGCAAGCGACGGGTTCGACGAGAACGATGACCGGTAAGCGTAATAGTGTAGTAGTGATTGTACCAAGACTTACTATACTTTACTGGTGGTAGGACTTCTTGAGTCCGCACGGGTAGGTACCACCATCCCGCCTATTTCTGCCGTAAAGCAGTAATGCGTTTCAGTTTAAAGGGTGGGGCAGCCGTTCTGACTATACTGAAACTTAAGAACTTCTACCTCAAGGTGGGTGGCGCATTTACATTGTAGATGTCTATGGGCTCCAGTAACCACTTAACACCAGGTGGGCTGTGAGTTCGTCCACCCATCTAAGCATTAAAAAAAAACAATTGAAACTCATATTGTCTGTCACAATGAATCTTCACAATAGGTCCGTAATATCACTCACTGAGAGTGTGGTCGATGACAGCGCCGACGTGTCCGATGACAGCGCTGACGGCCTTGTCGCGGTCGGCGGGCGTGACGTCATCGGCGTCGGTGTCCATGGGCTCGTCCCTGCCGTTCAGTACTACGAGGCGCTCCACCACGTAGTTGATGGACATCAGTATGGACAGCTGGGTAGTGCGCGAGCACGCGGGGAACGTTGACGAACAATGCTCGAAGAATTCGTTTTGATATTTCTCTGTGAATATACAATTAATTTCCATAATTATCATGTCGTTTCAATCATGATGTTACAACAGATTTACGGATTAATAAACTTTTAAAGTGAAACTTTTGTTACATCGTCTCAAACTTTTTCGTCTGTGTGTTGCATGTCGCGTGACGGTCGGCCGCGGAGTAGGGATACAGTGAAAGGCGCTCGTCAGAGCAGCCAAGGCCAATATGGCGGCGCCTATAGTTCGCAGCAGCTGACCGTGTAGTGTATAGACTATTACTCATTTGTGCTCCACGCTTTTGGTCAATGTTTAATGTAAATGTTGTTTGTCAGAGTTAAATGTCTATAATGTGAAAAAAAGGTTCACTTGTACCATGGTTTCATAACACTACACAATCCTTTCTTTTGTATACTTCGAAATTATGTTAAAAATAACACGCGATTATATCGTAATGTTCTCGTTTCTCTGTTGAAATAATTACAATGATTACATCTGATAGTTAGAAAAAAAAGTGCAATTATTATCTGTTCTTTACGTGAGAATACATAAATGTATGCGATATGCAACGCTATTCGATACGTAATAACCTCTAATTTGTTCCAGTACATACGACGAGGAACCCGACAGATATTTTCAAAATTTCCTCAACTTTCAAAAACAAACAAACAAAATTTCAAAAATTTAATAAGCTTTCGTTGAGCTGACGTCACTAGGAGGCAAACGTAGATTACACATTCATATACAATTATTACATAGGGCAGCGTGCGTTGTGGATTTAGTTTAGAGAGCCAAAAATTGTGAAAATTATTATGTGAGAATTATTAAACTTTATTTGATGATTTTTAACATAAATCAGTTGTAAGTGATAAATGTTAGCAGCGCCATCTAGATGGGCTTCCGATATTTTGCCGATCGAGAGACATACCCCTGTTTACAACGCCCCAACGCACAATTAACATCGTGGTATGTGAGGAATGTAAATCTTCACGTCTATCAAAATCTAGTACCGATACGTATCTTAAGGAAGCGTCAGAACGCTACTTCGACAAAGCGGCGCGACACGAAAACCCTCTTACTGCTGCCGCTAATAACATAACCGACCGCGACGCGGCAACGCAAAGCTGCCAGCGCCCGAAACATATCTTGTCGGATCCCCCGGATTTAGCGCAAGCGCGGGTCAAGAAGTTTGACGAGCAAAATAGCCCATAGCCCACTGAGTTTCTCGTCAGATCTTCTCAGTGGGTTACGATTTCGATCCGGTGCTAGATTCTGCGAAGCACTGCTTTTTCTAGGGCTAGTGTTAGCAAATTCTTTCAGGTTGCGGTCGTGAGCTCACCTACCCGTCCGGGCGTAGCTGGAATAAGCTCTTAGGCTACCAGCGAATAAGTAGGGAAAAAATAAAGCACAGTCAGATGTTTTATAAAAGTAGTGATAACATAATCGTTTTGCTTTAATTAAAACCGCCTCCTATAAGTAGTCTGTTATCGCGTAACAATAACATTCAACATTATTGATGTTTTCAACGTTTTCAACTAGAGACCACGATCGAAAATCGATTTGATTTCCAGAGTCGCAGAGACGATACCCCATTATTATTAATTAAGTAAATAGTTTTATATAGAATATAAATACGCACCCTGTGTCTCGTAGTCCTTGGGCCATGCCTTGCCGAGCAGCTCGTAGGCCGCCTCCTTGAGCTCAGACAACTGTTCGCGTCGCTGCCTCACGCCCTCTATGTCGTCGTCGTCCGAATCTTTACCCACCGACGATTCGTCCTACGAATACGATAAAATACTTACAGCCCTATTCGGATGAATTTAGGGATTCCTATTTTGTCGTTAAATTAATATTGTATTGGATTCTTTTATATGGGACTCTCTTAACATTTTTCTATTCAGTAGACGTCATTCGCGACTTGATATTAAGGGATCACCGAAAATTATAAATTTCATATTGGCACGAGTATTATACTACATAACTGACCACCACCATTTCAATCTAAGCAAAGATCAATATTTCTTAGGCTGTACTGAACACATCCATTGACGTTCTCATGTCTGTGACATTGGCATTTAATAACGGCCCACCTGATAGTGATCGGTTACCATCGCCCATGGACATTAGCAATGCCAGGAACAGAACCAACCTGCTGCCTACCGTTAAGTACTCTCCACAAGCTTCGTTTGAAAAAGGACATGTCTTTTTTTTTATCCTACGTATTCTAGTCACATCGAAGGGTCATGCTAAATTCACCGGACGAGTAGGTGAGCTCACGGGGCTTTAACTAAAGGACGTTGCTAACACTAGCTCTCGCAAGGGTAGTGCTTCGCAGAATCTACCACCGGATCGGAAACGCGACCCACTGAGAAGATCCTGCGAGAAACACAGTGGGCTGTGTCTATGGGTCGGTATTGTAACGTCATGTCAGCTCACCTTGGAGAGTATAACTTTAACAATCTCATAGACTTGACTGAACCGGTCGCAGTGCACGACGGAGAGCGCCTCGCCCAGCGCCGTGATGGCGTGCTTCTTGTACACCATGTCCTGCTTGCGGCACTCCGCCAACAGCGCGTTCACACACTCGTTAGCCAGCGCCGGAGACAGTGGAGATTCCTTGTCTTTTATCCTGTGAAATTAACAAATTTCTATATATATTATATATATATATATATATAATTCTACTGTACGTGTGGATTCCACTGAACTCCTAAGCGGCTGGACCGATATGAATGAATTTTTCGTATGCGTTTTGGTGGCACTATGGTTTAGATTCACAAATTAGCCCGGCAGATTGCGCTGCAGTTGGTATCTAGGTTATTTATCTATGTTGGAACTAAACAGCTGGATCGACTCAAATGAATTTTTGTGTATGCAGGACAACGTCTGTAGGGTCCGTTAATATACCGTTAATAATAGATATGCCAGTGGTGTTCATTCGTATCTATATAGAGATAGATATATAGAAATATATCTGGTCTGAATGAATACTACTGATATGTCTGATCTGAATGAAAACCACTAGTATATTTGGTCTGAATGAATACCACTGATATATCTGGTATGGTATGGTCTGAATGGACTAAGGCTTGCACTACGGAAGCTACTCACGCGCACAGTGCGGCGAGCGCCTGCACCACGTTGTGCTTGCCGCTGTAGGTCTTGCCGTGTATGGCGGCCAGCAGCGAGCGCACGAACTGCTCCCTCTGCTCGCCCAGCCCCGCCGACAGCACCTTGCATATCGTCTTTATGGCGTTCGCCGCCTGCCCACACAAGGATGCTCCTGTTACTCGTGCTTGAATACGAACAACACAAACTAGCCATTCTTTTAAAAAATGTATTTGGTTATAGGTGATTATACCAAAAACGCGACAAACCACGCGACATAACCCATCGTCAAATTTTCTGATAAAATGTAGTATACAGTAGGCGTGCGAGTTCATGTCCATCCTGAGGAGTGCGGTAGTGCTGTGACCTAGTTAATTAAGGTAATGTCGATAATAACCACCGATTTAGTCAACAGCTGTCAATTTGGTTTAATGTATTATAACTTAAGGTAATTTTGTAATTTATGAAATAAAATAAATGTGATAAGTAATTACTTGTTTATTTCTAATTGAGAAAAATATTTTTTAAATTCCAATTCAATCACTATCAAATGAAAAAACAACCGACAGATCAGAGTCGGAATCAGTATGTATCTTTTTTCGTTAGCGTCAATTTTCGATATCGATAAGCGCACGTCACAACCGTCAAGGACAACACTCGACGTCAAACGCAGGGAGGTGGGCGAAGGTGGGGCGAGCTGTCTCCCGCACGTCGCCTCTGGCCCCGATGGACATGAACTCGCGCGCATACAGTAGTTAGTTATTTTTGTATATTACAATAACAAAATAGTTTATGATATTAATATCAAATGAATTCAACAACAATAAAACAAAATTGTAAATACTATTATGGTGGTGATGTTTTAAATGACCTGTATCTTCTTGGTCCAGCTGCTCAGGTTGAGAGCTCGCTCTATCTCGGTGCGTATGAGGGGCAGATGCTGTTTGATGCCGGTCTCTCGGCCCGGGCTGATGTCCATCCATAGGTCTTCGAATATCTCCGCTGTCGAGGGACAGATTAAGTTTAGACATTAGATCAGAAGCGATGTTAATAATAATTTTAGGGATGAGAGTATTTTAAATTTAGATTTAATAAAGCAAGCCCCTGTAAACTCATCCGGCCTAGTTGTGTGGAAGCATGTCAAATGATTCTTTTTTTTTCGGAGGGAGGGAGGGACGACTGGCTCCTTTCACCAAGACAGAGGGGCACTGACTGAGCCCTGCTCGCCCACCTGCCCTAGTAAAACTAGAAAGGCATCGAGGCCACCAATAATTTCTCAAACATAAGATGAAGAAAGAAGACAGAGGGGCGAACACTGGCTCAGCCGAAAGGAGTGGGGGTAGATGTCTATAACAACATAACATCTAGTTGGTTGTGACCTCGTCGACTTTATTACGTCTCTTGGACGGCGTAATGCCTCTCGCGTAACGGCCAACCTAGTTTTAAGTGGTTACCTGAGCCCATAGACATCAACAACATAAATGCCGTTACCCAACATGAGTTCTAAGTCTACAGTCTGTAATAGGCGGGGTGATGATGCGTACTCGTGCGGGCTCACAAAACGTTCCACCATCGGTAAAACGTGTTTTAAGGAATCTTTCGTATTTAACGTGAAGATGTCCACAGCAGCTTCGATCGACAGTATTTACTTCCAAAGATCATTCAGACTTTATTCAAATAAACGACGATGCACTAAGCGTACCGTCGTCCTCCAGCCCGTGCATGGCGAGGAACACCATGGGAGCCAGCACGGCCTCGTTGTCCTTGATGTGCTCGAGCTTGGCCTTGGACACGGCTTTGAGGGTGAGCGCGATGGCCGAGCGCGACACGTCGTCCTCCTTCGTCTCGTACAGCGACACTAGCTTCTTCATCAGTTTCTCGACCGATTGGGGCTGATATAAATTTAGACATATAAAATTATGTTACTTTATCTCTTGTGTTTTCATATAAGACTAGACGTACCCGCCCGCTTCGCTGGGCATTTAAAATTAACATTATTATTTATTGTCATTATTATTAGGGAGTGAAACACTCATATAAAAATTAGCCTATCCATTAAGTAATGTATGTTAAGTACATTTTCTACATGGATACTAAGCTTCAAGTCAATCGGATGCATGGTTCAGTAGTTATGTTTGTTTTGTCATGGCGCCGTAGTTGTGTTTGTTTTGTCATGGCGCCGCAATTCCAAGGAGTATCCCTGCAACCTTCCGCGAGCTAGGGATACTTGGGGTCGACATTTCGAGTGATGTCCAATTTCGGAGTCATTTGGAAGGCAAAGCCAAGTTGGCGTCCAAAATGCTGGGAGTCCTCAACAGAGCGAAGCGGTATTTCACGCCTGGACAAAGACTTTTGCTTTATAAAGCACAAGTCCGGCCTCGCGTGGAGTACTGTTCCCATCTCTGGGCCTGGGCTCCCAAATACCAGCTTCTTCCATTTGACTCCATACAGAGGAGGGCCGTTCGAATCGTCGATAATCCCATTCTCGCGGATCGTTTGGAACCTTTGGGTCTGCGGAGGGACTTCGGTTCCCTCTGTATTTTGTACCGAATGTTCCATGGGGAGTGCTCTGAGGAATTGTTCGAGATGATACCGGCATCTCGTTTTTACCATCGCACCGCCCGCCACCGGAGTAGAGTTCATCCATACTACCTGGAGCCACTGCGGTCATCGACAGTGCGTTTCCAGAGGTCTTTTCTGCCACGTACCATCCGGCTATGGAATGAGCTCCCCTCCACGGTGTTTCGCGAGCGCTATGACATGTCCTTCTTTAAAAGAGGCTTGTGGAGAGTATTAAGCGATAGGCACCGGCTTGGCTCTGCCCCTGGCATTGCTGAAGTCCATGGGCGACGGTAACCACTCACCATCAGGTGGGCCGTATGCTCGTCTGCCTACAAGGGCAATAAAAAAAAAAAAAAATTATAACGGAACATCCGTAAAAACCACTGTAGATTTATCTATACTAATATTATAAAGAGGAAAGATTTGTTTGTTTGTTTGTTTCGAATAGGCTCCGAAACTACTGGACCGATTTGAAAAATTCTTTTTCCATTAGAAGCCGACATTGTCCCTGATGAACATAGGCTACTTTTTTTATTTATTTTTTATTTTTATTTTTTGGTTTCATGTGTGTTTTAATGTTTCCGAAGCGAAGCGAGGGCGGGTCGCTAGTATATCTATATATTAATACGTGAAGCAAAAACTTTGTACACCTTTTTACGAAAATTGCGCGGACGGAGGAGTATGAAATTTCCCACACTTATAGAGAATATAGAGAAGGAGTGCACTATGCTAATGTTTTTCTAAAACATTGCATAAAAGATACATTAAATCAATAAAGAGAACATACACACACTACCATGTATTGGACACACACACGCATGCATACTATTTGCTTATTGTCAAACTTTTCTTATTGCAAATTGAGAATAGATTAAATATTGTATGTCTTTGTTAATATTTGTCTAAAGTGTAGTCTTGGCAAAATCTGTGATTATAGAAGTATAATAAATAATCTTTAACAATAGAACCATAATAATGTTCAAGCTTATAATTTCAATTAATTATAGTCGAATTTCGACTACTGCGGGACACTAGTTAGTATAGATTTACAAAAATTACAATACATTCCTAGGTTACACGAACCTTGGCGAAAGCGGCAACCTGACCGAGGGCATCGGCATAATTCTTCCGCACCGTGACGTTCCTATCGAAGGCTCCGTTCAGTAGATTGTTCATGAGCTTCCCCGCGACCGGCTCGAGGTCCGCCCTCAGATAGTGCGCGGTCAGCACTATGAAGTGGCAGCAGGAGACCTTCGTGCCGAGCTGCGGTGACTTCATCAGCTCCAGGATTTGAGGGAGCATCTCTTTCATGATCTCGATGTCGATGTATGGCATACACTGTTAATTTAATGTAAACAAACTTATCTTGTGTTTTGTAATAAACATTCTGATGCCGAACGAAAGTCGGTCCCGGCACTACGGGTTTTTCTATTGCCTTCGAAGGCAACGATGAGCGTACGGCCCACCCGAGTGGTCACTGTTGCTCATGGACCTCAATAATGCCAGGAGCACAGCCGAGCAGATGCCTACTCTCCGCAAACCTTGTTTGAATAAGATGTCGTAGCGCTCATATAAATAGTAACCAAAATAATAACAAACAAATTAAACTATAAGTGATTCGAATTTTGAAGTCGTCGTAGCCTAAAGGATAAGACGTCCGGTACATTCGTATGTAGCGATGCACCGGCGTTCGAATCCCGCAGGCGGGTACCAATTTTTGTAATGAAATACGTACTCAACAAATGTTCACGATTGACTTCCACAGAGAAGGAATAACATTGTGTAATAAAAATCAAACTCAAAGTTATACTTTGCGTAATTACTGGTGGTAGGACCTTTTGTGAGTCCGCGCGGATAGGTACCACCACCCTGCCTATTTCTGCCGTGAAGCAGTAATGCGTTTCGGTTTAAACGCTGGGGCAGCCGTTGTGACTATAGGTGGGTGGCGCATTTACGTTGTAGATGTATATGGGCTCCAGTTACCACTTAACACCAGGTGGGCTGTGATCTCGTCCACCCATCTAAGCAATAAATAAATAAAAACACTAGTACGAAAGAAACAGTAAAGAAACCTTGACAACTGTGTCGGTGGTGTAGTGCTGCTTGGCAGCGCTGGCCCTCATGTCATCGAGCACGTCCCGCGAGCCGGAGTCCGCGAGCGCGGTGCTGAGGTACGACAGCTTGGCGGACTCCAACTCACCCGCCGCCCCCACCAGTGCGGGGATCAACTTCGGCAGGAACGGCTTCAGGCTTTCTCCCGCTGAAGCGACCAGCTTCGATACAGTTTGCAAACTGCAATAAATCAAATTTAAATTTAGTTAGCCGACTGTCTCGGTGGTGCAGTAATTAGGGCCTCTGACTGTTGCGCTGTGGGTCGTGGCTTCGATTCCCATATTGAGCGAACATTCGTAGGATCAACAGATTTGTTTACTCTTTGTCTTCGTCTTTGTCTTTGTGATATTATACTCATTTGGAGCTGGATATCCGTGCGTGCTTTTTTTCCCAGTAATTTTTTTTAAGTAACAACGTAGTGAATAAAATTATTGTGAAAAATTATTGTTATATTGAAGTCCATTTTCACATCGGAGGCTACATTCGCGTATTTCGGGCTTATTAAAACCTTTTTGTTGTTATTGTTAAAAAGCCTTTCCATCCTCATGATTAGATTATTTGGTGAAGTTTTTAGTGTGGGTTATCAGAACTTACTTTTTGGAAAATGAGACCGGAGCAATTGTCACCGTGAATGGACTACTATATCGAGGAATGATTAATGCTTTTTTTGGGCCGAAATCGGAAGATATTGATGTGGCCGATGTTTATTTTCAACGTCACAGTCCTACGTGCCTCACAAAAGTAAGGATACCTTTGTTGCGTGAAAGCTTTCCTGACAGGTTACTTTTTCGAAAAAGCGATCACAATTAGCCACCGAGATCCTGAGATTTAACGCTTTTCGATAATTTTTTTCTTTGGGGCTACGTGGAAGATAAGGTATCTCTCTGCTAATTGCCCACAATTGATTCAAGACCTCAAACTAGAAATCTCCAAGTTATGGAGTACAAGTGCAATTTGAAGATGGAGAAATATTATGAATAGAATATGATCGTGCAAGCGAGCCATAGCTGTTATTTCAATGATATTGTTTTCTATTATTAAGGGCATTTCCTCCTCTTCACAAATAAATAAACATAACAGGATTTCGCTAAAAATACTCGGTTTTTTTAAGTTTCAAAATGGTTTCCCTTACTGAAAAACCCTATACAAATACCAAACTCTATTAATTTAAGTACGGATATAGATAAGATAGTTGGAGTCGAATGGCCAAAAATAGAGAACATTGGAAATCTTTAGAGGAGACCTTTGTTGAGAGACAAAGTGTTTTGAAAACCACACCGAACGCCGAACGGAATACTTAATGATAAGTTGGATTTAAATTTAAGTTATCATTAAGTAATTTATTAAGTTAGTAATTATTAAGTAAAACAGGAATAAAGGCTTATTTTATTTTTTTATTTATAGTTAGATAGGCAACTACACAAACGATTTAAGCATTTGGTTTCATCTTTCAAAAACTATAGCTTCGTTTATGAATTTATTTCTAAATATTATAAACTGAAAGACTCACCACACAGCCCTGACTTCCTTCACTACGTTAGTGATACCCGTGTCCAATAGGACGGGCAGTATGATAGCGACGATTTCTTTGCCGTCTTTTCCTTGACTGACGTCACACGCGCGAATACAGAGCTACGAATAAAATAAATAAATAAATCACAATCATATACCACAGAGTTCCAAATACCATGAAATGACTCCTGATATATTGGATTTTAGGTTAATTAGATCTCACTTATATTTCATAACACACATTTTAAACTGGAATACCGCTTCGCTTCAGATAGAAGTAGGATTGACGGTAGTTGCAAATAAATACTAGACGATACGTTTTATCGTTAGTAATTATACAAATTTTTGAAAGAGTTACAACTTATTCAAAAATTATGTTTTCGCATTTAAGACATGTGTATAGAGCGTCTATCGAGTCCGCTGGTGATATACAATATAAAACTTTTTTTTTCCTATCTAAGCTGACAGCCTTGAGAAGCTGTCAGGGGCGAGTAGGTGAGCTCCCAAGGCTCAAACCAGGAGTGTTGCTAACACCGGCCCGAGCAAGAGCCACGCTTCGCAGAATCTACTAGCGGATCAGAAACGTGACCCACTGAGAAGATCCGGCGAGAAACTTACTGGGCTGTCTGTGGGTTAAATTACTCGTCGAACCCTTCTCTGGATCTGGAGGATCCGTAATGACATGTTTAGGGTGACGTCGACTATTTCATGCACAGGATCGGATATTTTTTTTATTGCTTAGATGGGCGGTCGAGCTCACAGCCTACTTGGTGTTAAGTGGTTACTGGAGCCCATAGACATTTACAACGTAAATGCGCCACCACCTTGAGATATAAATTCTCAGGTCTCAGTATAGTTACAACGGCCCCACTCTTCAAACTGAAACGCATTACTGCTTCACAGCAGAAATAGACGGGGCGGTGGTACCTACCCGTGCGGACTCCCAAGAGGTCCTACCACCAGTAATTACGCAAATTATAATTTTGCGGCTTTGATTTTTATCACACGATGTTATTCCTTCACCGTGGGAATCAATCGTAAACATTTGTTTGCAACTGCAATTTTTATTTAATTATTTTAATAATGTCATTTTGTTGTCCTTTTCATAACTGTTTTATTATTTTTATTATTCATGTTCTTTTTATTTTTTAATATATTTTACAATGTTGTGTATTGGTCGGTCTGATGCTGGTGTGTGCGTCCCTCCGCAGGTGCCGGCGGAAGATCAGCGCCGCAGTACCGATTGTTTCGTTACTGTTAGGCATTGCTGAGCCGGTAACCGTTTCCAAGCCTCGTTATTTTTGTTATCTTTTTTATTTATTTTTTGTACTTAATTTGTGTTTGGAATAAATGTTTATTATTATTATTATTATTCAGAAAGGTAATCTTTTCTTAGCACTTTGGCTAGTCTGAACCACATCCACGGGCCTAAACCAAGTGAATGCAGCGTGTAGTAAGGAAAATTTATGTTGACGGTATGTTATTATGAGGGGCAATTTCGTTTTCGTCTATCTGCAAGAATTTCCTGACTATTCTGCATGTATTCAAGATTGCGGCTTTTTGGAGAGTTATGTAGAGAGTTTCTTTGAGGTCTAATAGTTTTAGGCTATGGAGAAGATGGTTGGGAATGACGCCTGTTGTGGAGAGAACTATGGGTACTATGTATACTTTTTCCTGTCGCCAAATTCTGCTCACTTCATCTTTGAGTTCTGCGTACTTGTTTATTTTTTCAGTTATTGTTTTTTGTATGTTGTGTGTGTTAGGAACAGCAATGTCAATAAGGTAAGTGATTTTGTTAACTTTGTCCTGTACAGTTATGTCTGGTCTATTATAATGAATTGTCTTATCGGTGNTTTGTCCTGTACAGTTATGTCTGGTCTATTATAATGAATTGTCTTATCGGTGAGAATGGCGCGGTCGTAATAGAGTTTGTGTGTAGTATTTTCTAGAATGGTTTGTGGATTATATTTGTAATATGGAGTGTTTGTGTCTTGTATGAGTGCATATTTGAGTGCAAGTTTTTGATGAATAATATTTGCTACCTGATTGTGTTTGTGTGTATAGTCTGTTTGTGTGAGGGTAGTGCATGCTCCTGTTATGTGTTGAATGGTTTCTGATTGTGTATGACATTTGCGACACCTATCGTTTGTTATTGTAGGATCTTTGATTATTATTATTATTATTATTAAGTACGTGTTTCATTAGAAATTTGGTGCCCGCCTGCGGGATTCAAACACCGTTGCATCGCTATATACGAATGCACCGGACGTCTTATCCTTTAGGCCACGACGACTCGCGTATGTGCGACTTCTATTGTTGTTGTTATTGTTGTTGTTACGATGAACGTTATACCTTGGAGAGCGTGTTGGCGGTGGAGGCGGCGGCCTGGCGCGTGCCCTCGTGCACGTCGTCCATGACGCGGAACAGTTGCGACCAGATCATCGACAGCTGCTCCGACGAATCGTGGAGACTTTTTGCACCGCTGACAAAAAAATAATAATAACAAGCAATTAATTAAATAACAAACAAAACTATTTATTTCTATCCCGTAAAAAAAAAAAGAAAAAAAAAACATGCCCGCTGAGTTTCTTGCGAGTTCTTCTCAGAACGGAGCCTAGTTTTTGTGAATTGGCGGTAGTTCTTTTTGAGGTTCAACAAGTATGTACTTTCATTCATGTTGAATAAAAAAAAAATGATTTTGATTTTGATTTGATTTGATACGGGTAGGATATTAGAGGGAAGTTGTAAAATTATTGTATTGTCATCGGTCCTTGATGCGTGTGCAAATTTTCAGGTTAATCGAACGTTTTGAACTGGATGAGGATGACACTCAAAGATCCCGTTACATATCAAGCTAATAAGAGCGTATTAAATACCAAAAGTCTATATTATATGTAAAATACCAAAAGAGAATATTCTTAACAAATCACTAAATTAAAAATTGCTAATTTGTTCACGTTTGAATAGTTTTATTGCTTGTTGTTTTGCTATAACAATGTTATTGATATAAAATTGCACGTTTACCGTAACAGTTCAGCCAAGGCAGTGCAACAAGCCATTCGCACCCGCCACTGGTTCGACGTCATGTTCGCTACAAGATCGTCCAGAATTTCCTTGTGATATTTTTGAACCTGAAACAGAACACGAGAAAAAACAATAACTTCTCAAATTACTAAATGAATTATAAATTACAAAAACTGTATTTCTGATTAAGATACTAACTATACTGAAACCTTAGAACTTATATTTTAAGGTAGGTGGCGGCATTTACGTTGTAGGTGTCTGGACCGTGAGCGCCTCCACCCATCTCAGCAATAAAAAATAAATAAAAAGAAATGTTTTTTTTTTTCAAGAATTTATTTATAAACTATCAGACCCGGCAGACTTAGTGCCTCAATCGATTAATAAAAGACGTAAACTTTTGTATAAAATAAACTTAAAACAAGCAAAAGGAATCCGCCCGACGGGGGACACATCAAAGGAAAAACAAAATTGTTATTTTTATTTAATTCCGAGCATTTTCATATTTATTTACCTTTTAAACCTTCTCTGGACTTCCACAAATCATTTAAGACCAAAATTAGCCAAATCGGTCCAGCCGTTCTCGAGTTTTAGCGAGACTAACGAACAGCAATTCATTTTTATATATATAGATAGAAGATAGATAGATAGAAGAAAAATAGTGATTTCCAGCAATAGTTACAGTGGCCTGCGTGTTGGGCACGATGGCGTGCCATATGCTGGTCATGGAGGTCTGTATGCGCGGCGTGGGGTCGAACCGGTAGCGGTACAGGCGCGGCACTATCCGGGGCAGGTGCTCGGACAGCTGGGCCCCGGCTTGCGACGCTATGGAGTGGAAGCCGAACGCTGCCCCTGTAACAATCAAAATAACAATAGTAACAATCATTTTTGTCTTCAATGTAAAACTTCTTATGCCACATCAAATTTAATAAAAATTCTCAATTTATATTGAGGGCCGAAGAATGATGTGATTCAAAAATATATAATTAATATAGTATCGTGTAATAAAAATCAAACCCGCAAAAAATATAATTTGCGTAATTACTAGTGGTAGGACCTCTTGTGAGTCCGCGCGGATAAGTACCACCACTCCGCCTATTTCTGCCGTGAAGCAGTAATGCGTTTCGGTTTGAAGGGCAGGGCAGTCGCTGTAACTATATTGAGATCTTAGAACTTATATCTCAAGGTGGGTGGCGCATTTACGTTGTAGATGTGTATGGGCTCCAGTAACTACTTAACACCAGGTGGGCTTTGAGCTCGTCCACCCATCTAAATAATAAAAAAAAAATAAAAATAAAAACGTGGAGGATCGTACGCAATCGCAAGTTCCCAGTCGCTCGTATATTGTATTAAAACAATAAACAAATGTCGTCACTCAGTGTTTGATTAAATTTAACCTAAACCACAAAATGTTGATTGTTTTTTTTTTACAAAGTGCGAGATGCTGCTTCGTAAGGTATAATATTAATAATGTTTTATAGCAACAAGATATGAGTTTTATAATTCGAGGGGTGAAAGGCTATTTGGTTTAAGCCACATTTCGCTTAATACGCGACATTTATATTTGTAATTAAATGTGCGTTTTATATGGTATTAGTATCAACGATTTGATGTTTTTAATTGAACTAGTGATCCCGTAGTAGTCGAAATTCGACTTTAACCAATTGAAATTGTAAGTTTGTACACTATTATGATTCTATTTTGAAAGACTATTATACTTCTATAATCACAAATTTCGCCAAAACTACACTATAGAAAAATATTAAAATAATAAAGGCAACCAATATTTAATTTAATCTCAATTTGACCACAGACGTCAAAAACAAAAGTTTGACAATGAATAAATAGTATGCATGCGTGTATGCGTCAAATACAGTATGGTAGTGTGTGTAATGTTTTTTTATTGATCTAATGTGCATGCGTGTGTGCGTCAAATACAATATGGTAGTGTGTGTAATGTTTTTTATTGATCTAATGTGCATGCGTGTGTGCGTCAAATACAATATGGTAGTGTGTGTAATGTTTTTTTATTGATCTAATGTGCATGCGTGTGTGCGTCAAATACAATATGGTAGTGTGTGTAATGTTTTTTTATTGATCTAATGTGCATGCGTGTGTGCGTCAAATACAATATGGTAGTGTGTGTAATGTTTTTTATTGATCTAATGTGCATGCGTGTGTGCGTCAAATATAATATGGTAGTGTGTGTAATGTTTTTTTATTGATCTAATGTATGTTTACAACTATAGAAAAATATTAATAAAGACAACCAATATTTAATTTAATGTCAATTTGACCACAGACGTCAAAAACAAAAGTTTGACAATAAATAAATAGTATGCATGCGTGTGTGCGTCAAATACATGGTAGTGTGTGTAATGTTTTTTTATTGATCTAATGTATGTTTTAGGCATATTTAAAAAAATATTAACATTGTGCACGTGCAAGTGTGGGAAATTTCAAACTTCTCCGTCCGCGCAATTTTCGTAAAAAGGATACAAAGGTTTTGCTTTTATTATATTAATTATAATATTATATCATTTATTATATTAATATATAGATTTCAATTCAGTTCACCCCATTCAAATAGCTGAAGAAATTTTTCGTTATAATATTTTTTCCAAAGGACAATGCACATTTTCTTAGGGCGTTTGGGCCCCTAAAAAAGTTGTCGGGTCATGATGGTTTTAACTTAATTTGATAGACAAAGAAATATCGTTTCATATTCAGAAAACGATTTTTATATTCTCACCCAGGTTTAAGAGAAATCTGTTTTTTTCTGCAGCTAAAGTTAAGTTGTTAATTGTTTTCTTCGAAATCAATAATTACTCTCATCATTATTTACAGTATTAAATAAGTTAATTGTGGTTAATGTTGCTAGAAATAAGCCCTTACGTACATTTTATTATTATTATATCCTCATAATAATAATAAAATGAAATGAAAATCAGGAAGCCGGCAACGATATTGTTGTTGTTGTTTTTAAATTCGCCAATAAGCAGGCATAGAGCGTAGCCTATACAGCCTAGTCTGTCGTAGTTATATTTTTTTTTTTTCAATATAAAGCTGGTGTTTCTCTTTTTATTGCTTTTTGGGAGTTTTGACGTCAACTCGATGAATAGCACATTGAGTGAGCGTGAATTTCCGAAGACCTTTTATCTTGAAAAAAAAAACAGTCACTGCTATGTTAGCCACAGTTTTATTCCAATGCCTCAATAATCGTGAACAACGATTATTGACGTTTAATACACAAAACAACACCCAATTTATATATTATACATCACAATAAACTATTAAAAAAAACATTAAAATAAAACTTCAAGTGACGCTTCACTCGGGTTGCTGCCAAAACTATCTGATCATATATAATAAGAATAGAGTAATGGTAGGCCATTGAGATTTTTACTAATGGAATCAATAATATCTAAAAATATTAAATAATTCATGGTTTTAAGTAATAATAATTATTACAATATGTAAATATTGAATTGAACAAAAATAAACTAAAAAGTCTGTGAATTATAACCTTTAGCTAATTTTTTTTATTTGTTGTTCAAGTCACAGACAACTCTTTCGTTTGGCAGCTTAAAGGTTTACTATAAGGCTTTATGGGCTAAGCCCTTTGCCTATTGGCGAATTTAAAAACTATGGCACTCAACAACAACAACACTAAACAACGTGAAAAAATAATGCATAGTTTTTCAAGTACAAATAGTTTTGACATAAAGTTGGCCCACTTTTGGGCATTGTCCTTTAAACTTTAAATAGCTCTCCTGTTAACTTACAACAATGTCGTTTAAACCAAATATCCTTTCACCCCTCGATATAATTGTGGCAGGCCAGTCGCTAGTCGAACTATTTCCACAACTAACCTTTCTTTGAATTCCAAATAGAGTTGTGATGCGCCAGATGCATGAACTTGTACAAAAGATCTGGCTTGTTCAAGTCAGAAGCGAGTGAGCAGAGTTCCTTGTACGTAGAAAGATTTCCTCTGTAAAAAAATGTTTTTGATGTAACTAACTCTCACAGAAACCTTTAAAAAATATTCTTGTTGATTATCGAGGGACTGCTGATTAATAGCCTTTGCGGCAGGCACTTGGAAGGAAAAAAAAACAAATGTAATGATATAAATGTATGTAATGATATTTATGTTAGATTTTTTAAGATACTAACATAGATTATAAGTAATTCTTACTAACAGAATGTTATGGTTTTTTAAAAAAACTGAAATAAAGTATAAATAAATAAATTAAATTAAAATCAATTTCGGTCGATTCTGAACTCGATATTGTATTTAGTGCTTCGATTGTTTTTTCAATAGTTCTACTCACCCTGTAGGAGCTTTTCCGAGTTGTCCCTCTTCAAATATCTTCGTATCGTCCGTAACTTGGGCCACAGATCGCTTGCCGCTCGTGAGTTGTTCTATGATTTGACCGACCAGCGACTTCTTTTGGGTTTCGTCAGAGTTTTGATACACGAGACTCAGGCCCTTACTGGCCACGTCTTGTATTGTGTCTGTGGGAAGGGGAATTAGTGTTTTAATGTATATTTGAAACGCATGTCGTAAAATGGGGGAAATCGGGACACTTTTTAAGTTCGACATTGATTTTTATCGTTTTTTTTGTAGTAGTAGTAGTAATAAAACGAAGATCATAATGGTCCCGGAGCCTTAAATTTTTATATACAATGCGTTATTATACATAGTTCATTACAAAATATACACAAAAACTGAAAAAACTAGCTTGACCCGATTCACCTTGGCTTTGCGATGAATCAGGTTACGTATGAGGACAATAGAGTTTTTCGATAGGGCTGGCACTATTTCGTTGTTAAGTAGGTACCTAAGTTTAGGTAATTAACTTTTTAACATCTTCAATGAGTTACAAAACTTTGATGACTAAATTAAGATATTTAATATTCTTAAACACTAAATAAAAGTCATTTTCAGTTCAACAAAGTTAAATCTAACAACTCAACAAAAGTATTGTGACATCCCAGATTTGTCCCTATTCTACCTGTAGTCCTTATTCCCCCCAATCTACTGTACGTTATAATTTTGTTTATGAGATTAGCAGGTTTTCCCCTATTGGTTTGTTATTTTCAAACTCACCGCTGTTTTCCGACAAGAAGTCCATGAATGCGTCCTGCAACTCCTGCACCTTGTTCTTAATGGGGAAACGTTCTGGACAGTTCTTCAATAAGGCGAGCAACCATATACTTGTGGCCTGCGAAAAAAATTACACTCAAAGTTCAATTAATATAAATGTTTATAAACCGGCATAATATCCATTAATAATCAACCGGGAACGTATGCTTCATAATCAACGAGCATACTTTACCAAACTCCCGCTGAGCGTTGCTTCGTTGCGCGTGACATCATTGGAAGACAAAACGTTTTTTTTTTAAGGGATTTTATGACCTGATAACTAAGACCTTTAAGTTACCTCTTATTTTAATTCATATCCTTATTTTTATGAAAAACGATAATATGGAGTGAAATGAAATGAATGTTAATCAACTGCGATGAAATTAAATGAAATGAGATGATATGATATGGGATGAAATATAATCTCAATAAAATAGTGGTCATTTACTGAGATTTTTTCAGTGGACGTTTTGGAAGATCCCGAGAAGTTACGTCAAGCGGCTTTGTTTCTTTTACCCACATTTGTGCACTTTCACAGATATTAAACAGTTAATAAACCACCGTTATTACACATTTAAACCTGAAGAAACACTAAATAGACAAAATAAAACAAATCACACAACTTCACTCCTCGCGTTCCCGCCAAAAAAGTCAGACAATACGTATCGACGAGCTGACCATAGATCATACAACGATTAGACACATATGACATCACGCTTTCTGATAGGTGTTTAGTGTGACGTGAAAATGTGTCATTCGATTTTATTTAGTTTATTTAGTTTGAAGTCGTCGTGCCCTAGACGTCCGGTGCATTCGTGTTGAGCGATGCACCGGTGTTCGAATCTCAGGCGGGTACCAATTTTTCTAATGAAATACGTACTCAGCAAATGTTCACGAGTGATTTCCACAGTGAAGGAATAACATCGTGTAATAAAAATCAAACCCGCAAAAATTATAATTTGTGTAATTACTGGTGATAGGACCTCTTGTGAGTCCGCGCGGGTAGGTACCACCACCCTGCCTATTTCTACCGTGAAGCAGTAATGCGTTTCGGTTTGAAGGGTGGGGGCAGCCCTTGTAACTATACTTGAGACCTTAGAACTTATATCTAAAGATGGGCGGCGCATTTACGTTGTGGATGTCTATGGGCTCCAGTAACCACTTAACACCAGGTGGGCTGTGAGCACGTCCACCCATCTAAGCAATAAAAAAAATATGGAAATCATTTATATTTCACAAAAATAATTACCGAATGATTGTTTTAATGATTTAATCTGTAATATAGTATTTTAATAACATTTATTATTTCCATCATAGGCAGACGAGCATACGGCAGGCCTGGGAGTTCACCGTCGCTCAAGGACAATCAAACAGATAGACAAATATGAAATCGACGATCAGTCAGGGAAACCCGAAAACCTACGGTGAACTTTATGTCCAGATACGCTTCAGTTAGGTTAATAGCAGCATGTATATAGGTCACTTAATGTAACATTTTTCGGTAAAGTAACGTTTGCCCTGTGTGTTGTTTGACTTCACTAAAGAATTTATCCATCTATATCAATATATTTACGTTCAATACGTTTTCTTCGTACCTGTCTCGAATGCGGATGCGGATGTTTCGCAATCTTGAACAATTCTTCTAACAACCATTCCAATAACTCGTCGTTTTCCTTCAGAGCCTCTGAATCTTTGACTTTATCTGCACCCTAGAACCAGATTTTAGAATTGAAAAAATATTACAACAGAATGTATTCTATAATTCCTTAGCTACACTGATAAAATAAAATACGTACTTCTTAATTATAAAAATAGTGTGTTTGAATGATGTGTGAAGTTTTCGTGATTAGTAAGATATAAAGTGAATTTTGCGTAACGATTGCCAGTAGAAAATTATAGTATACATGAGACTTTTCAAAATGATTCGCTGTGTTTTATTTACAATTATCAACATTTGATTTCCGAACAGATTTGTTTTGTTTGTAAGTTTTTTTATTAGTTAAAATTAATAACAGTCAGCATGTCCACAAAAGTGTCGTATAGATACAAAACCTCTTTCGGTAATTCGGTCCAAAGATCTCGATTTTCGTTCGAATTTACGCCTTCGACGCACAGTACCAACGATTCGCCTATTTGCAAATGAATCTCAAACTCCTTGCTCTGAAACAAATATTTTGAAAATTATACTTAGTTATTGTATAGTCTATGTAACGCAGTCAGCGGGAATTTTACATAGTCTCTACAACATAATTCAAATAAGGATAATAATCTAAGTTTTTTTTATAAGACAACAGTAACTATAGAGATAGAAAACAATTTTCATGATAAATATATCTTATCATTGAGCTGTGATACATATTTGCCAAATTTAATATCTCGTTTGTACAGAGTATTTGCGAGCTATTACCAGAACATAGATTAACCAACTCACATCTTTGGCCATCTCAAGGAATCCCATTACGATTTGTTTGGCGAAACTCAACCTTTCCCCGCAGCACATAAGGCCTAACGTATACAGCGCCCTCTCTTTGATCTTCGACGGCAACTTGGCGTTTCCAACGATCTTAAACAGTCTCTGAGCGACGGTGAACTTAGTCACGACGTCGTTCGAATCATCTATAGTTTTGTTTACGTTGAACGGGTTGTCCGACTGTATGAGAGTGTCCTCTTTGGGCGATGTATTGGGTAGAGGCAGGCCGGAGCATCGAGCCAGCAGCGATATCGCAGTACACGAGGCGCTCACTAATAGCGTTTGGGGACTGATAAGGAAATTAGCTGAAAACAAGGTTAATCAACGAGTAAGCTTTTTATTATTATTATTTTTATTGTTTAAATGGGTGGACGAGCTCACAGCCCACCTGATGTTAAGTGGTTACCGGAGCCCATAGACATCTACAACGTAAATACCGCCACCCACATCGAGATATGAGTTCTAAGGTATCAGTACAGTTACAACGGCTGCCCCACCCTTCAAACCGAAACGCATTACTGCTTCACGGCAGAAATAGGCAGGGTGGTGTTACCTACCCGTGCGGACTCACAAGAGGTCCTACCACCAGTAATAAGCACACTGCACACAGACAGCTTGTCACATGCTGTGGCTTTTATCAGTCTTCATTAGTTAGTGAACGAGTTTAAGATTCTTTGATATCATATTGTACTAGTTTGAAAACACTACAGTGCAATGAGAAACAGTGAGTCAAAATACTATCGAAATAATTAAGTTTTTGATTTTCGGGAAAAGCGCTCACAGCCCTTCCGATGTCGGGCCCAGTGAGTTCGACATTAAGTTCGTGATTCAAAACAATTAGATCGACTTACCCAAGCACAACGCGGCCTCTTGGTAAGGTTCCCAGTCGGCGGCGCTAAACCCTTTCCCGCCAAATTTGCCGCGCGTCGACAAAACGACCGCCCTCTCGCAAACATTCGCGAAGGCGCTCAAATATCCGCATTGACTCTCTAGGGACTTGTTGTTTTTTCCTAGCGTAACGAATTCGGAGATCTCCTTATCTATGGCCGTTTTTTCGCTGGTGTGAACGAAGATTATAGCATATATGACCGCGGACGTGTCACGGATGTGTTCTTTGGTGCTAGTCGTGAACAAATTTCTCAAGAAAGGCAGTAGATTTGTGTACTTTGAGGCCATCTTCTCCGGTATACATCCGATAATGTCCAAGAAGCAAGTTAGTGCCATTAAATCTGCAAGGTATTTTTTTGAAATCATTTTTTTGAACCTTTTTTTTTTTCCTACCTAAGCTGATAGTCTTTAGAGGTTATTTCAGCGTAACCTTAACTAGTAGGTGAGCTCACGGAGCTCGAACTTGACGACGTTGCTAACCGTGCTTCGCAGAATATACCACCGGATCGAAAACGCGACCCACTGAGAAGTTCCGACGAGAATCTCAGTGGGCTGTCTGTGGGTTAATTCACTCGTCGAGCACTTCGTCGCAAGCAACGGGTTCGGCTAGGACGGTGACCGGTGCTTGAGGTACCTAAAAACACATTAATGGATCGGGAAGATCCGTAATGAAGTGTTTAGGGCGACGTCGACTGTATACCATTCGGTTCGCAGGACCGGCGGCCACGATGACAGGGTTCTCGTGTCGTGCCGCTTTGTTTAAGTGGTTTTAACCTGTTTAAAATTATATTTACATTGGATAGACCCATCAATGTTTGCTGAAGCCGAATCTAAGACATACCTGGACTAGCGTTCAGCACCGAAGTGATCAGCGTGAGGTATCGGTCGAGCAGCTCCGTGTCGAGCAGGTTCTCGTAGAAGTACTTAGCGAGCAGCGGGGACGTCGCGTTCGGGTGATCCGAGCAATCCTTCAGACCGGCGTCGCGGTTCAGACACATGCGAAGATACCTTAGTATCTACAACAAGAGAATACACTGAAAATTGCAACGACGACGAGAGTTTTAACGACGAAGGGAAAGATCTTCCACCGAGCGGGTGATATTGTATATTGCAAGCTTATTGTTACACCGGTAATACGCCACATATCGCAGAATATCAGAAACAAATATTAAAGGAACTAGTAACACTGAGAACGCTCGAGAAGTACAACGCCATCTATTGTCTGAGAGCGGAAACAGACATCGAAGGTACTCGACTTGCCCAAAATGTTCTCAATAAATGTAGGCATGTCGTATCGACTATAAAAGCGTTGCGGGGATGGCACGCAGTCAGTCAGTAATCGGAACTACTCGAAGCGAAACAGCGAACGGATCACTTGAAGCGAAACGGAAGAAGCGAATTACAAATTGTTAAGTGCTCTGTAAGTGCTCTTAAGTATTTAATACAGTTTTAATTTGTACTTCGGAATAATTTTTATTTATCCCGAGCCCCAGCGCTTAACATTATCTTGAAAATGTTGTAAGCGAGAATCAGGGAATCTGTCAAATATCTTGTGTTCTATGATGAACGACTTCGTATCACTGAGCCGGGTATTTCTGTCGCCTAACCGGCACACAGTTGTAATACTGGATGGCCATTATTCCTAACCTAATACCTTAGTACGTATTTCCTTAAATAAAATGGCATCTGCCTGTGATATTTGAATCCAACATTGACATTTTTACTGGTGTTAGGACCTCTTGTCAGTACGCACGGATATGTACCACCGCCCCGCCTATTTCGGCCGTGAAGCAGTAATGCGTTTCGGTTTGAAGGGTGGGGCAGCCGTTGTAACTATACTGAAACCTTAGAACTTATATCTCAAGGTGTGTGGCGCATTTACGTTGTAATGTCTATGGGCTCCAGTAACCACTTAACACCAGGTGGGCTGTGAGCTCGCCCACACATCTAAGCAATAAAAACAAAATAAAAAAACATAGTCAAATCTCCGATATGAATGCACTTACGTTTTATCTTAGAAGCCACGAGCCCTTAACAATATGTNTATACTGAAACCTTAGAACTTATATCTCAAGGTGTGTGGCGCATTTACGTTGTAATGTCTATGGGCTCCAGTAACCACTTAACACCAGGTGGGCTGTGAGCTCGCCCACACATCTAAGCAATAAAAACAAAATAAAAAAACATAGTCAAATCTCCGATATGAATGCACTTACGTTTTATCTTAGAAGCCACGAGCCCTTAACAATATGTTGATAGACAGTAATCGTATAGCAGTCCAATATCTGAACAAGTTCCACCTACCTCTTGATAAGTCAGCGGATGAAACTGCAGCACCTGGTTGTTGATCACGAACCTATGCTTAGCGTTCGAGCCCTTCTTCCTCTTCTGCATTTGTTTCCATATGTAGTTGACCATATCTTTGAACTTCGGCACGGCCAAGTCGACGCCTTCCGAAGACACGTCTTTGTTTTCATCGGGCGACTCTCCGTCGAAAATAACGATTTTTGTCTCTTTCTTCGCCGCATTGTTTACGACATCCTCTATCTCGCTCGGTCGTGATGTCCCGTATAAACATTTCAGGGCCTCCGTCGAAATTTCGTCTTTGCTGTAACGAGTACAAAGGCTTTTTTTTAATAGCCCATTATCAATTAATAATGTAACAGTTCTGGCATATACCGACTCGACTACCCCTGCATGAAGTCGGAGCCAGAGTGGTCCGCGACACACACGTCCCTATTAACTAGAGATGAGACAGTTCGTTTCCAACGTATCGTGAAAATGCCAGCACCACACAACACATCCTGTATTACTTGTCTGACTTTTTGGCGGGAACGCGAGGAATGAAGTTGTGTGATTTGTTTTATTTATTCTATTTAGTGTTTCTTCGGGTTTAAATGATTAATAAAGGTGGTTTATTGATTGTTTAGTTTCTGTTCACAAGGTAAAGTGCACATATTTGGGAAAATGAAACAAAGCCGCTGAACGTAACTTCTCGGGATCCTCCAAAAAGTCCACTGAAAAAACCTCAGTAAATGACCACCATTTTACTGAGATTATATTATTATTTCATCCCATATCATATCATTTCATTTAATTTCATGCGAATTGATTAAGTTTCCTTCGTTTTTTATTATTCATAAACTGTAAATAATTATTAAAACGGCGAATTATAAAAATCTTATTACTTGACGCTGGCTAATGCACAAACCGTGCCGGAGCCAAAAACTAAAGAAGAAGAAGAATTACCTGTCTCCGCTGGCCAACAGCAACAAGTACCGCGCCGGTATATACTTGGGCGGGAACACGGTCGAAGCGTAGCGCATCGCTATATAGCGTATCATCAACTCCTCGTNGTAAATAATTATTAAAACGGCGAATTATAAAAATCTTATTACTTGACGCTGGCTAATGCACAAACCGTGCCGGAGCCAAAAACTAAAGAAGAAGAAGAATTACCTGTCTCCGCTGGCCAACAGCAACAAGTACCGCGCCGGTATATACTTGGGCGGGAACACGGTCGAAGCGTAGCGCATCGCTATATAGCGTATCATCAACTCCTCGTTTTGCATGTAACTGAGAACAATTAATTATCTATATATATAAAAATGAATTGCTGTTCGTTAGTCGAACGGCTAGACCGATTTGCCTAATTTTGGTCTTAAATTATTTGTGGAAGACCAGAGAAGGGTTTAAAAAGTAGATAAATATGAAAATACCCCCCCCCCCCCGGACGGATTCCTTTTGTATGTTTTAATTTTATTTTATACAAAAGTTTAGGTCTTTTATTTATCGACTGAGATACTACGAAGTCTGCCGGGTCAGCTAGTATCATATAAATTTAAATTCATGTAAAGAAAAACCTTTATACCTTTAACTCTAAGCCCTAATCTCTGGTTTTTAAAAAAGGATTTTTCTTCAGTGTCATGGGTTGAAGTCTGTCACCGAGTAAAATGAGAGTTCAGTTTTATATAGTTCATTAATACTGTTTAATTTTTTATATTAATTTTAAAAGAGATTAAGGGCTTTAAATGTTCTTATCTTATATTGCATATAACAGAAAACGCAATCAAGCCTTTTATTGTTTACTCATTCTGAAGTAAATATCAGTATATACATTATTTTTTAATATTAGTAATAGAAGTCACATAATAATACTGGACATTGAGGGTATGCTCTATCTCTTTCCCGTAAATAGTGTTGTCGTAGCACGTGCGTGAATCGCGTAAACATTGACGTCATTGTTCAATAAAGTGCACTCTGCCTAGACGTTACAACTAAAACGAATTAAAACTTACTGGTCCAACAAAGCGAACAAGACTAGTGCTTGCGTTTCATCGAATACGGAATTCGGTTTAGCCTCAGCAGATTCATCGACATCCATCTTATCTTGAGATGAGCACGGGACTTCAGTCGGTGTCGTGGCTTTAGAATTTTGCTTCTCTGCATATCAAAAAAATATTATTAATTCTGATATAAAGCACAAATTCATATCTTCTATTTAAAGCACCTACCTAAATAAATAAAAAACTGGAGAAATTAAACAAAGGACAAAAATCAATAAATTTATTAAGGTAGTTTGAAATGCCTAATGTGACGTCACAGAATGATAGAAAAGATCTTCTCAGATCTTTCTTTCATTTCGAATTGAATGTTTTTTTAAATTATTATTGCTTAAATGGGTGGACGAGCTTACAGCACACCTGGTGTTAAGTGGTTACCGGAGCCCATAGACATCTACAACGTTCATGCACGACCCACCTTGATATAAGTTCTAAGGTCTCAAGTATAGTTACAACGCCTGCCCCACCCTTCAAACCGAAACGCATTATTGCTTTGCGGCAGAAATAGGCAGGGTGGTGGTACCTACCCGTGCGGACTCACAAGAAGTCCTACCACCAGTAATAAGTATCTGTCAAAGATAATTGGTTTTTAAAGTCTATGTGTACTTATTCGTACCCACAATAGAAGAGGTAACTCTAGCTTGGAGCCTTTGTATTAGGAGGGATATATTTAAAAAAAACTGACCTGCAAAACTTGTCTTGTAAGCTACGGCCATGTCGAGTAGCGCGTCTCGTATGGCCGTTTTGATCTCGGGCGGGGCTTCTGGGATTTTCTTTATTAACTCTTCGAGCAACGAGAACTGGCCGCTGCTCACGCAGTCAGGGCACTTTATCGCTAGACGACCTGTTTGTAGGAGCATGGTAATGTTACGCCGGCAATGGTATTAACGTCATCTATCGCCGAATAGCCGAACGAATATCGAAAGATCTAGTAACATCTATAACGCTCGAGAAGTACAACGCCATCTATTATCAGATAGCGGAAACACACATCGAAGCTACTCAACTTGTGAGGAATGTTCTCGACGATTCTAGGGATGTCGTATCGACTATAAAAGCGTTGCAGAGATGGCATGCAGTCAGTTAGAAATTGGAACTATTCGAAGCGAAACAACGAACGGATCACCTGAGGCGAAGCAGAAGAAGTGAATTAAGAATTTTAAAGTGTTCTTTGAGTGTTCTAAGTGATAAATACAGTTTTAAGTTGCACTTGGTGGAACTTTTATTTATCCCGAACCCCAGCGCGTAACAGTAACAATCGTGTTAATTTAAAGCTTTGTCTCTTTCTATCGCGTAATCTATGAGCTAAGTGAAATGAGATGACATAATCGTCCCATACGAGCTGATGATCTGCGGCCCTAACTACACTCCATGACTTCATTTATAATTCAATAAAGTACAAATGCGCCACCCGCTGTAGATTAATGATACTATATAAAAAAAAACTCCTCTGAAGTTTCAACAAATACAGAGTGAACAGTTTTAGATATAGTACGCATATTATAGCAGTATGACCGGACATACAAACAGGCAAATCAATATTCTAACACACCTACTATATTATAGGCATATATTATCTTTGATTTGTTTTCATTGCGCGATGCTACCACGTCGAGGTGAATCGTGAGCTTTTGCTATACAAACCCAGACAGACGTAGGCTTTAGGTTGATGTTCAGGATGCTCTTCAGATCTGATTATCTTCAGCAGACCTTGTAGGAATACTGTCGATACTTTCTGTAGCTGGAGAAGATCGCCGCTGCAACAGGTATTATTATTATTATTATTGCTTAGATGAGTAGACGAGCTCACAGCCCACCTGGTGTTAAGTGGTTACTGAAGCCAATAGATATCTACAACGTAAATGCGCCACCCACCTTGAGATATGAGTTCTAAGGTCTCAGTATAGTTATCTCAGTATAGGTATCACAATAATTATTATTTATTACTATTGTTCGAAAAATTTGTCTACTTATTTTTATAAACTAAGTAGATGTGAACCTAATTTAAAATTTTAAATAGTATATAATCAAACATAATCGTAGTTCACGCGGAGAAATATAGCAGACGTTTAGCTGTGGGATCGGCCTACGATAGCACCACCCCTATATAATTTTTTCGAGTTGGAATCGTCAACAAGACCGCACGGGTAGGCACCACCATTCTGATTACATCTATTATGAAGCAGCAGTCATACGTTCCGTTTCGCAGGGTGGTAGAAGCGATCCACGATATGAGATTCTGACCGCATGGCTCAAAGTAGCTTAGTAGGCTTTGAGGTTATGTCTTTGGGTTTCCGAGGCCACTACACAAAATCTGATCAGTGAGCTCTTTCATGCATAAATAAATTTTTGACTTTTTGGCGGGAACGCGAGGAGTGAAATTGTGTGATTTGTTTTATTTTCTCTATTTGGTGTTTCTTCAGGTTTAAATGTGTACTAACGGTGGTTTATTAACTGTTTAATATCTGTGAGAGTGCACAAATGTGGGAAATTGAAACAAAGCCCCTGGACGTAACTTCTCGGGATCCTCCAAAAAGTCCACTGAAAAAATCTCAGTAAATGACCACAATTTTACTGAGATTATATTTCATCCCATATCATCTCATCTTATTTCATTTAATTTCCTCTCAGTTGATTAATGTCTCAAATTAATCATATTCATTTAATTTCATTTCACTCCATATTATAATTTTTCATAAATATAAGATTATAAATAAAAATAAGACATGACTTAAAGGTCTTAGTTACCAGGTCATAAAATCCCTTAAAAAATTTTTTTTTATTAAATCACCGAAATAGTCGTTTCGTCACGAGGTGCACCGAGGAGCGCGCTCCTGGCATTTCTGACGTCCATGAGTGACGGTGACTAATTATCATCAGTTAGGCCATATGCTCTTCTGCCTACAGTGACTTATAAAATAAAAAATAGTAACGGGACAACTTACGAACTGATCACGTTCGACAAGAACACGAGTCCTTGGTTGCGTAAACGCGAGTTTGTGTTCGGATCGAACAACGACACGAATACCACCTGAAATACAATAAACGTTCACATATAAAATACTTCACGCGTCCAACATTATCGACGGGCCTGAGACGGCCATTTTGTAGCATCCATCTCAATGCGTCACTGTAATCACTTCCAATTTTGTGCAGTATGCTCAGTGCGAGTTTTGTAACGTTTTCGATAGCGTAAAATTTAACTCAAATTTGCGTGCAGTTAGAACAGCGCCCCTAGCGGAAACGTAGGTAAACGTTCCGACTCCATACAAATTTTAGTTAACTTTTACAATATCGAAAATGTTAAAAAACTCTCACTAAGCATATAAATTGCTTTATCGAACAACAAGACAGGCTATGGAGGTTTTAGCAGAGCCATTTATTTAAAGTTAAAAATTTGGAAAAAATATTATGACAAAAAAAACTTCTTCAGCTATATTGAATTCTTTCACCTCTCGAAAGAGTAAAATCGTTTTATTTCTTAATTCGGCGAACAATCCACCTGGTGTGACCTAGTTACCACAGTATGTAGGCATCACTATGTGAATACCCCCACCTACCTTGAGACACGATATCTATGTATCAATTATTTTGCAATTAGATTGCATTTAGATTGCATTTTTTTTAAATACGGAAGTGACGTAAACCTCGTCGCCATGTTAGTCATATTTACCTGAACACAATGCGGAAACAAAACCGCCGGACCGGTGGCCTTAATCAAATATTGTATTAATTTCAATCGCAGGCGCGTACAAGCCGGTACCTAAAAACGTAACTTTGAAGTTTTTAACCGATCACAATAATAGTCTCTTTTTTTTCCTACCTATTCTAGTAACCACAAAGGGTTATTCTAGATTCACGGAACTAGTAGGTGAGCTCACGGGGCTCAAACCGCAGTGTTGCTAACACTGACCCTAGCAAGAGCAGTGCTTCGCAGAATCTACCACCTCAAATCTCAGTATTTGGTGTCTACGGGTTAATTTACTCGCAGAGCCTTTCGTCGCAAGCAACGGGTTCGGTGAGGACGGTGACCGGTGCTTGTGGTACCTAAAAGCACCGTTTATGGATCGGGAGGAGCCGTAATGACATGTTTAGGGCGGCTTCTCTCAATGTCATTTTTACTGTATCCCGATTCTATGACAGTCATAACTATTTGAAAGCCTTTGCTAAAGCAAATAGTGCTTTATAAACATTTTTGTCCGGTCTTACAATACGACTGGTATAATTATCTACGGAAGGGCAGGAATCATTTGGAAAGGAGTATCTAGAGGTCAATGTCACATGTGTCTTAAGGATTATCTAGAAATACTATTATGTGTAGGCTCCCTTAGCCAGAGTACTGACCAATTGTGCTAAGGGTCGGAGAGTCGGTCAATTAAGTCATTAAAATTTAGATGTATTATACATTTTAAATGGCGTTGAGCAGGGCCCAGGTAAATATAAATGGAGCAAAATTGTGACACGATGGTATCCTAGAGAAAGCAAAAGGAAAAAAGGTGACCGCAGGAAAGATGGGATGACCACATAAGACAAGTGGCAGGCGTCATATGGAACAGAGTGGCTCAAGAAAGACATGAGTGGAAAAGGTTAGATTGTCGTAGACCTTTGTCGATTGACAAACAGATCTGTAGAAAATAAGAAAATTTCAAATAAGAGACTAGATTAAGGTTTACATAAAATTTAAGTTTTCTGTATATTATATTTAGTCATATAATTGTAGTATGGATCTAAATAAAAGGCTATTCAATTAAAAAAATACATTTTAAAGAGCGTTGGTATTTTAGGACGATTCAAACTTACCTTGCGATCGTCTGGAGGCACTTTGGAGCCTCCCCAAGTGCCTAAATATAGAGAGTATAAGGGGAATACCACTGATGGCTGCGACCAGTCTACAGAGCTGAAACATTATTTTATATTATAATACTAATATTAATTACTCAGATATTAGCTGTAACCCAGTTGTATAAACAGACCCATTTCAAGTACCATTACATAACAATAATGACGTAACGTTCCATGAACTGATCTTATCGTTTAAAATGTTTCACTATAGGCGTGCTTATTACTTAGTATTAAGTAATTAAAACGATATTATGTAAGTTCAGTGATACTATTGGAAATCGTCGTGGCCTAAGCGATAAGACGCTCGGTGTACTCCTATCGAGCGATACGACTATGTCAGCGTTCAAATCCCACACGCAAGTAACATATTTTTTTTTATAAAATGCTTTGGGCTATTTCTCGACTGATTTCCTACAACACTATTATCTACATATATAAAAATTAATTGCTGTTCGTTAGTCTCGCTAAAACTCGAGAACGACTGGACCGATTTGGCTAATTTTGGTCTTGAATTATTTGTGGAAGTCCAGAGAAGGTTTAAAGGGAGATAAATATGAAAATGCTCGGAATTAAATAAAAATAACAATTTTGTTTTCCCTTTGATGTGTTGTCCCCCGTCGGACGGATTCCTTTTGTTTCTTTTAAGTTTATTTTATACAAAAGTTTAGGTCTTTTATTTATCGTTTGAGGCACTACGAAGTCTGCCGGGTCAGCTAGTATATCATATATGCAACAACGATACATTTAAGAATTACCTGTTCACTCTAATGAGGGGGCTGTTCGCGTGATTGGCAACGCTGAATCGTGAGTCAGCTGCGGCGACAATCAATGGTAAAAGCACATCGTTGTCATTGAAGACGTCTTTGCTTATAAATTTCACAATAGACAACTTTATCTATAAATCAAAATAATAAATGTATCATTTAAATTTAGAACGTCACCTCGTAGTAATCAAATAATTTACCACGATTATACTATAAAGTAAGGGGTGATAGTTGAAAATATGCTTGAGTGAGTATATGATTGAGTGTTGTAGTAAAGTTTTTTTTTTTCTATTAAAACGAGGTTAGAACATAACTGAACATTAACTTTAAAACTTTAATTTATAAAAAAAAAAATAAGTCGACTATAATAACAATAAAGTTTAACAAGTTTTTAGTAAAGACTGAGAGGGCTGCGACGCTCTCTCGCATTTCCTCACCTGTGCCCGTACGTAACCAATGTCGTCATTATTCAATAGTAATTACTGTTTTTTCTGAGAGAATACAATGATGTCTATCTGATAATGAAGTAAAAAGGTTTTCGACTTCTACGCTTGTGTTAATTTTCAATAAGCGAACGCTTTTAATTTTTAGGTTAACTTGGTAGACGAATGATACCAACAAGCCGGTTTTATAACTATTCGCCGAATCAAAGTATAAAGTGTAAAATATGTTCCCGACGTCATATAAGCTTACTAAGCGTAAGGTAATAAAGACGAAGATGCATCGCAGACTTCCGCGATGGACGTGGACACCATAATAAAAAAATAAAACCCGCCAAACGTTTGATTTTTTTTCTCCCTACCTATTGGCAGGTAGCCTAAGAGGCTATTCCAGCTACGCCTGGACGGGTAGATGAGCTCACGGGCTCAAGCTAAGAGAATTTGCTAGCCAGACCAGTGCTTCGCAGAATCTACCACCGAATCGGAATCGCGACCCACTGAGAAGATCCGGCGAGAAACTCAGTGGGCAAAACGTTTGACGGCAATTAAAACTGCTATTACGGTTTAATCTCGCTTTTATTGGTACACACAAACATTATATCGACAGAACTGAAGAAAATACTAAAATATTATCACATTACATTATGAGTTCATGCAGCAATCCTACTTGTTTCTGCCACGAAGTACCCATACAATCTAACGTGAAGGGTATGACTGCAGTTATACATATATTTGAGGTTGCGACATCAAAAAAAGTGATATGTCTGTGAGCTTCGGTAACCACAGAATATCAGACGCAAATCTGCCTACTTACAGTAATAAAAAAAAGCATTTTCATTTCTGCTGTAGTTAATGCTTTTAGAGTACTCATTTTACTCTTTTTCCAGGGCTAACTGGGGCATTCTAAGAGTTAACGAACATAAAACTATAAATATCTATGAACAAATAAATGATTCAACATGTCATCGTAGGTCGAATAAGCGATGTATATACATATTTTAAGATCGTCATAAATTATTTATTTGGTTCCCAGTTTTGAAAGCATTAATGATAATTTATTTTTCATGTTACCTGTTCTAGTTGATTTGGATTCAAAAGATTTTTCTCAACCAATCTCTTGTAAGATTTCATACTCATTCCTGGTGGAACTTGAAACTCAGTCTCTCCTTGATTGGGCAATGCTCTGGGGCAAAGTTTATTTTCATTGTTGTGAAGATAAAATTTTAAATTAATTACACAATTTATATTTATAATTGCTCCTTACTATTAGATTATTATAAAAACTTCTAGTGGCATAGCTTTAACAGTATTGATAAAAAAAAATATTATTAATTGGAAACATTTTTTGTATTGACTGTACAATTGAGACCTTCTTGTCTACCAACTAGTGGAAATATTCAATCTACAGTGACTACGGTCTCAAGTACTACTTAATACCAGATGAATTTACAGGTCAATTATTATGCAATGTTAATGATAAACCACTTTCACCAGTTAATTTCAATTTTTTTTTCTTCATTTAAATGTGACCACCAAAGTTTTAATATTGAAACCTTTAAATAAATCTTTGAAATAATTGATGATTGTTAATCTATTACAATATATTACTGTATTATCCAAGAGATTACCTGTAGGGCAACAGAAGTATATCGGTGGCAAATTTTACTATTAATGTGGCCAGCTTTGGCTTTTCTTTCAAATTTAGATCTGTTTCCTTAATTTCACCCAACAGAGGCATTACCAACATTAGAAGGCTAGAAAAAACACAATACTTTTATGATTTGTATCTCACATATTAATATTCGTACAATTAATGTTGAATATGTCTTAAACTTATGTATAACAATACAGAAGCAACAAAAAACACTAGTTCACAAATATTATACTAAACAAAAAAAAATCAGCAAAGTTTTGAAGTAATGTGATATCTGTTTTAGCAATTGCAAGCAGAAACATGATTTCACTTTAAGGGGAATTAGTTTATACATATTCGTTTGTGTAAAAAAATTAAAGATAAACTTAAAAAAAAAAATTACATTTTTTATCAAAAATAACTGGTATCTAATGGCAGAACAAGAGATCTAGCTGCGAGAGATATAATCAGTTATAGTTTTGTCACTGAAAACTTTAGTATACAGGCCATTTAACAATTTTTCTTGCAATATGGGAAACTATATAGTTGTCTCTGAAACTATAATCAGAATGCCTAACGTTTAAAAATAAAGTTGATAAGTCTATTTCATTCAAACTATGTGTTCATTGACTGATACCCTACTCACCCGTCTTGATGTCCCTGGGGCTTATTATCCATTGCTTCTATCAGTGATGGAGCTAAAATAATTTGTTGTTCATGGGGTAATCTCGGAAACCCCATTGTAATGTAAATGATGGAAAAATTCTAAAAATAAAATAGATAATTCACTTCTGAGCAGGTAGAAGCTCAGCTTCAAAACCATTTAATTCGCTACCACAAGCACAGCAACTTTCTAGGACAAGCTATCATTTAAGAAATGACATACTTTAATTTAGAAGAATACAAAAATTCTCACAATTATAAAACTGTTGGAATTACGATCCATGTAAAGTTGCAGAAGTGTTTGTACAGGTAATTTTACTTCAGCACGACATTTCACCCTCTTATTTACATGCACCAGTAGCTCCATCACTTTAGTGCGGACCTAATACAAAGAAAGATAACATGACGACTAGAATAAAGATGACAAGAAATGAGCTGAAAACTACAAAAGTACAGTTTTATTCTTTAAAATTTTTATATTATACAACATGAACACCAAATCTTTATCACTACTGCACTACTAACCAACAGAACAGTTCCTTTTCTATTATTTTCTGGTGTGAACTTACTCTTCATTATTTAGATGCCTTTCTTCTAAGGAATAACAAAAAACACTTTCCAATAAGCATTAGCCTGACTTTGATATTACATATATCCATGACGGATAAGCTTGCTGGGCCAGTATAGGCTGAACTGAACTACTATAGATGGCAAAGAAAAATAAAACTTAATTGCCACTAATCCAGTAAGACTTAATTCTGCAGTATTTCAAATATACACTGTTTGCAAGTATTCCTTACAAAATAGAGCTACACTCTGTAATAGTTAACATTTGACTAACATAAAACTTGTTCGAAAGTCATTTTTCTAGAAGAAATAAAATAAAGGTCCCTTCACAAATGCCAAATGTCCTTCGTTCTCACAATTATATTACTAGTTAGTATGTAGAACATAGGTGGGTACCTGTTCATGTGAAGATGATAACTTCAATATAACAGGCGGCAGGAATCTATTAAGGCAACTTTCGAGCTGCTCATCAGTATCAGCATTACCGAGTCGCAAAAAGACTCTATCCAGTAACACTGGAATATAAGACAAACCAAAATTTATACGTCCAGCGCACTCTTTATATTTTACCTGCGTTTCAATTAATCAAGTCAATTTTATAAATACATTTAAGAAAAAGTTAAAAGAGCAACTAACACAAGTCATTTGAGTAATCACTTCCACTCTCAGATACATCCATCTCGGACATTTTATATTTAAATTTTCAGAATTATTGATGTTGGTAGGCTATTTTTCAAACTTGTACAATTTTCACTACAATGACAAAGAAAATATTGATTTTTGACAGTGACGTTTTGTTAATGTAAATGAAAACCTAAGGCAAAGCAAATTTCTGAAATTTCCGCGTTCATCTCGCATCAAATTATGTCTTAAATGATTGCAGGAAGTCTATTTTTTAATACCATTGGTATGATGGATGGTGATTAAAATAATAATTTCAGACTTTGTGGCGGAAACGCAGAGCCAAGCTGTGTATATTTTTTACCTTTCTAATTTAGTTTTTGTTCAGATTTGTGTAATAATAGTAACTTAATAGCCGCTTAGCACCTGTGAAAGAGACAATTATGTCAGATTTTTTTAAAACTGAATTCCCAGCAAATTCTCACCATTTACCGAGACAATGGTGAGACCCAGACAACTTCATCTCATCTCATTTCATTTAATCATGATCCCAATTGATTACAAGCATCAATCAACTCCATTCACCTACACACCTCATTCCGATCCATAATATTTGAATCAAGTTATTATAATTTTATTGGAACAACTTTTAAACTCGATACTGGCAACAATAGCTCGCTCGAAGCCAGTTGCTATACTCAAAAAAAAATTTCTTTTTACCGAATCAATAACTGTTGACGCCGGTTTAAGCAAAATTGCTGGGGTACTTTCTTTAAGAGCTTTCCTCGCACTTCTAACTGGAACTATTGTTTTAATCCAGTGAATTCCAAGTTTTTAGGTGTAATTTTTACAACGGCTATAAAATTCGGCAAAGGGAAGGAGTCTCCCCGATGCTTCAAATGAGAAGTCCTTAACGATATAGTAACATATTGGCACTGGCTTTGCTATAGCCATGAGCATTGATGAACACTTAAGACCATGGAACATAAATGTATCTGCTTTCGATGATAATAAATAAAATGTCTCAGGCTCTTGTATAAAAAGGTAGTTTCCTCCGATAGGGTATTTGAAATAAAAAAAAATAATTTCCAATAGATATTAAGTATGTACATAAACATTTTAATGAAAGTACAAAATTTCAGAGAAATTAAAATAAGCTATACAGAATATTTTATAAAGTAAAACGTAACAATTACTACAATAAAGATGCCAGAAAACTATAAATCACTTCCTAATTTTAACACAGCACTCATAATCTATCTCTATTATAAAAATACTACTGACAAATTTAGATATGCTGTGAAGTCTATTTTTGGAATGTTATGATCCAAGTACATTATAATCATTTCTAAAATACTGATTTTAATACATAATTTTTTTAGAGAAAAGGAATTTCATTTTTTAAGAATGTCGACATTACAATTTTAGAAAAAAAAACAGACCGCACTAAATCATTAGAATCTAAAAAACACACAGAAAAAATCATATTTACAATAATGTATTTGTATTCAATAAACTTTTGCAATCCTTGAGATCTTACATATTTTTCTGTAAATACAAACATTTTTATCACTTTCCTAAACACAAATTTAGCTAAACAAAAAAATTAACACATATTTTAATAATATTCAAGGTTACAGGGGGCAGAGTAAATTAGTATGGCAATACTTCGATTTCCTGATGTTGATTTCATTATTTCCGAAAAGTACATAAACTCTGATACCTACACTGTTAATACGTAACACCGAGCTCGGTGTTCGGCTCTTCTCTTTAAAACAGTATTAGAAAAGGCCTATATTCAGAAGTCACAATCGAACGCATTGGTATTTTTACGAACATACATGATGTGTTTTTTTATTGCCCTTGTAGGCAGATGAGCATACGGCCCCCCTGATTATGAAGGGTTACCGTCGCTCAAGAACAATGCTTAAGACACAGACTATCCGTTGCCTACCGCAACTGAGTTACTGAGTGATTACTATTAAGAGACTGCGCTCCAGTTCAACCTAGTTTTATGTTTGCATGGTCGCGTTACCGATGCACAAACCTAAGTCATCACCTCAAAAATACCAAACATATCATCAGGCCCAATAGTGCCTGCCTTTTTCGATAAAGTAGTGATGTTAAGTTTCGCAATTCAATCAGTATTTTATTAATCTATATTCACATTCTATTTCGTCTAAAGCGTAACATATAATGGAGATACCCCTTACAATGTGAACTTGAAACAAAAAAATCGCTTCCAATTAGGATGAGTTATTTATCGTTCTACCTCCACAGTTATTCCAGTAAATAACTCAAACAAGCAATAACTCAAACTTCACAGTATTATGCATGAATATTTTAGATCATGTACGGGTTACTCTAACTCATACCAGTATTGATACATAAGAGCGACCAGTGGACGCCGTACCGCATGCCGATCCGTAGTTAGGTCCAGGGATATTCCGAAACAGCCGCGAATGTACCTATGCTACCTGACCGGCCACCGACCGTGGGTAAGGCGTAGAATCGTTTTCAACGACGAAACCATCAGGCGTCCTTGAAGTGGCAGCGTTCGCACCACCCAAAACTCCATTAAAAATTTTACTCCCTTTGTCTAATTCATAATGTTTACCAAAAAAAATATATGTGCACAACAAAATTGATATCGTTAGTGTTTTATTAGAAATATTAAAACCTCAAATACATTTAATCCTGTTTTTTTCACATTTCTTATTTTGCCCCTGTACCTATCCTTCAACGCACAACTTAATATTCTCTGAAAACATAAAAATCAACTATATTTTATATAAAATAATTCGCTGCTCCATTCAAACAGTTTTATGGAACCGCTCTCGAAAACGAAGGCGCGTAGTTGTTGTACTACCGAATAGTCAAAGTGTTCCCAAAACTTTAAACTTTACGAATGTTCGTATGTAAGTCCTTTTGTGCAGTACCTAGCCCAAAACAGCAGTCTCGTACAGAAACGCACTCTGCGAGTATATTAACCTATTCGCACTGCAAGCTTCCATAGACTTAACGGATCGTTTCATTCCTTTTATTACGAGATCTGTGTTCAATTTGTTTTAAAAGCCCATACAGACTCGGTTTACCACGGTAAAAAAAAGTAATACGGTACTTTAAGTTTTTTGATAAATCGAAAAAAGTAGTCTAATTGTCAAACAGAAATAATCTCGGAAGACATGCGGTGGCATCAGTCTCAACGCGCGCAATGTACGTCCGCACTTCATCTAAGCCCACTGAGTTTCTCGCCGAATCTTCTCAGTGGGTCGCGATTCCGATCCGGCGCTAGATTCTGCGAAGCACGGCTCTTGCTAGGGCCAGTGTTAGCAACGCCCCGGTTTGAGCCCCGACGGCTCACTTACACGCTAGGGTGAAGCTGAAATAGCCTCTCAAGGCTATCAGCTTTATCAGCACAGGTAGGGAAAATAAAAGTGCCGTTGCATGCATGTTGTGTACGAACGATAAGTCTACGTTTGTCTTTACAAATTAATATTATTTTCCATTGAAACAACCGATACAAATGGTCATTTCGGGAGCGGTTCCTTTACACCCTGTTTCTTAAAACATTATAATTCGTCAGCAGTTAAATTCGATACGAAAAACCGCATGACACATTTGACTATTTTCAATCGTATTGTAACGTTAATACATGTACATATTTACTTGAAAAACAAAATTTTGAATGTTGCTCACGTATGTCATATTCAACGGTGCTCGAGATTAGTACCAAAAAGTCGGATACTCATGAATCGAATAGAATAGGATTTGTTTTAATAGCTTTGTTGGTTAAAAAATTAGTAGAGATTCCGTTCCGTATTCCAAATAAAAACTACACACGAAAAGAAATTTTTAAAAAATAAATCCGAACGATTTTTGTAAGACCGAAAATAATCCAATAGTTATGTTGGCAATCATTATTGTAAACGTTTTGCCTTCGATTTAACAAAGGCAAAAGTTCCAGAAACCAACTTTACTATTAACACGTGTGTCAGTATGGAGTGAGTGAGATGCTTGTCAGCATAGTCAACCCTTCAACAACAATTTAACACTTAATTGTAATAGGTTTTCGTGAGCTAAATGCACAGTTTTAGCAACTAACTTCGCTGAAGTTCTGTGTGCTTAGTGAGAGTTTTTTAACGTTCTCGATAGCGTAAAAGTTAGTTCATATTTGTATGGAATGGGATCGTTTGCGTACGTTTGCCGCTAGGGGCGCTGTTCCAACTGCATACAAAATTGGCTTAACTTCTACGCTATCGAGAACGTTAAGAAACTCGCTGAACTCATTGCAATTGCACCGCGCTAAAATTTAGGACTTTTACCACGTTGGAATAAATTGACCTATGCGTAAGCAACATTCAGAACACTCATTAAAAGATCACTGTACAGTAGAGTGGGCGCCGTGACGTCACGACGCAGCGCCTCAGAGTCCGCTATTCGATTCCGTGCGCGAATATCATCACCAGCCCCGGCTCCACCATCATGTGCTCGTCGACGTGTGTGTTGTCGCAATGAAGAACCAGCACCGCCTGTTTGCCTGGCACCCTCTTGCAAACATACTTTTCGTATAGCCTGTGAATTTTATAACATTAAAAAAAAAAAAGGGCCAGTGTGATAGGCTATTGCGATATTTTTTACTGGTGGCAGGACCTCGTGTGATTCCGCACGGGTAGGTACCACCGCCCTGCCGATTTCTGCCGTGAAGCAGTAATGCGTTTCGGCTTGAAAGGTGGCGCAGCCGCTGTAACTATACTGAGACCTTAGAACTTATGCCTCAAGGTGGGTGGCGCATTTACGTTGCAGATGTCTATGGGCTTCAGTAACCACTTAACACCAGGTGAGCTGTGAGCTCGTCCACCCATCAAAGCAATAAAAAAAGGCTATTTAAAACTATAGCTTCGAATAATGTTTTTATTATTATCTCCTTCTGGCAAAAAATCAAAAGGTCTCTAATGATGTTCAAATATGACAAAAATAAAATTATAGTTAATGTAAGTTTCCGAAAATCTCATGAAACATCAAACCCCTTTTTGAACACAAACATCTGCAGTTATTTTTAGTGATGACATTATAAACATAGGGTGCATAACTTTGTTTTATTCGACAATATCTCAATACAAGATTCAAAATGTAAAAATACGAAAAACTAAAACGATTTATACTACCTATTCTTTTTATTTAATATTATGGATCGCTTAAGCATTGGAGATAAAAATAAATCTCGACATTATTGTAATCGGTACCTTCTATTATTTTGTCTAGTTTCAAGTGACGACAGTCCTGGCGGCCACCGCCTCTCGTGACAATTTTCCATTAGATCGTCTATGATGTGCGGGGGACAGCCGGATTCCGATAAACTTCGTTTGATCATCATCTGTAAATGAACTAAATTGTGAAAATACTTTCTGGTAGTTACAACGCATTCACTTTGCTGGAATATTAAAACTTTTGGGTTTTACCCAGTGATCGGAGGAGGATGTTTTTCGAGCAGATGTATCATACATACATACATACAAAATTCTATTCTATAATTACTCGCATTCTTATAGTGTTCATATTAATGAAATATATACAAACGTAGGGAAAACAAAACACTAATCAATAAAGAAATGACTGAATTTGAAAATCAAATTTCCATATTTTTTAAATAAAATTAGGTTAAATTAAGAATTTATTACCAGCCAGACATAAATTATGGTTTATAACGGTCAGTATTTTAAAACAGCAATTTTGTAGATAAAGACCTAATGTATGTTATTTGTGTGTAATTTAAGGATCCCGTCTGCAATTTCTTTACTAAAATTCAAATTATATTCCAATTATAGTATATTAGTAAGTTATTAAAGAGCTTGTTTTTTGAATGTATTTTTATAGCTTGTTTTTTGGCATACAAAGACTATCAAAATAAATGATTCTGTGGCCAGAAACTTTGGTATTATTTGAAAAATCCTAAAGCATTCTATGTACTCGTGTTGCGATTTGTGAATGACGCTAGCTGATCGATTTTTTCTTATTTTTGGTTGTATTATAAAAATCAAAGCTATACAATTTTTTAATTTGAGAAATTACTAGTGGTAGGGCATATGCAAATCCGTAGGCATAGAAGATACCGTCAACATGTGTATTTCTGCCATGAAGCAACTATGCATTTTGGTTTGAATAGTAGAACTTTTACAACACAATAGAGTATGTTTTCACGTGTGAAGGTGGCCCGTGAGTCTATTCACGTGCCGAAGCATTAAATAAAAAAAGGATTGCGTGCTGTATTTTCGATGATTATTTGGACACAGGTATCAAATGTCAACTACCACTGAAGCCGGATACTGCCCTCGTTGTACTCTTGTAGACAAACCGAGAAACTTCTGTAAAGCTTTGAGCATAAGCTCTATCACTCCATTAAATTGTTGCTCAATACAATTTTTTTTCCTCAATATTATTTTCTGAGACCTTCAGACATACAGACCGAGAAGTTGTTTCTATTTTATCACCCTATTCATCCTTATTTTATCAATTATATAATTACCAGCATGAATCTTAGAAACTGCAAATCTTGTGTGTGAAATCTACATACATATAGGCACACAAACACAAACTCTGGTTTTTTTCTGTTTATCAACCAATGTTATTCCCACTTCTACAAAAAAAACGGCTATAACCAAACAAAACGGAAAATGCATGTATGATGTACTAAGTGCAAATCTTGAAGTGTCAGACATTATTGTCAAATTTCAAACATTGTGCTAACACTAGTGGAGGTCCTACAACATAGAGAATTACTTTTATCTTATTAAAAAATGTACATAATACCTGCAGAACATCATCTGGAGTAGAGATCATGCCACCCCACCTGGTGACCCTCGCCCTGGCCAGTGAGTTGGCCCAGCGCACCACCTCCTCGCGCTCCATCTGGTCCGCCAATGCACGCATCGTTGGATTCGACACGCGCATCGCTCTCATGAACTCCTTCAAGAAAATGTTCCTGATTTAAAAGTGGTTAGATTTGCGCATCTCATTTTAATGGTTGCTTTATAGAATTCAATTAATCGAATTTTTTTAATTTAAGAAGACCAAGTTATTGTTTGTTGTGTCTATACTTTAACAAGTTAACTAATATTTATAAATATAAATTATCATAATTTTAAAATTCACATTTCTTTTTATGTAGGTAATACGTAGGTAGATATATACATTGAATGTGTTATTTAAGAAAAAAACTACAAATAGTAAAAAACATACCTTTAATAATGCCAATTCTCGTTTGTGCTCATTAATAACGAGCCTCTGTTCAGCCAGTTCTTGCTGGTAATCATTCAGCTTCCCCTGCTGAGTGGCTATCAGTGCTCTAAGCTCACGTACACAATTATGTTGCGCTAGTTCATCTTTTGGTATCACCAGTCCACATCCTGCCTCACAAGGTATTGGTCGTTTAGGATTAAATTCACCTGTTCGACAGATTAATCTTATTAGCCATGTATTATCAAACACGGACATCATTTCAAAACAGAAACGAATTATCTATGGTCTTTATATTTTTTACATTTTCGATTACAATAAATAAAATAATTTACACAAATAGACGACTTTTTAAGAATAAGTTAATGAAAGTATGTCTTATTAGAAATGGGCCTTAGAAACGTGTCAATAAACTAATCTCACAAATCATAATTGTATATTGGTGTTTTTTTTTTCCTTATCATAATTGTATATGATTTACAAAACTGACAAGCTCTACAGTACAATTGGTATACAAATATGGCTATTAAAAAACATATTTCCATGATAGGCAGTTTACTAAAGTACACCTTTAAGGATATAGTCTATAGATGAAGACAAAACAGTTCAGTAGATGTTCAGTTTAGTTCTTTCCCTGTTTATCCAGCAATTTACTTTTCGTTTTTATTTAGTAGCTTGTCAATACAAGCTTTGGTGTTATCAATAAAAAAAATATTATAAACAGATTCCTTCTCATTTTTAATAGAAAAAAATAAATAAGAAAATATACAAGCAATTGAAATGAATCTAATTCTTGAGGTGAGGTATTCTCTAAAAATTATTTTAGATAAGTTAGAAAAATCATCTTTGTACTAAATAATGATTAAAAAAAAAAAAAAAAAAATCTTTGTGCTACATCTTTTATTACAATATCTTTTGTATTAATTCCTATTTTGTCTTAATTAATTTTCTTACATTTATTTTATATTACTTTATCAAGCATAAATAGCCAACATTACTAATTCACTCTACAAGCCACATAGATGTACATACATCATATAGCATAAATTTAGGAAGGTGGTAAGACTTCTTGTGAGTCCGCACGGGTAGGTACCACCACCCTGCTTATTTCTGCTGTGACGCAGTACTGCGTTTCGGTTCGAAGGTCGGGGCAGCCGTTATAACTATACTTGAGACCTTAGAACTCAATCTCAAGGTGAGTGGCGCATTTACGTTGTAGATGTCTATAGGCTCCAGTAACCACTTAACACTAGGTGGGCTGTGAGCTCGTCCTCCCATATTAGCAATAAAAAATATTATTGTTCTGATGCATACCATAGCATGCTCTGGTCTACTCTAAAAAGGATAGTAAAAGTCAACACTTACATTCAACTAAATGATTAGGTAGAGAGTCCAGTTTTAAAATGGCATTACAGCCATGTGGAGCATTGTCGCAACTTGTGCATAATCTGAAAAACATAATTAGAATAAGATTATGATGTTAAACTCTAAGTAAAAACTTTCATTATTGAAAGATTTCAGGTTTCATTTTTTCTCATTCATTCATATCATTGATCTGGCCATTGGCCACCAGAACAGAGTTCATCCATGCTATCTGGAACTCCTGTGTTCATCAAAAGTGCATTTCCACAGATCTTTTATGCCATGTAGCATAATACTCTGGAATGAACTCCAGTCCACAAACAAATTAGAGATACTCAGCGATCAGCTGTAACTTGACTGTGCCACCAGCATTGCTAATGTCCATGCTAACAATCAATTACCGTAAGTGTTAAAGTAGAAAGAAATTAAAGTATAGAAAGTGTTAAAGTACTCAGACTAAATCAACTTCAAGCACAAAAAATATACATATATAATAGGTATTCCTGGTATGTTTTTACATCTTTGATCATGTCTAAGCCTATTTTTAGTTTCCATAGTGTTTCATGTTAAGGAAATTTTGATAACATTGATTTGGAATATGAGCTTGAAGGGATATTGATATGGCCATATTTCTATAAACAAACCATTTAAAAACAAACAAATCTCTTCTAAACACATTTTGATTGCAATTTCACTTAAAACAATTACTTCAAATTTTAAACATAATTTTACAGTCATTTAAGAAAAGTTTTCAGGGAAAAACAATCCTTTTTAGTTATGAAAGGTTTTTTGTTATTCATGTTTTTTCTTCAAGTAAAAAGCTCAATGTGGCAGGAATGACCATTGTTACTAATAAATACAAAACCAGGACCACTTTATTATGTAACCAGAGAACTGGTTTTGTGCTGATTATTAATGTGGTGACAACATAACTAGGTCAGTTGACGAGATCATTTCCAGTTAATGTAGCAATCAATTTAAATTTGTATTATGAAATTGTTTTCTTTGCATAATTAAGATAAAGGTTATTGCACCTAAAGCTTAAACAATTACTATTGAATAATAATCAAAAGGAATATTTTTTTCATTACTTTATTTTTGTGTATATTTTCTGATAAGAATCTATTGTTTACCATAATTTTAAAATGAATTTGAAAATTTTATTATTGATTATAATCCATTCTAAAAATTAATTAAATTACTGTTTATAGTACAAAACACAGTACTACTAAAGTTACTACTCAATTTTTAGGTATAAAAATATTGAAAAATACCATATTAGTGGCTAGAAAAAAACATTATAGTTATAAAAGGTCAAACCTACAAAACCTTTTACCTTTTTGACCTACAAAAAGACAGTAAATTCACAAATTCTAGTAACGAAATTCACTCGCCTGGACAGAAGGTTGCGCAGTATCCTTGGAACTGGCCTTAGCTGACTCGCGGTTACCGTTTGCCGGTCTACAGGACAGGTAGGCTGTCTACTGATCCACTCCGTAATACAAGCTCGACAAAACGCGTGCTCACAAGCAGGCGCCTGGAATCATCACAATTGTCACTCTAACCACAACTTTTGTAATATTTTGCACTCATCTTGCTATTATTTACCTGTAACGGGTCTTCGAGGACTCCGGAACAAATAGGACAAATAAGCTCCTCATCGACGTCACCTTGAAACCTTTTGATTTCAAAGCCCATAATTATTATTTATCACAAAATATACATTAGTAAGATTTTGGTATCTTAAAGTTAACTTTTTATGATCATACTATAGTAAAAAACAAGGTTTGAGTTCAGATAAGTTGAAAATAAACTAATTATTTACAGTCAGACGTATAGATTTGGTTTACTCAGGTTCATAGATTATACACTTAATATAATCTCAGGTTTACTGTACAAAAGCTTTTTTTTTTTAATTTTATGACCTGGTATCTATTAGACCTTTAGGCCAGTACAAAAGCTGTTTTATTAATCGGTGCTATCAGGTTCAAAAAACTAAATGGCCGTTTTCCAATTACAGCACAAGAGCCCATTATGCGGCATAATTCTCAACTAAGCTTCAGCATAATTCGGCATTGTGCGTCAATGAGTCGCATTATGCTCTGTAATTAACCATTACTTAATGGTAGTTTTCCAATCCGTCCACTGAAAAAATCACAATAAATGACCACCATTTTACTGAGATTACATTTCATCCCATATCATCTTATCTCATTTCATTTCATTTCATCCCAATTGATTAATGTCTCGAGTTAATCATCTTCATTTCATTTAATCTCATTTCTTTTCACTCCATATTATCATTTTTCATAAAAATATGAATTTAATTTAAAATAAGACATGGCTTAAAGGTCTTAGTTACCAGGTCATAAAACACCCTAAAAAAGCCTACTTTATAATTCTGCCAACAAAACCAGAATTTGACATTTCACTGTTTCTGCCATTGTAAAATGGATTCAAGCAGGGGGTGTTGATTAATTAATTTATCTTTTTTCCTTAATTTAGACTTTATAAGAAATTTTTATTTCAAAATGAGCGTTTTTAAATCTGCAATGGGGTACTTCAGCTCAAGTGGCGCAAACGGTGGTAGTGAAAATGATTTTGTTGGTCAATTTGTCGAAATCGGTAACATGAAATTGAGAGTAAAAAAGGTGATTGCAGAAGGTAAGTTGAATACAGCAAACATTAAATTTTAGTATCATACGTATAGATTACATAAATCATTATTTATTTGGTTTAAATGATTTTGACTTAATGCAACTACTCGAGATTGCTAGTAATTTGGGGGCGACAGACTGCTTTGTCTGTAATATGTAAAAGGCCAAAGGGTCAAGAGACGTTTCCCATCTGATTCAATATTCAAAGTTTTAATTATTACTGATAGCTAGGAAGGTTAGGATCCTGAACCCACTGGTCACTGTGACCCATCTATTGTGGCTACCCCACAGTAGTAAATAGATTATCTGGACCGGAGTCTAAGATAAACTGGATTACATTGGTAATTTTTTTATAACTCTTCGGAAATGAGAATTTGAAGAATGAATGTTTGCTGCCTATAGAACCCTAGCTGTATAGTTTGTGCAAAAGAGTTTCTGGTAATACTACTACGATTTAGTATGTAAAAAATTTACACAATTCATAAGTTTAATATAGAATTCAAAATGAGTATATTTGCAGCTTTACTATGCTGTGTAAAAGCAACAGTAAAGTAATTTGTGAGATATTAGTTCTTTATGAGTTTTATCAAGGTTTCATGCAATTGATTAGGTAGAAACAAGAACCATGTACTTACATGTATAACGGCCGTCTGGTGTAGTGGTAAGTGACATGGTCACTACACAAGGGGGTCGCGGGTTCGAATCCCGCCAAGGAAAGATATTTGTATGATAAATATAAATGTCTTTTCCAGGGTTATGGATGTATATTAAATATATGTATGTGTATAATAAAAATCTTACATTTATATCCGTTATCTGGTACCTGTAACACAAGTTCTTTACGAACTTATCACGGGACCAGTTAACGTGGCGTGATTGTTAGTAAATATTTATATTTATATTTATATTTATTGTCAGATCATTATCAATCCACCACATACAGATAATATATTCTTTTGGCATACCCAGACAGTTTTTATCAGCATACAGGATGCACCATCTACATTATCTCAAATGAGGTGGTATATGCCATGAAAATGTAAGAGTTGTAATAGGATAAATGCCAAGGAACTTCACAATCTGAACATATAACATTTTTTAGAATATTTTCTTTTAATGTGGTTATACATCGGGATGTCAATATTTGTCTAACATGGCACCATCACGGAGAGTCTTAGACATATTGCTTATGGCTTTTATAATGTTTCGCTACTGGGAGGTATTTATAGACATAGACAAAACCAAGGGATTAGGATTATCGCCCCATGATTTGCCCTAAAAATATTCTCATTGATTACAGTGTACCTTATTATTGATACCAACTTTAAACAGTCCTTAAACACAGTCATGTTATGCTCTACTGCAACCAATTTGCTATTACAGAGAGGACTATAGTTGGCATCAAGTCCGATACTGTTATGACAGATTGGTATGCATGCTGAGCAGCATTGGTCGATATCACAATTTTTCCTGAGGGCACAAAAGAATTAGTTGACTTGATATTTCGACCTGGTCTATGAGACTAACACTGTGTAGCATGTTCAAGATAGTTAACCCACAGACACAGCCCACTGAGTTTCTCGCTGGATCTTCTCAGTAGGTTGTGGGTTGTGTTTCCAATCTGGTGGTAGATTCTGCAAAGCACTGCTCTTGCTAGGGTTAGTGTTAGCATCGTTGTCGGGCTTAAGCCTCATGAGCTCTCAAGGCTATCAGCTTAGGTTAAAAAAAAAGTTACTCTGAAGCCTTAACCACTGGTGGCTGATCCATAGACACCACCACTAACAACAATATCTCTAATGCTTTTTTTTAAAATGTATATTGTAGCCCATTTTTAATAAAATATACTCAGTAACTAATCAGATTTTTAATACATTGTAAATAATATAAAATAAATTTTATTGTAAACAAACCATTTTCGAATCTGAAAAAGCAAAAAATCTACTTCCTCATATGAACAGAAAACATTATGAATTTACAAGACTTATCATAAATTCATTTTTGTCTTAGTAACTTTGGTCCTTTGGTGTAGGCCTATAATGACACTCCCATCTCTTTCTGTGGGTTTCAAAAATTACAGCTAAAGGATTCATTACAGAATGGGTAGCAGCATTCTCGAAGTATTGTAACAGTATACAGTGGCCATTAACCACAATACTGGCATCCTATCATCCCACACAATTAAATACTCCCACCATCGATATTTCTGTAATGAGGTAGTCGATGATACCCTATAGTTTGAAGGGAGGTACAAACATATAATACTTGAAGGGTTTATATAATTCTGTTCCCCTATATATACTCTATAAACTAAAAAAAAGGCAACATAGTAAATATTACTAATTCCCTGAAGGTGTTGTTTTTCTATTGATTAAAGCCACTGACAACAGCTAGCTGATTTCATACAATTTTTATCAAAGAAATATTTTACCTACTACCTAAATATTATATTTTACCTAGTTTAAAAGGAAAATTTCATGAATGTATTGAGACTGACTATTGACAATAATTTTTTTAAATTTCAATTTATTCTATAGTGATGATGAAATCAATAGTGTAAAAACTCATGTAGTAGATAATTTCAAGCCCATTTTGTACGTTTACAGTTGTAAACTGAATGGCCAGTATAACAAGTTAAGGCAAAAGCTAGAGTAGCTCTTAACCTTTGAAAAATAAAACTGCTTCACTGGAGCTATAGGACAGATTGGTATTAACAATCTGTTCAGTCTGACAACTAACTTTACAATTTGTAATCAATGATTCAATTTGAAACATTCAAGATAATTTAAAAAAAAAAACTTTAAATTTTAGGTGGTTTTGCATTTGTGTTTGTTGCGCAAGATGTAACTACTGGCACTGAATATGCCTTAAAGAGATTAATGGCTGCTGATGAACAAGCAAACAAGAACATCATCCAAGAGATCAGTATTCTAAAGAAGCTGTCAGGTCATCCAAATATAATTAAATACATAGCTGCATCGTTTATTGATAAAACAAAAACCTCTCATGGGATGGGAGAGTACCTTCTGCTGACTGATCTTTGCAGCGGTGGAAGTCTGATGGAGGCCTTACAGAATAGAGGGCAGGCATTCCCTCTACCAACAATACTTAGAGTATTTTATCAAACCTGTAGAGCAGTTCAGCACATGCACGCACAAGTCCCACCTATTGCGCATCGTGATCTTAAATTAGAAAATTTTCTAATATCCAATGAAGGTATTTGAATTTAAATAAGTCTTATTTTATATTTTTTTTAGACAATGTCTTTGCTCAATATTGTATTTGTTTTCAGGAACAATGAAGTTGTGTGATTTCGGGTCTGCCACAACTGATGTGTACTCGCCTAATCCATCATGGAGTGCTAACCAAAGAAATATGTTGGAAGAAAATGTAAATTATCAATTTTCACTTATACTTAAATTACTTTTATAAAAAATCAATTTAACGTTTTTAGCATGTAGAAGTTCAACTGCTCTTTTTCATGCTGCAATTATCCACACCCAATAGTAACCCACATACACAGGTGGACTGTTGGTTCATCTGCCTTAGGTGGCATTAAAAAATGCTGAAAGCATTTGTTCTTCTTTTCACTTTAGATAATACAAAATGGTAATTTATCACACTACAAAAAAATAATAAAATACATATGTATGCTAATACACTGAAATAGAAGTTAAACATAATTACAGTCAATTGATATCCTTGGCCTATATCTTGGTTATCATGGTCTTGATATATTTCATTACAATTTAATGTTATAATTTTCACTAACCAGCCACATCGATTTAGATATTATGTTACTGCTGTTTACATATATAAATTCCAAATTACCACTTAATAATGGTTTAAGTACAGATTACCAAAAATTGAAACTCATTATATAACTAACATAGCGACTCGCCCTCGCTTCGCTTCGGAAACTGTAATTTATTATTGATTTCTCCACTATTTTTAAATAGTGGATTCGATATTATTATACATATAAACCTTCCTCTTCAATCACTCTATATATTAAAAAAACCGCATCAAAATTCGTTGCGTAGTTTTAAAGATTTAAGCATACATAGGGACAGAGAAAGCGACTTTGTTTTATACTATGTAGTGATATTCCAACTAATGTAACGTTTTTTGTCATATCTGTTTAAATTATTATTGATTATGTATTCTTCTGAGCTATTGATATGAGAGGGTACATAGAAAGGGATATTTATTTATTGATGTCCAATAGAGAGAATGATATAAATCTCTATATAATGCACCTTCATATGATCAGTTCTAATAAATATTTCGTATTTCTCAGACGTCTGTAACATTTGGATATAGTTTTGTAATTAGGTTTAGTTGGTTTATAAACTTAATATATCTTTCCCAAAGGCACGAAGGATCGCTCCTCTGGCTCTTGTGTAATTCAAAAATACTCTTAACGCTCAGATGGTTTTTTTTAATATTTTCAATTATGTTTAAATTTTTTTTTCAGTTGGCCTTATTCACTACGCCTATGTACCGTGCTCCAGAGATGTTAGACACCTGGGATAACCGGAAAATAGACCACAGTGTCGATATGTGGGCTTTGGGGTGCATATTATACACCTTGTGTTACATGCAACACCCCTTCGAAGATTCCGCTAAGCTGGCAATACTTAATGGAAATTACAATTTGAACCCTAACGATCAACGTTACAAATGTTTTCATGAAATCATAAGTGAGTTCAATACTAAAATTATTTAAAAAAAAAAAGGCTGGCAGTAACAATAATCTAATCTTATTTTGAATATTGGGATGTAGGGGCTTAGGGGCAAAGAAAATAGCAAGTGAGTTGGCATCAAGATGTCCATAGACATCAAACAACGTAAATACCGCCATCCAACTTGAGACATGAGTTCTAAGTCACAGTTTTACCTTATAACGTTTGTCCCACTTTTCAAACCGAAACGTGTTATTGCTTCACGGCCGAAATAGGCGACGTGCTGTATGCTTAGTGCGAGTTTCTTAACGTTCTCGATAGCGTAAAAGTTAAGCCATTTTTGTATGCAGTTGGAACAGCGCCCCTAGCGGCAAACGTACGCAAACGATCCCATTCCATACAAATATGATCTAACTTTAACGCTATCGAGAATGTTAAAAAACTCGCACTAAGCACACTGGTAGTACCAGTCTGGTACTTTTTTTTTCTTCTCTGGTACCTACCCGTGCGCGCACACAAGACGCCATGCCACCAGCAATTGCAAAATTATGCGGGTTCGATTTTTGTAACCCGATGTGATCGTCATCGTCGAAGTTGTTTGTGAACATTTGTTAAGTATGTATTTCATTATAAAAATTAGTACCTGCCTGCGGGATTAAACACCGGCACAGTCTCATCGCTCGATACGAATGCATCGGGCGTCTTATCCTATAGGCCACGACGACTTTAAAACCTGCTTTAGATGAACATCCCATACAAAGTGCTGGACATTCATCTGAAGCAGATTGTTTTAGCAAAGGATATCGGGGAACTACACACGAAAGCAAACTTAATTCGAAAAGGACACCTAAAAAATTCAATTTCTATTACATTAAGTTAATTGTTTTCTTAAATGTAATATTGCACTTCCGATTACAATTTTTCCTATATAAGGCAAATTTGGTACTAAATAAATAGTAAAATAATTAATGATGTCATAGCTTTGATATCTCAAACATATTACGTCATTTCTGTTTATTTAAGTTAATTACAGAAAAATAAATCCAAACCACATTGTCGCCAGGTGGATGTCTAACAGTGAATCCCGCTGACAGGATGACGATAACCAATGTGTTGGAGCGGCTGGCTGCGATAGCGGAAACTCAAAATGTCAATCTCAAGCAACCACTGAAATTTGAGCGTAAAAAAGTTGAACAATCTGTGGCCACTAGCTCGCCAGGTAATAAGAAGTCAAGTAAATATTACACTACCATATCGTAAGAGACGTCCCGCTGCGAACATTTTCACGATATAAAACAACTTTCTTAAATAATACGCGTACGCCTCGACGAATCGGTCGCGCGGATCACCTGGTCCCATACATTCGATCCATCGTTATGTTCTGTTGCATTGGAGACTCGAGCTAAACATGGTCAAGCATTATTTGACTTTTTACACTCAAATTTTTTTCGTTTTCGTCATCATTGTTTTTGGTTTGAGATCTATAGTATTGTAAACGTTTACGTGTAANTTTCTTAAATAATACGCGTACGCCTCGACGAATCGGTCGCGCGGATCACCTGGTCCCATACATTCGATCCATCGTTATGTTCTGTTGCATTGGAGACTCGAGCTAAACATGGTCAAGCATTATTTGACTTTTTACACTCAAATTTTTTTCGTTTTCGTCATCATTGTTTTTGGTTTGAGATCTATAGTATTGTAAACGTTTACGTGTAAGATTTACTTACATTCCGATGTCTATTGTTGGTTATTTTTTGCAAAACGTTCGTATGTCACCGAAAGGTAAGGCCATGTTGAAGAAATTGTTCTCTGAACACCAAAAGGTAGTATAGCATTTATTTGACTTGAAATATTTTTCAATTGATGTAGTTTTTTTTTGTGTTGCTTTAATGGTGATATATTTATATGATTCTATTGGTCAACTACAGCTATTTATATCTTTTTTTTTTCTTCTAATGATGCAACAAAGAGGCTCAGGCACTTTGGTGATCACTTAAGTGCAATAGTACATCAATAAACAGTAAATTTAGCTTTAATTTGATATTTAAGTCTGAGTAGAAATGAAAGACACTAGGGAATTCACAATAAACAAATTATAATAGCGAAAAATGTTGTAGCTGTAATTTTGTACAAAATGATTACATTCTATTTAAATAATATTTATATTACCAAAAAGTAAATGTGCATTTATGAAATGCATACATTTAGTTTTAGGATATCTCTCGCTAGAAATTATTATAATACAGAACATTCCTATAAGGTTATTTAAACACAAGCCTACTAATGACCCCTTATGAATTATAGTATTCAATATGTTATTTACTTTAACAAGTTTAAAGGTATATAGTGGAAATACTAATTGTTTAACTATGTATTTATTTGCTTACTAACTACATAATCATAAGTTTACTAACAAATATTACAATTAATCAAACATGATGATAATGTTTCGAGTGTGCAAAGTGTGTCAGCACTAACGGACGGGTGGCATGGAATTCACTGTGGTTTATAAAAATGTCTCAAATCATCAGTTAAGTGATAGTTTAACATGGTTTTTTTTTTTAATCATTAAGCTTAAAAATGTTGCCATAGCTGTATTTGAACTCAAAACGTACTACTATATAATAGTGGACCACCTTTATTAATGGTGTATAAAAGTAGAGACACTAATTTTCAAAAGACAATAAGTGATTAATAATTGAATTCCGAACTTTTTGAACATTCCTCATAAATTTCTAAATAAAATATTTTAAATTGAATAATGGTGAATTTCAAGAAATTAAAAAAATATTGTTCAATTAATGGTACAAAACTGGTACACGTTAATTCAAGATTTATTAGTCTTGAAATGTGTCATGTGAAGAATATGGATACAAAGATGACAAATAATGTTAAAAAGATACTTTATTTATGTAACATCATGTGATTCATGTGCTTATGTTTTGAGCTTAAAAGAAAATAAATACGTATATTCTTGACAGCCGTGGTTTGTTTTAATTAATATACTGACACAACACGAGAAGGAGGTCTAAGCGGATATGGGTAACTTATCAATCGTTTTTTTTTTAAATCTAACTTCTATTTTGTACTCTAACTGCCACGTATTTTAGCTAAAACACGCACTAATATTTCAGTTGGTACAAAAAAGGTGTCAACTTAAACTCTGTGACTGTCAATGAAACAGACTTGAATTATTATTAGTAGCAGTTTTAACTAAAATAGATTTATGAAGCATAACTAAGACTAACAATTTATGCAATGTTTGTACTGGATATTAACACTTCATCTTAACAAATGGTATTTACTTCACCAACAATTGTAGCTAGTTACTGTAACTGGACATGCTCAAATTGTGTTATCTTATCTAAAATCTATCTATCTTGTCTTAAATTATTATTATTATTTATCTACTTGTATATTGCTTTCTCCATTTGTAGAACATTTGATATGTAGTATGTGCATTAAAAGCTTAGCTAACCACTTGGAAATAAAGATAAAACAATAATTGGGACATGTGATACAAATATTTCTTAAACAAATTTTAAACTATACACATTGCAATTTACTATATTGTAAGAAATTAAAATTTTGTCACTAAATGCTAAAATTGATAAATAGCATGTATGTTTCCATAAATGCATGTAGGAACAAAATTCCCCTGGTAGAAGCGAAGCTTCCTATTAGACGAATGAATGTAATGTTGCATGTATGTGTTCCTTGTGTGATGTGAAATTCCGCGCCTTTTTTTATTATAAGACTTAAATCTATTAGGAAAGTCAAAACCGGAAGTCAAATATCTCCGCAATAAACATAGTCTTGCAGCAGAACATAATGATCACTGTGCTTTTATGTTGGCAACACTGATTTTATTTAAAAAGAAGGTTATTTCAGTGTTGGAAGAAAAGGCCCGGATTTTCACACAATCTTCACAGTATTCCTGTATATCATATGTTTCTTTTTTTCCTTTTAGGTGTATTCAACTTTTTCGGATGCCCCATAGTATTCTCGTTTAAATGATACCCGTGAAGGCTAGTAATACTTCAAGAACGCACTCACACTTGACGCATGCGCTAAATACTGGGACTTGCTCGCAATGATGAGTATTAGTTGTATTTAATTTTTGTCTATAATTTATTTTCATAATTTATATTGTTATCGCTTGTATTATTGTTGAGTTAGTTATTAGCGTGTTTTCATTGAATGAATATTTGTGAAAAATTTAATTTTTTTGTGATAGGTATCGGCAACTTTATATCGAGGCGTGTAGTGTTTTGTAAAAGGTTGTGAATAACTAAACTGAAATTTAGGCAGTTTAAAAAAAATAGCTACAAATTTTCTTCTTGTTAAAAGGCCTTAAACGACTTTACGGATTTACGTCTATGATGACAATAAGTAACAGTAATAAACTAGAAAACTAATGTTCAAAAAAATGTCAATTAGATTTATTATTTCTTATATTTCTAAAATCTTGAATACCGAACACCGAAATAAACAGAGTGAAAAAAAACTATTTCTGAAGAGAAAGAACGCAGAAAGACTAAAACTTGTGCCAAACAATAAACAGACCAGACAAATGAAATATATATGTATATGTAAAAGTTAAATTAAGTTCAATCAAAATCATATTGTTACCTAACTCAAAAGGTACTTTTGAATAGATTTGATTTGTACATGGACCCTTCTAGTAATTGTTAAGTATTAATACATGTTCTTTTTACATGCTATCTAAGTATTATGAGTTGTGCAAAATAGAAGCATTCCAACATAAGCTGGGTACAAATTTAACAATTTAAATAGTATTATTATCCTATTAAGTTACCATAATGATTTTTTGTTGACAAATATATATTATATAATATTAAAATGCATAAACTAGTTTTAGGGTGGTTAAAATTTATTATATATATATTCAAAGGAAATTAAACCTAAAGAGGCGTAAATAAGATTACTTATTGCAACTATTGTACATATTTAGATCACCTTTTTATATAAAAAATATACATGAGGCCTACAACTTCGAATGAAACTTTTCCAGAATACACTATATAAAACATTCCATATAAAATTGTATACTTTAAGAAATTAGAAACATTTCAAAATACATTCCGTTTAATTAAATTTTAATTGGACCTCCTTTGAAAGACGTACATGAAAAGACATAAATAACTCAGGTCGTTATACAGAGGAAATTATGGATTATCCATAAGAGTTATTTAATTGCATTCTAACGGCTGTTAAGACATAAAGTGAATAATGGTGCTCTTATTTTACCATACGCCTAAATATGATTGTGGTTTATTGTTAAGAATATGTCCTGGTAGGATTGTTGATGAATTTGGTATTGTTAAACTATGTTAAAGACCAGCTGTGTACATTGCTCAAAAAAGCTAACCTATTTTTTTTAAATAAATTAGCAGATCAATTGATTTCATTTTTCATTATATCGTTCGTAAGACGTCGTTCGCTTAGCATTAGCTTCCTTCAAATATGTAAAAAATGTAATGTTGAAAACATACATATAACGTGATCTCTTTACGATTTGTATTAAGCTTGTTGGTACAATTTGTATTAAGCTGGTTGGCAATCCCACACTGATCGTCGTAATGTTTTGATTAATTGAGAACTTTTCTGAGTCATCCAAAGAGCTTTATCGCGGTGTCCAGCCAATAACCACCTCAATTTGTTAAGTCCTTAATAATGTGCCTATGCTGACGACGTATAATGAAATTCGTATTTGTATTCAATTATAGATTACGCTAACAGCTTCGAATATAGAAATCAGGTTGATTGGAATTGATACATTAATAAATCTGTTATCTCGGGTGGGCGATATGATACTTCAATAAATCTGCTACCTCGGGTGGGATTTGCCAACTGCGTCTCAGTATTGCTGATCCGGGAAATATAAAGTGGCTTACTAAAGCGAATGTATATTAAGTCGAATTTGCCATGCTGACATTATTGGTATTCTGTCTTCAACAAAAAATTTCTGTAATGAATATTGTACGACTAAATATTATCATCGTATCTTACAAAATCATACACAGGTAACTATTTTAGTAGTGAGAGCATTTTCACGCTGGTCTTTTTTATTTGGCTGTAATGAGACAGGAAACATTTCAAAATGAAAAAATATATTGACAAAAATATTTTAAAATATACCGAAAAAGTACTTAATAAACATTCCTTTTTATTACCTAAACATTGTTATAAAACTACAGTGATCCATGCATCATCTTGTTTATTATAATAAGCACATGATAGAAAAGTATTAACACTGAAACAATATACAATATTCATTTAATTATTATAACTCTAGTTTTAGATATACAATTAATAAAAATTGTATCTTAAAAGGTAGCAAAGAGAGTAGCAATTGTTTTAAAATAATACTAAAATACCAACAATGCGAATTCGAATATACAAACGAATAATATAGTTTTTCAATTTCTCAATGAACAACAGTTTAAAATTCNAAGTATTAACACTGAAACAATATACAATATTCATTTAATTATTATAACTCTAGTTTTAGATATACAATTAATAAAAATTGTATCTTAAAAGGTAGCAAAGAGAGTAGCAATTGTTTTAAAATAATACTAAAATACCAACAATGCGAATTCGAATATACAAACGAATAATATAGTTTTTCAATTTCTCAATGAACAACAGATTAAAATTCATCACAAGCAACTCAATATATTACTTTTAATGATTAGTTTATAATCGAGCAATATTTTTGTTACTATTAGTAGTGTAAGTCAAAAAAAAAATTGTAAGATATCCTAATTTTAAAAAATAAACGTTATGTTAATTATTATTTTTGTTGTTTTCGTGATCATTCTTACGTCCCGTTCTAATTCTACACGAATTCACAATTCAAGTAATGAAGGCATATAGTCATAATAAAACTTTCTGAAACAGCGTATCTCCTAATGACACATTTTCACCAATTCGAATTTGCAATGAAATTATATAACATTACAGACGAATTATTAAAGTAATATAATTAAATCAAATAAATAAATGGACTTATAAAAGTAAGTTCCTTATACCTTATTAATTATTACAAAGGAATCTTATTCAGTTTCAAGATAACTCAATATAGATTAATCCATCGGTTAAATCATGTTCTACTTGTTGCCAGAAATAATATTTATCTTTGTTCTTTCAGCGAACAGAGATCCTGTATCAAACAGCCAGGAAGCACCGAACTCCAGGCCCCCGGAGCCCAGCCGCCCCCCGCCCCCCGCGCGGCCCCCGGCAGCGCCCTACCATCAGCCGCCGCTGCCGCAACCGCCCGTGAATTCTGGAGGACTCTTTTCCTCGATAAAAGGAGGAGCGGGAAGCTTCTTGAAGAATTTGAAAGACACTTCATCGAAGGTTATGCAAACTGTACAACAGTGAGTGAAGACTTTTTGTCTATAAATATCCTAGAAAATATATTATATTAGGGACAATGCCTTAATTAATTGCAACACAGCATTCAATGTAGCAGTAATCAGTTTTAATAACAACTAATATCCATAGTACAAATATAAATTAAGTTTTCCATTAATCAGATCAGTATGAAGTCGTCGTGGCCTAAAGGATAAGACGTCCGGTGCATTCGTATCTAGCGATGCACCGGTGTTCGAATCCCGCAGGCGGGTACCAATTTTATTAATGAAATACGTACTTAACAAATGTTCACGATTCACCTCTATGGTGAAGGAATAACATCATGTAATAAAAATCAAACCCGCAAAATTATAATTTATTATTACTGGTGGTAGGACCTCTTGTGAGTCCGCACGGGTAGGTACCACCACCCTGCCTATTTCTGCCGTGAAGCAGTAATGCGTTTCGGTTTGAAGGGTGGGGCAGCCGTTGTAGCGATACTTGAGACCTTAGAACTTATATCTCAAGGTGGGTGGCGCATTTACGTTGTAGATGTCTATGGGCTCCAGTAACCACTTAACACCAGGTGGGCTGTGGGCTGTGAATAAAAAAAGTTCTTGTTACATGTGTACAATTTTTTTTCAGGTCTATTGCGAGAACCGATTTAGACATAAGCTACATTACCAGTCGTGTTATTGTAATGCCATATCCTTCTGAAGGCCTCGAGAGTGCATATAAGACTAATCACATCGATGATGTTAGGGTAAGTTCAACTTACGATTTTGATGAAATAAAATGAAATGTATATCATATTTAAGGGTGAAAATTCTTTTATTGAAAGACTGCATGTTGTAAGTATAACCTAATTATACAATTGTTTCTAGTGTTATTTGTTTTGTATCTTTACATCAGTTCATATATTATAGTAATATATTATGTGTAAATTTTATATTATTATCATGATATAACATTGTGTATGCCTATTTCTGCCGTGAAGCAGTAATGCGTTTCGGTTTGAAGGGTGGGGCAGCCGTTGTAACTATACTTGAGACCTTAGAACTTGTATCTCAAGGTGGGTGGCGCATTTACGTTGTGGATGTCTATGGGCTCCAGTAACCACTTAACACCAGGTGGGCTGTGAGCTCGTCCACCCATCTAAGCAATAAAAAAAAAAAAAAAAATNTTTCCACTGTACGCAAGCGTACTTTTGGGAGCAAGCGGAATGAGGGCGCGGTGCGGGACGCAAGGCTCGACTGATCTACCAATAACGCGCTCGATACGATTTCCCCTGCCGTCGCGCCTCACCCTCACCACCAAAGTGATCTAAAATTCGGTTCTGCGCAGTCAAGGTCATTTGCTCAAGAAGTTTGCCGATTACTATACGTTGTTGTATGTGATGATATATATAGGTATATGTATACCGTGTATGGGTTTGTATAAGTATGTAATATTATTATCAATTTTGCTATTTTCGCAATAAGTAAAGACCCTATCACTGGATTCTCTACACCCTGGTTGGTTGACTGGTAGAGAATGTCTCAGGCGTTAAGTCCGCCATTGTACCTTTGTGCATGGAGTTGAATAAATAAATAACTTCAGGCATTTCTGGAGAGTCGTCACCCTGGCGGGAAGTACTGCGTGTACAACGCGTGTCGTGGCGGTCGCCTCACGTTCGGGCGCCACGTGCTCGTGACGGACGCGTGCCGCGCGCTGTGGCCCACGGGCGCGCACCGGGCCCCGCTGTTGGCGCCCTACTACGCGCTGCTGCAGCACATGTACCAGTATCTAGCCAAGGACGACCGTAACGCCATCGTTATTACGTGTCAAGTGAGTTTTCAACCTTGAACAATATCGAAGCTTGAAAGGCAAAACGTGACTAAGCGACAATCCGTGAACTTTACAGTGGACTAATTTAAAGTTGAAATACCTGAAAAAAATTCTATTTTAACGAATCTATCTGTAGAATTGAAATGATTTTAATAGACCTAGATTTTTTTTTTGCGCATCGAATATGGTTATTGCCTATTTATTTATGTACAAAGCAGTTATTGTCGCTTAGTCACGTTTGCCTTTCAAGCGTCGATATGTCTTTTTATTACGTTTTTATTAGCTTCAGTCGTATGTATGTTTATAACGCAATCTTTAAACATGATTTTGACCCCCTACAAAACGTTAGATTAGCTCGAAATTTGGTATACTTATTAAGGACCGATGACCATTCAAAATTAAAAAAATTGAAATTCGACTAAAAAATGAAAAATAAATAATAGTTTAAAAAAACTAACAAAATACGCTTTTATAGAAAATCCAAATAAAAAATAGAAAATAAATTTTAATAAATTTGAATTAAAAATAGTGTAAAACAAAATGATTTTATTATAAAAAAAGCATGGGGTACATGGTATCAGTAGTTATAAATATTTTATGAACAGATATGAGTAGAAGGGTTATTTTGATAATATCCTGAAAAGCACCTCACTTCAAGACGAGCATATGGCCCACCTGATGGTGAGTGGTTATCGTCGCCCATGGACTTAGCAATGCCAGGGGCAGAGCCAAACCGCTGCCTACCGTTAAGTACTCTCCACAAGCTTCGTTTGAAGAAGGACATGTCATAGCGCTCGGGAAACACCGTGGAGGGGAGCTCATTCCAAAGCCGGATGTTACGTAGCGTGTCTCATAGGGTAGAATTTGCAATAGTCGGCACTCTAGCGTAACGGTACAGTCACAGATGTTATATAAAATAAATGAACATAATCATTCAATTGCCGATCACTCAGTACCATTCCAATAATAGTGTCGATTATAGTTAGAAAAAATTAAAAATAAATTTATTCGAGTGGCTTGGCTCTGCTCCTGGCATTGCTGAAGTCCATAGGCGACGGTAACCACTTACCATCAGGTAGGCCGTACGCTCGTACATACAAAGGCAATAAAAAAAACCACCTTGAAATATAAGTTCTATTACTGCTTCACGGCAGAAATAGGCAGGATGGTGGTACCTACCCGTGCAGACTCATAAGACGTCCTACCACCAGTTAAAAAAAAGAGTCATCAAGGAATGATAAAAACTTTATTCTCGCTCGTACAGGACGGCAAACAGATGTCGTGCATGTTGGTGTGCGGACTGCTGCTGTACTCGAAACTGGTGACCGTGCCGGAGGATGCGCTGCAGATATTCGCGGTCAAGAGATCCCCCATCAACATGCCGCCTAGTCAACTCAGATACTTATATATGCTTAGTAATATCATAAGGTATGTATTACGGGTATGGAGGGTAGAGGTAAGGAGAACCGTCTCATATGGGAGAAGCTTGAAAAAGTGTCCCACTTTTTTTTTTTATTTTTTTATTGCTTATATGGGTGGACGAGCTCACAGCCCACCTGGTGTTAAGTGGTTATTGGAGCCCATAGAAATCTACAACGTAAATGCGCCACACACCTTGAGATATAAGTTATAAGGTCTCAGTATAGTTACAACGGCTGCCCTACCCTTCAAACCGAAACGCATTACTGCTTCACGGCAGAAATAGGCAAGGTGGTGGTACCTGCCCGCGCGGACTCTCAAGAGGTCCTACCACCAGTAATTACGCAAATTATAATTTTGCGGGTTTGATTTTTATTATACGATGTTCCTGATGATTCCTTCACCGTGGAAGTCAATCGTGAATGTTTGTTGAGTACGTATTTTATTAGAAAAATTGGTACCCGCCTGCGGGATTCGAACACCGGTGCATCGCTACATACGAATGCACCGGACGTCTTATCCTTTAGGCCACGACGACTTCTAAGCCACTAAATAACAGTACAAAAATCCTCCAGAATGGCGCTAGCATAGGCACAGGGTATGATATGAATTGAGCAGTAGTTAACTGATTGAAGTATGCTGAGTTAGGAAATTGAATATGTTTAATGACTAGAGCAGTTAGTGACAGTGTAATATACAAGACTTCACATGGTTACGTAGTCTAAACTAATTTCGTCAACATAACCTCGAATTATTGCTGTGGTAAAACGTGGAGACATCGATTTCATTTTCTTATCAGCTTTAAATAAAACATTTTTGTAATTTTATAGTGCTTACAGTTCTTTCGTCCTTTTTTTATTTCCCTATCTTATTCTAATAACTTTCAGCGCCTTTTTTTAAATTTACCCGGTTGCTACTGTAGCGTCACCCTTATTTAGCTGATTTTAACGGAATCATTTTTCACACATAGAGACGGTTCTCCTTACCTCTACCCTCCATAATTACGGAACAAACTGAGCGTCGCCGCCATCTTAGGTCTATGTGTTAATTATATCGAGGGGTGAAGGCTATTTGGTTTAAGCATCATTTAGCTTAATACGCGACAATGATCTTTGTAATTAAAGGCTAACTCCATTCAAAGGGCTAAATACTGTAAATGCCTCTTCTGTAAAGTTGCAAAAATGTCGTTTAAACCAAATAACCTTTCATCTTTCGATATATTAATTAAACAAATTGTTAACCAACATAGTTGTATCGTGCGATAAAAATGCATCGTGCGTCTTATCCTTTAGGCCACGACGATATCCAAAGCTTGTTTCCGTGATAGCAGACGACAAAGACTTTGAATATTAATTAAGGGTTAGATTAAACCAACAGCATGTAATCTAGTAAAAGGGGGCAAAAACATTTGAAATTATGACCACTTTATCTCTCTGATTACAATTTAAAAGTTCTATTAACTAGTAAAAACTACACTTCGCGTCGACTTATAATCTCTTAATCAAATGTCAAATGTATATTAGTAGAAACTGCTCATGCACCATCTGTCATACGTTGGCGGTATCGGGCTCGATATCTTCACTAAATGTCACGAATGCAGTTTTTTTTTTCATAAAATTTTCAGACCAGATCCCATACTTCCTCACTTCAAGCCGGTGTCGTTCATATCTATGACGATACAGCCAGTTCCGCTGTTTACAAAAGCAAGGTAAGGTTTAATACATATATAATATTTGTGATGAATCAATAAATATCCCATGTTTGTTTGAGTGGCGGTTATCATTTATTTTGGTATTGTTGACTTCAATTTTGTTTTAATTTCATGCTATACAAGTGATCGATACACGTCAAATTAGTAATAATTAACTAATATGATATAATATCTCTGGTATATATCTAAATACATAAAAACTAAGACATGATCTGTATGTATCAGGGACGGATGTCGACCTTACATTGAGATATACAACGAAGATCGTCTTGTTTTGTCAACTCTACAAGATTACGATAGATTGCATCTCTATGGAATAGCCGAGGGAAAGGTATGTTTATGATTGACTGATACAATTCGATAAATATTTTTAGAAAAATTCATGACGGTATTATTTTTATTATTTTTCATCTTCTGTATTGAGCATTGTTGATGTCCATGTACGATGATTTAGAAAAAAAATATCTTATAATTTAGTTGATACTGGCTTTGCGTTCGTGCCGTACTCTAAACGTGACACGTCCGTTAGTATAATTGAGGCTCTGACTTCATGTCTCAAGGTGAGTAGCAATATTCAGGTTGCGATACTCTTAAAACCAAGTAGTCTGGTATAAAAGTCTAGACGTACTGACTTGCGCTGGTATCTTTTTTTCCTACCTAAGCTGATAGCCGTGAGAGGCTATTTCAGCGTAACCTTAGCTAGTAGGTGAGCTCACGGGACTCAAACCGGAGTGATGCTAACACTGACCCTAGCAAGAGTAGTGCTGAGAAGGACTGAGAAGATCCAGCGAGAAACTCAGTGGGCTGTGTCTGTGGGTTAATTCGCTCGTCGAGCCGTTCGTCGCAGGCGACGGGTTCGACGAGGACGGTGACCGGTGCTTGTGGTACCTAAAAGCACCGCTAATAGATCGGGAGGATCCGTAATGACGTGTTTTGGGCCGCTTGTATCGTTAAGTCTGGTATGATTAAGAATACATATAGCATCCTTGGGCCCACGATCCGGTGCATCTGCAGATCATCAAGTTCCACAAACCTCGCGCGCCACCTAGCCACGGACTCCTCATACGAAGTTCGGCTGTGTATCCGAAAAAAAAAATTGGTATGCTCAAGAATAATGTGACTTGCAGGTAACGTTACCGTTGGACAGCACGGTGACTGGCGACGTTTGCATTTGTGTGCTACACGCGAGACAGCAGCTCGGCCGAGTACTGGCCGTGCCCGTACTGTCCCTGCACTTCCACACCGGCGCCCTCTCGTACGATCAGCACGCCATTAAATTTACAAGGTACTATCGACTTTCGATAAACAAACAATAATTGAATATGCAATTTCGAAAAGGGCACATCTCTGAAAATGTAAAATGTTCAGGAAATGAAAAAAACTTATTATTTTCTAAAGCAGTGTAAAATTTAAAATATTAACTTTTGAGATATATTGTAGTGTTAATTAGCAATTGAAAATTACTGGAATTATTATAAAATGGGTGTAGGTAAGCCTCAAAACTACATGTATATGAAAAAACGTATTTGACAAAATAAGAGACATGTGCCCTTTTCGAAATTGCATATTCAATTAAAACAGCGCTTAAAATAAATCTCACGAATGTCGTATCGTAATTTTTAATATCGCAGATCCGAAATAGACGGTATCGATGAAACGGTGCCAGTGAACGATCATTTTTCGGCGAACACGTCCGTTATCATAAGTCTCGTGGTACAAAACGGCGAGAGGAGGAAACCTCGCAGCGACCTCTGGGAAGATGACCCGTCGTTTCCGGTTCGCACCCCGGACGTACTGTTCTCTACTTCATTAGAGAGGGACGAAACTATCGATAACTTTGGTAAGCTCAAAAATATGATGACATCTCTAGTTACTTTCGATTTTTTACTCTAGATTTTCGCTATAACAAACATACTGTTTTAAATTTAATATTATAGATGTTTATAAATAAAAATGTATGTAGTATTGTTTGTTCGTAATTTATGCTTTGACATATCATTCAACCTATTGAGATAATTGACAGATGACTATCTAAGTACTATTGTTGTTGGTACTCCAGAAAAGGGTACTGATATAGTAACCTTAACCTCCGACGGTTAGTGAACAAGTCATTTTAACCAGTTCAGGGACAATACCCGCAGCGAAAACGAGGCCCTGTTTCAACAGTATTTTATGAAATTTGAAATTGATTTATGTTACAAACAGTATTTAGTTATAAATTAGGAGATTCGCAGGAAAATCATAGTAACCGACATAGCCCAAAGGATTGCGACGCTGAAGTGGCAGTGGGCAGAGCACATTGCTCGTAGGACGGATAGCCGTTGGGGCCGGAAAGTCCTTGAGTGGCGACCGCGAACCGGAAGACGTAGCGTGGGTAAACCTCCCACCTACGACCTATTGAGGTTCACCGGGATCCGCTGGATGCAGGCAGCCCAGGACCAATCTTTTTGGTGAGGCTTTGGGGAGGCCTATGTCCAGCAGTGGACGTCTGTGGGCTGATAGAATAGAATAGAATTTAGTTATTTATGTATATATGTATTTAATACATTACTAAAAACCTTACGAAATAAGTACAATATAAATTATTTAATATTGAATTTATTTATTTATACAGCCAATCTTCGAAAGGGCACAGCGTCCGTACCGATACCAAGTATGTCTGCAAGTAGTGCGTGTTTGTCATAGTTTTTTTAGTGATCGCACTGCTGTTCAATAACACTGGCCTATTGATAATCTCATTCTTTCACTTGAATATCCTATCGACCAATAACATGTTCGCTTATGATAGGAATAGTATGAAAATTATTCGGGTTGGACTTAAGACTTTGGCCTAATTAATCTGAAAACCGAAGGTGGCTTATCCCCTAATCATTTTAATTATTGTCTTTTCTTCTCACTCCTTATCACTACATTATTCAAATTGTCAAATATATATGTCTGAGAATGAATATTTGAAAAAGTCACACTAAGTTTTTGTAAACTCCATTGGAGATTTTTATTCTTTTTTTTGCCTCATTACGCCTGCATGCCTATTAAATAGAAATAAAAAATGTTTTAAAATAATCATAATACACATATGTTTTTTAGCATTAATGTAAGTAGGTACTTTGTACAGTTGACGGCGATAAATTTCGTCCGTAAAAACGCCTCTAAAACGAATCGATTGTCTCTTGACGAAACATAATGTACGGAACGTATCGCCGGAAGCTGTACGAAATAATATTCAATGTTGCATAATTTTTCCAGTAACCGCAGACTACCCTACAAGAGAGGTAGAGAAGCCCAGGCCATCCCGTCCCGCCCCTCCCTCCCCGCAGCCCCCGCAGCGCCCCCCTCCCCCGCGGCCGCTCCCCGCAGAGCCACAGGAGAACACAGCAGACTTCTTGAACTTAAACACGAACCAAACTCGTCAATCGGAAGAGAAAACCGAGAAGAAATTGAAGAACGAAGATTCTTTCGACTTTTTTGGGATGATGGAGAAAGAGACTGATGATACATTTGGTGATTTCCTCAGCAACAACGCGGAGAAAGCGCAAGTATGCGATTTATGTTATTCTCCTATTTAACACTAATCATACCAACACTTACTAATACCTATTTTTACTATAGCGGGGTAGATAACGGTATACGACCCGTATTACTCAAAAAGACAAAACAAAACAAAATAGTATAATAACTGTAGATCAATTCGTAAGAAAAAGCCATGAAGTCAAATGTGCAAAAGCAATAAGATGATACGTACATTTTCAACGCAAAAGTTCAAAATGAGTCATTTGACCCGTTATGGTATGTTTAGTGTTAAGCAAGCTGTAAACATTAATAGTGCTTATTTAAAATTGTCAAATATATGTATAAATATATAAATCTTCAAACTGGTGCACATAGTTTGTCTTTAGAACTGGTGCACATAAAATATCATGCAAAAATTTATTGAAATTATACTTATCGCGATTCATATTTTATTTGTGTTCATTATTATTATAAATAACAAAAAAATCACATAGCTTCGTACATTTTATTTCCATATGAATTTGATTGAGAAGGATACCACTGCTTTACTAATCATTATTATATATTACTAGCTGTACCCGTCCGCTTCGCTAGGCATTTAAAATTAACATTATTATTTCTCACCCCCACAAAGATTCTCATCATTAACGCCCCCGCAACTGGTGTAGGGAGTCCAACACTCATATAAATATTAACCTATCCATTAAGTACATGTATTTTCTACATGAATACCAAGTTTCAAGTCAATCGGATGCATGGTTCAGTAGTTATAACGGAACATCCGTAAAAACCACTCTAGATTTATATATTACTATAGATAAGCATTATTTTAAACTTTAAAAAAATATCTAAATTTGACAGCAGCAGTTCGCATCGGAATCGATATTCGGCGACCTCCCCGCCCCTCCCTGTGACAACACGGAAGCAAAACTCAACGTGAACTCCAGCGACCCACTGAACTTTGACCCCTTCGGATTGAACGATCCGCTGCCGAAACAGGAACCTTTGCTCACACCACAACTCATTCAAGAAGACGGTAAGTTGAGCCATGCTCGCGTCCAGAGTAATATATTTACGCTGTATCCCGTATTATTTCTGGTGATAGGACCTCTTGTGAGTCCGCAGGGGTAGGTACCACCACCCTGTCTATTTCTGCCGTGAAGCAGTAATGCGTTTCAGTTTAAAGGATAGGGCAGCCGTTGTAATCATACTGAAACCATAGAACATATATCTCAAGATGGGTGGCGCATTTACGTTGTAGATGTCTATGGGCTCCAGTACCCACTTAATACCAGGTGAGCTGTGAGCTCGTCCACCCATCTAAGCAATAAAAAAAAACATTGATTTTAATATTCACGTTTTGATGTAGTGATGATTTATTTGCAGGAGGTCGTCTACCAAATATCCAACCGGAGGCCCCACAAGCGAGCCGAAAGGATCCGTTCGAGCAGCTCGGCGACGTGCTGGAGGCGATGACGTCACAGAGCGGCACCCCCCGCGTGTCCCCCGCGCCCACCCCCGCCCCCACCCCCGCGCACCGCGCGCACACCCCCCTGGCCAACTCGCCCGCCCACCAGCCTGACTACAGGTCACTTCAAGATCTTAATAATTCGACGCTTGAAAGGCAAACGTGACTAAGCGACAATAACTGCTTTGTACATAAATGATAGGCAATAACCATATTCGATGCGCAAAAAAATATATATTTCTAGGTCTATTAAAATCATTTCAATCCTACAGCTAGATTCGTTAAAATAGATTTTGTTTTCAGGTATTTCAACTTTAAATTAGTCTACTGTAAAGTTCACGCATTGTCGCTTAGTCACGTTTGCCTTTCAAGCGTCGAGATATATTTTCCGCATCCCATTCATCGCCAAAGACAAGATATAATTTGTTATCAGATTCGTGGAGAGTGAAATTGGGTGTAAGCTTTAAGACTTGTGTTAACATCCACTTTGACTTTCTCCAATGTCTTAAGTGATTCAGTCTGTTTTATTTGTATAAACAGAAGTTGGCCGATGGTCAATATTTGTGAAAATACTTGGACTACTACTACTACTGCTCGTTGCATATTATGTTAGTGAATAAAAGGAGATACATAATATGTATTTGAACTAGCAATAGCAGTGAATACGAATAATTTTGATATTACCGTAGTTACATTTTATTTTGAATGTCCTCGTATGTAGTAAAATATAAAGGCCATAAATATTTCTTTAAAAACATCAAATTTCAAACCAAATTTTTTTTTTTAATCAAAAATTATTGGTCTGTTCCCAACATTTAACGAACATAAAAAAAAATGTTTTAACTTTAGCCGGACACACTTTGAAACGGCAAAGACTCCGGGCGATGAGAAGACTAAGAAATCAACGGACGTGTTTGGCGACCTGCTGGGCAGCCAGGGGTACGAGTTCGCGAGCAAACGCGACACCGGACCCAAGACTATGAACGCCATGAGGAAAGTCGAGATGGCGCAAACCATGGACCCGGAGAAACTCAAGATCTATGAATGGGTACGTGCACTAGCAGCAACCACACTCTAGGTTTTTTTTTTATTGCTTAGATGGATGGACGAGCTCACAGCTCACCTGATGGTACATACGACCTTCAGGGAACCACAAGAAAACTAGTGGGTTCTCTCTTTACTTCGATGTATAAATAAGCCTTATATTCAAGGTAAATATATATTTATCGTATGTATGTATTTTTTTTAATAATGTGTTGTTAATAGTACACCGCAACATACCTGTTATATCTTTATCTGTCCAAAATTTCGGGTAATTAAACGGTTGTCTGGAGATCGCTTTTAGCGATAAAATCGCCTATTGTACAAACGTATCTGCTTGTTGACTGTTTTCTAATGTTAATTGTGCGCAATAAAGTGTGTTCTCTCTATCATGTGCATAATCTAACACACAGACAGTTGGCCTCGATCACGCGTTATGTACATCGTCTATAGGAAGCTACAATCGACTGAAATCGCTTGAAGCTTTTGCTTTGTAACACTCTGTGTCTCTCACACGGAGCAATCCAAACAAAGCAGCATAGTTCAGAGTTCAGAGCAGAGTTCATCCATATTATCTGGAACCGATGCGTTCATCGACAGTGCGTTTCCAAAGATTTTTTTTGCCACGTACCATCCGACCTTGGAATGAGCTCCCCTCCACGGTGTTTCCCGAGCGCTATCACATGTCCTTCTTCAAAGGAGTCTTGCGGAGAGTACTTAATGATAGGCAACGCCAAGCCGTTGCCCCTGACATTGCTGACGTCCATGAGCGACGGTGACCACTTACCATCAGGTATGCTCGTCTGCCTATAAAGGCAATAAAAAAAACTTAATGGCACGCACTTTACTTTTTCCATGGTCACTTACGACATAATTGTAAAACAATAAACGCGAAATTAAATCACAATGTAAAACAAAAATATATGTCTCATATCTATTTGCTGTGTGATAATAATAAGTATAAAATTAAAATACAATTTTGTCGTCCAGACGGAGGGGAAGAAGGCCAACATCCGCGCCCTCCTGTGCTCGCTGCACACGGTGGTGTGGGAGGACTGCCGCTGGAGCCGCTGCGAGATGTCGCAGCTCGTCTCCCCCGCCGACGTCAAACGGAACTACAGGAAAGCGTGTCTAGCCGTGCACCCTGATAAAGTTAGTATATAATATGTAAACTTCCGAGCATCGTCGATATTAAGACGCGTGGATGAAGTTTCCTCTCTTTAGTCGTTGACTAAGTGGAGATTCTGACCTTAGCATTATTGACAGTAGGTGTCTGGTGAGCCCGCACGGGTAGGTACCACCCCGTGTCTTATTCTACCCGGAAGCAGTAATGCGTTGCGGTTTGAATGGTAGAACAGCCTACACTATACAATTTAAATTGAAACCTCATGTCTTAAGGGGGGTGGCGGCATTCAGGTAGTGATTGGTGAACTTTTTTTGTGGTTACCGTCGCTCATTGTTGTCAGCAATGCCAGGGGCAGAGCCAAGTCGCTGACTACCGCTTAATATTATCCACAAACTCCACGTGCTTAGACTCGAGCTACCACTTACTGTGGTAACTGGAACTGTGAGCTCGTTCACACGTCAAAAATGTTTATGAAATAGCACTGGGAATAAAATAAATCTATCAAAATCACAATCAACCGGTTTTAATTGTAATAATTGTTTGTAACTAGTGTTTGCCCATAGATCTAAATCTTGCTATAATGATAGATACTTCAAGATTTAGATTTATTTTATTATATACTAACTGACCCGGCAGACTTCGTAGTGTCTCAATCGAGAAATAAAAAAACCTAAACTTTTGTATAAAATAATCTTAAAACAAACAAAAGGAATCCGTCCGACGGGGGACACATCAAAGGCAAATTTTAATTTAATTCCGAGCATTTTCATATTTATCTACCTTTTAAACCTTCTCTGGGCTTCCACGAATAATTCAAGACCAAAATTAGCCAAATCGATCCAGCCGTTCTCGAGTTTTAGCGAGACTAACGAACAGTAATTCATTTTTATATATATACAGATAGAATATTGTCTTCAGTAATTGAAATTATGAGAGAAAAGACTGAATCACTTTCATTTGATTACTTTTTCTCTTATCTCATCTGTTCTGTCCTTGCCTTATTGCGTATAATTGATAACTTCGGTAGTAATTAATGTTAATATAAATATAATTCCAGCAAGTGGGAACATCGAACGAGAACATAGCTAAAATGATATTTATGGAACTGAACAATGCGTGGAGCGATTTCGAAAACGACACTAAACAACAGAACCTATTCCAATCTTAAAAATATAGACAATATCATATTATTTATTGTTTTTATCAAATTTAGATGATATGTTATGATATGTATGTAGAGCACATCAAAGAGTAATTGAATTTTATGTTGAATTTATGTATAATATGCTTTTAATGTGTATATTTTGTGCTGAAAAACACTTAATTATCTATGTTGATTACAGTATTTCTCTATGCTGATATCCAGAAAAAAATGTTATTCTTAAATGAGTTTTTTTTTTTTAAATCAATGTGGGATATTAGTGAAACAATTTTCCATTTGTTTTATATATAGATTAGTGTCTGATTGTGTGTTTTGTTGTCTTACCTGAAATGATCTGCTTATTTGTAAGGTTCTCTTGCAGGCTGGTTAATTTCTAGATTATCAATCGTTTGTATTCTTAAGCAGGGTGCGAGCCTGTTGGCTTTGGAAATAACTCGTGGATAGTAAGCGGCACGTAAGTTGGCAAGGTTTTGGTGTAGTGGGGGTAATGTCACGCATGGTGCACATTGCAACAAAAAAATTGTCACTTTTATTGCCCGCATATAATTTTATTTCATTTTATTTTATTTTTTATTTGCCATAATTTGTTTTTAAACCTTTGTGTTTAGAAGAAAGTTAAAGAAAAGAGAGGAATTCGTGAAGTGTATTAGGTGTTATAAATAAAATACAATTAAAAGTTAAGAAGTTTATTTAAAAAATATACTTAATATAAAAAATTATGTGTCGCCGTCGTCACTATCATTTTCTAATAGTACTACCCCTTGGATTAAATTTATGGTAGCACCTGAGCTGGTGGAAGGAGTTGGCTCCTCATCGTTGACATAACGAAGAGTCGCTGTCGTCACTGGCGTAAATAATAAAACGCTCAGTGACTGAATCGACTATATGGTCATTGGTATTTGGTCCTGGCATTGCAAACAAATTTAAAAGAATAACACTCGTAACAAAAACTAAATTTAAAACAATAATAACAATTCGTAACAAAAACTCAATATAAACAAAGGGCTCCTACAATTTAGTAGGCGGATGTGTAACCAGGAGCGAACGGAACGTGGACGCGGTGCGGGAGGGGAGGGTCGACTGACTCACTAATCGCGCGCTCGGAACGGGCTACGTCTTTCCCCGCGTCCCGCTTGACAACCAAAGAGACCTAAAAAACGACTTCTGCGCATCTTACGACTCTTGCCAAGTTACGTGCCGGGGACTATACGTATCGCGCCAGTATAGGTTTAATTAAATTGTCTTAAATATTTGTTTGGAGCCAAATTATTAATCCCTATAACCTAAAAAGAAGCTAGAGTGATAGGAAAAGTGGTGAAAATAACTAATAAAAAAATAACCTAAAACTCACGATCATATCGACCGGAACAGTCGCTAGCTTGGGATTTACAGAATTTGTACTACAAATGTCAAAATTCAAACTCATAGCGGGCAAGTTAAACAAACTTATATCTTTTTTACATTCGATTTGCTATGATTCGAATGTTAGTTATGATTTTATTGAATAATTTACAAGAATCAATAGTATTTATGATGGCGCTTTTTCGGCAGTGAAGGCAATTTCGCTTAACTTTATTCGTGAAGAAATTAAGAATATTTAGTCATAAAATGGCAATTTTTTTGTTGTCCAAAACTTATTGCAAAATGAAAGATTTTTATTTGTACTTAGAAGTAATAGTATTCATTTTAGTTTTAATATTTTGAGGAATCAATTATATTTATGTATATTGGATTAATGGGTAAATAGCTTGTCGGTTTAAAAGGCCTGTTCCAATTAATATTTTAAAAAAATATCTTTCAATATAAGCAAATTTAGTATATTCGTGCTTCTGAAGAATAATCAAAATTTAAGAAATCTCTAAGTAATCGAATCAAAACAGGCAAATTTTAAACTTAGAAGTTGTTCATAAAGTTTTCCTTCAATAGTTACTTAATAGTTTGTAAGTGATGAGTACTCCTGTGTTGGATCGCAGAACTGTGTAGATTGTGGATGCAATAATTTAAAAGATGATCAATATTAGTGCCATAGTTCATATTCTCCGATCAATAGTCTTTGATAAATACATTACTAGATTAATTACTGGTGGTAGAACCTCTTGTGAGTCCGCACGAGTGGGTACCACCACCCTGCCTATTTCTGCCGTGAAGCAGTAATGCGTTTCGGTTTGAAGAGTAGGGCAGCCATTGTAACTATACTGAGACTTTAGAACTTATCTCAAAGAGTGGGTGGCGCATTTACGTTGTAAATGTCTATGGGCTACAGTAACCACTTAACACCAGGTGGGCTGTGAGCTCGTCCACCCATCTAAGTAATAAATAAAAAATATTTAATCACTTTTGGATCTCGAATCAGCAGTGTGCTTAGTGCGAGTTTCTTAACGTTCTCGATAGCGTAAAAGTTAAGCCAATTTTGTATGCAGTTGGAACAGCGCCCCTAGCGGCAAACGTACGCAAACGATCCCATTCCGGCCTTCTGGTGTAGTGGTCAAATTCAAATTCAATTCAAATTCAAAATCATTTATTTCAACTTAGATGTCAGTATGACACACTTGTTGAATGTCAAAATACAAATAACAATGTTAACTCTACCACATGACAGGGTCAATATATCCTATAGGGTCATATATCAATAATTTCAAAATAAATCGATAAAAAATATCCGCGTTCCTTTTTGAGTAACAAAACGCTGAGAAAAGTTATCTGAATATAAAAATATTCTATAAACCTTATTTCTTTGCGGTAAGACCGATTTTAAACAATTTATGAGTAATATCATCCGTGGTTCCAGTTCTCGAAAGCGTGGGAGTACCCATTGTAGCTAATAGATAAATTTAAATTACCATAATTAATATTATAATCGATACTTACCTATTTAATGTACCACGTTAAAACTTGTTTTCATAATTTAGTAAACAATGTTAATAATAATTCATAGTTGTCACTTTGTGTAATAAATACTAAGGTAATCTGTTTCTTCCGGCTTTAGGATATTATAGTACTTTATTTTGTAGAAAAATTAAAAAAAGTATTAAAAAATTCGGTATACTTGATTCAAAATTCTAGTATCATAATAAAAATATTTTCGATTTACGTTTTAAGCGCTGCTATAGCATTCTCTTACTTTGCAGAAATGTGTAATTAAACTTTAAAAAAATAATGAAGTCATTGTGATTTAAAATAATATACAGTAGCGGTCTGGTGTTACTAGATTTAAAAAGTTGTAGATTTAATGAGCTTATGATTAATGTTAAGTTTGTACATTCCTAATTTAATTAGATTTAATTGAACAGTGTACCGTTAAAGTTGTGTCGACTTTAAAAAGTTTTATTTGTAAACGAATGTTAATTTTAACTGTTTTTATTGAATTTCATGTAAGCAACATGCTTAATAATACGAACCTGATGTTTTAAGATAATTTTCTGAATGAAGTAACAACCATTTTGTTTATGATAGCATTATTTTATTTACCGAATCAAAATAGTCTGCAACTTTAACTTGAAATATTTTGGCTGTTCGTATAAAAAGCAGACGTTTCTTGTTTTATACTTTCGTTAATAGGAATATACCTATAACTAATTTACTTTGAATTTTTGGCACCGGTAATTGTTGAAAGTGGAGTGGCTTACTCTTATTAAAATGTAAGTTATTCGCATGGCTAGAGATATTTCAAGGTTAAACATTTTTCATTACTGAAATCGTATTTACGTATATTATACTTTGACAATGTTGTTCTAAGCGCCTATATGAATATAATTATGAGCCATTGATATTGCTGCTGTCTTAATAATTGCGCTTTACTGTAGATTTTTATTTTGTTAAAATGCCCTGGGTACATTAAAACAATCAATTATTAAAGAAACTTGTGTTTTATTGGTTCACTGACACGCATGGTGATACATATACTACTGCCTAGTTCTTGTTTACGACTTCCGTTAGCTATTTAACGCCAGATGGGCGAGCTCGACAAGCACTGCACTAAAAAAATGGGGTGTGGCTGTGTTATGGACACGGCCGTTTGTTGTACCTGAATACGTCTCGTAACGGGTAATAGTTTCTATATAAAATTTTATTATTTATGTATGTCATAATCATAAGAAGTCCTCCGGGTATACATGTTTTGTTTATGATGGCAACTTTTTCATTTAATGGGTTCAGGAAATAAATCAACTAAACATATAATCGATAGATTTTGACGAGAGCTCACGATTGAAACTTGAATGAACGTCGTAACTTCACCGAGTCGAAAGTTATACTAAATGGAAATCTCGATATGTAGCAAAATGACCTTCAAAATGGCGGGGCTGCCCCCTCCCCCGCGCGCGATGTGTTACAGTACTTACTTAGCGTAATAAATTCTTTGATTCTTTAGCTATCCAGTGGTGTAACTGAAATTTGGATGGAGATGATAGATATGTAGCTACAACACTAAACTGTATCCCCCGATTTTGTTATCATTCGTTTTTTTGGATTGCCTCCCTATGGAAGTAATTTTAAAGACGTATTCACGTCAAAAATACGGCGGTCAGATAAGTAAAGGCAGTAAAGACCAACATCTTGATAAGAAAAATGGTTTGTTCTAGATTCGATTAAAAAGCATAAAATTTCAATTGCTTATTTCTTTATTGTTTCCTTATACTAAATAACCAGTACAACGTTAGGTGGCCGTCAGCTCTTCTCTATTTTGGCGTCTAGGCATCCATATTTCTCCATTAGTTCCTGCTTCTTCCTCCTGAGCAATGCTTCTTCGACGTCCCTCTGCGACGGCACGGCCACGTGGGAGGTGACCGTTGCTTTCTCAGGTTCTTCTTCATCGTCTTCCATCCTCTTGTCGTCCGGCTGAAAATATTTAAAGAAAATTCCTTATTTATAGCTAACAAAAATTACGGAGGGTATTGTAAGACCGCAAGTACCATCATCCTGCCTATTAAGAGTAGGACAGACGTTACTAAATAAAATTAAGACGTCGCCCTCATGCCTCAAGGTAAGCGGCACAATGTTGTCTATGGGTTCTGATAACAAAGGCGTTAGTTTAGGTTATTGATGTGTTATAGGCGCGGACGTACGAGTGTGGGTGCGTCGACTAAACGTGCTATATCGCTACTTACGCCCGGTTCCAATATCCAAAAAACGAATCGTTTTATATTACGATCCGTTACAATATCTACGAATCGTAGGACAAAATAGTTCCTATAAAAACGACTCGTTTTTAAAATTACTGATGACTTGCTACTAACGGATGGGAGGGCTAACATAACGGTTCGTACTGCGTTTTGTATGGAGACTGTTGTCTGTAGTGTTCCTATATTATTTTAGAAATGTCAGTGAGCTGTCACAACTACGACGCGTAGAGCATTTTTTAACCTACCGATTTTGTTCGGTTGTGCTTTGGAATTTTTGTGTTTGTGTTTTTTCTTTTAAAATGTCGAGTTCAGAAAGTGATAACGAAGTTTTAATGTTACTGAATTCAAGCGACGATTCAAGTGATGATACGCGAAGTAATAGAGTGTATAAAACAAGAATCAATTATTATTCAGAGCTCGATAATCAGGAGTTTCAACTAAGATTTCGGCTCGACAAGCAGTCTGTGCAATTACTGTTAGGTGAAATTTATCCTTTTTTAAAGGTAAAAGGAACCAGGTTCGTATTTTTAATGCCAGCTGTTAATTGGTATTTTATGAAGTAGTTAACTATTTAACAAGTGATTACATGAAAATAGTATTTACTAGTTTATTTTAATTCTAGGAATCATGGAATATCTCCCTTACATTACAATTTATCAGTTTTTTTTGGTATTTTGGCGCGGTCCGGCCGACATCTGGCGTTTCCTTTGTCTCTTCATGGCGTTTTGTTCACTTTACAGTTAAAACTAACTGTAACTGTTTTTAAATTGTGAATGTTCAAATAAAATTACATATGTGATGAATTACAATTAATTTATATTATTTTAAAATATTTATGTAAAAATACTAATAAAAACTTATGTATTTTGAAAAGAGTTTTATTTCTAAAGGATCTTTGTGACAAAATCATTTGCATTAACGAAACGCAGAGGGATTCGTTAGTAAGCAGCGCGCCGACGGATGCTCGTAGATAACGCGGCAAGTAAAATAGTTGTGGAACGCTAATATACGCCTACGTATTGGTAGCATGATTACGATTACATAGTTGTTATTATACAATGACGATTCGTTATTTTTTGGAACCGGGCATTAATGGTTCACTAGCCTACACTCCGGATACATTCCATGATAGTTTGCATCGATTTGCGGCCGTTACAAAAAGCTACTTAAGCTTATTGTACTAGCTACCTAAGCTTATTAATCCCTTACAAAAGTTTTAGTTGAGTTGTTAGTTTACAACAAAATTATACTAAAATAAAGAAATTAATTGAACATGCAATATCGAAAAAGGCACATCTCTGAAAATGTAAAATGTTCAGGAAATAAAAAAAAACTGATTATTTTCTAAAGCAGTGTAAAATTTAAAATATTAACTTTTGAGATATATTTTAGTGTTAATTAGCAATTGAAAATTACTGGAATTATTATAAAATGGGTGTAGGTAAGCCTCAAAACTACATGTGAAAAAACGTATTTGACAAAATAAGGGACATGTGCCCTTTTCGAAATTGCATATTCAAATGAAGTTTACTAAAAAACGTTGTACTGTATAACCGAGTTCCATTTCAGAGTCTGATCCCAGAATGTCATGTTATTTAGGATCTTATATTATATATTTCTTCATTGCTGTCGCAAAGGCGACCGGCCGGGACGCAATTGCTTCCTACTCACACGTGGCCAGAATATAATATATAATGACGTCAGTTCGTTCTACGTTTGCCTCATTAGTTGAAGCAGTTAAATTTATGATCATCATCTACTCACATCTTCAGGATAAATATTTTCCTCTTCGGGAAGGTCTTGATCTTTGTTGAGTTCCTTGTTTCTTTTCCATTCGTCGACTGCACGTGCTATCGCTTAAACAGAAACATTTCAGGTCAATTTAACAGCTATAAAACTCTAAAATAAAAATGTATAGAATTTTTAGGTGCGTATTATAGGTGAAACAACTTTTATAAGATACCCAATCTATATATTATATAAAAATGAGTTGCTGTTCGTTAATCTCGCTAAAATTCGAGAACGGCTGGACCGATTTGGCAAATTTTGGTCTTGAATTATGTCTCTGGAAGTCCAGAGAAGGTTTAAAAGGTAGATAAATAAGAAAATGCTCGAAATTAAATAAAAATAACAATTTTGTTTTTCCTTTGATGTGTCCCCCGTCGGACGGATTCCTTTTGTTTGTTTTAAATTTATTTTATACAAAAGTTTAGGTCTTTTAAATATCGATTGAGGCACTACGAAGTCTGCCGGGTCAGCTAGTAACCCAATAAAAAAAGATTTTTTCTAATAACAGTGACACAAATCATGTTATTGAAACTTTAAAAAGTATTTACCAACTAAAAGGACCTTAATTTTAAGAATTATCTTCGTTTTGGTGGCAGAAACAAAGTTAAACACTTCACATGTCGTTTTAGTACCTGCTTTTTCAGCCTCTTGTTCTAATGGTAGTAAAATGCCGTCGTCGTCGTCCCTGTAGCCGTAGTAATCTGCGTCGACGTCTCTCATGAGGTCCGCTCTCGTCCGGCGAGGGGGCGGGGGCGGCTCTTGTTCGAATAGCTCTCGCACGCCTGAATACGATTTATTAATCAATAAGTACGGCATTTATTTTTGAACGTCATTATCCCACCTGGGAAGAGCTGCGTGGCATATTGTGAGCCCATATTGATGATGTTACCATCCTACCACAATTTTATGGTCCGATATGAAATGTAGGATTGTGGTTGTTTTTGTTAATAATGGCGTTTGTAGCCAGACGAATACAAGGCCCGCCTGGTGGTGAGTAGTTGCCATCGCTCATGGAGGCCAACAATGCGAGGGGCACAGCTAAGTCGCTGCCATTATCTTTTTTCCTACCTAATCTGATGGTCTAGAGAGACCATATCAGTGTAACCTTAACTAGTAGGTGAGCTCACGGTGCTCAAACCTGACGATGTTGCTAACACGAACCCCAGCGAGAGCCGTGCTTCGCAGAATCTAACACCGGATCGGAAACGCGACCCACTGAGAAGATCCGGCGAGAAACTAAGTGGGCTAAGTCGCTGCCTACCTCTGAGTACTCTCCGCAAGCCTCATTTGAACCTAGACATGTTACAGCGATCAGAAAACACCGTGTTGAATTGACGCAATCAGCCTACGATCTCAAATATGAAAGATTGGCGTTAGATAAATTACAAGAGGGATGACGTCATTCGTGATGGTAGGACCTTTTGTGAGTCCGCTCGGGTAGGTACCACCACCCCGCCTATTTCTGCCGTAAAGCAGTAATGCGTTCCGGTTTGAAGGGTGGGGCAGCCGATTTAATTATACTGAGACCTTAGGACTTGTAATTCAAGGTGGGTGACGCATTTACGTTGTAGATGTCTATGGGCTCCAGTAACCAATTAACACCACAACAATAAAAAAAATTGTGCTTATGTGTTCGCTGAACTCATCAGCTATGTGCTCTAATAAAACATTGTATATTGGTTGTCGACATGGAAGTGTGATTTAATAATTTTTTTTTTTTCAACTATCAACTGTTTATTGATTAGTAATAAAATAAGTTGTTTGCATTGTCAAAAAAAAATTATAGCCAATAGTGGTTAGTTACCGGGTAAATCCTTTGCAGCTCCAAAGTATTTGTATCCCCGGTTGCCCGGCACTTCTTTCCCGTCCTGGTCCAACATTTTAGGACCGACTCGAGCATGATCGGGACCGCCCAAAGATTTAATCTGCACCTCCCAATGTCGCTTCTCCCTCATAAGTTTATTAATTTCGTCGTTAAGATCGCGAATCCGGAACTCTCCGAGACCGGCTGAAATACGAATTTATTTTTCATTTTCTTTAATAAATACATTTTTTAATTTTTTTTTATTGCCTTTTTAGGCAGACGAGCATACGGCCCACCTGATGGTGAGTGGTTACCGTCGCCCATGGACTTCAGCAATGCCAAGGGCAGAGCCAAGCCGCTGCCTACCGCTTAATACTCTCCACAAGCCTCGTTTGAAGAAGGACATGTCATAGCGCTCGGGAAACACCGTGGAGGGGAGCTCATTCCATAGTCGGATGGTACGTGGCAAAAAAGATCTCTGGAAACGCACTGTGGATGACCGCAGTGGCTCCAGGTAGTATGGATGAACTCTACTCCGGTGGCGGGCGGTGCGATGGTAAAAACGAGACGTTGGTATCATCTCGAACAATTCCTCAGAGCATTCCCCATGGAACATGCGGTACAAAATACAGAGGGAACCGAAGTCCCTCCGCANGAAACGCACTGTGGATGACCGCAGTGGCTCCAGGTAGTATGGATGAACTCTACTCCGGTGGCGGGCGGTGCGATGGTAAAAACGAGACGTTGGTATCATCTCGAACAATTCCTCAGAGCATTCCCCATGGAACATGCGGTACAAAATACAGAGGGAACCGAAGTCCCTCCGCATACCCAGAGGCTCCAAACGATCCGTGAGAATGGAATTATCGACAAACCGAACGGCTCTCTTCTGTATGGAGTCAAATGGAAGAAGCTGGTACTTGGGAGCCCCGGCCCAGAGATGAGAGCAGTACTCCACGCGAGGCCGGACTTGTGCTTTATAGAGCAAAAGTCTTACATACATACACTTGAATTTTCAAATTCGGCTAAGTGTTTTAAATGAGTGGACAAATGGTTTTACAAAAACGTTGAAGAAACCCTATAGTGCCATGGCCTAGACAAATCCATTTTATGATAAGGATCTTAAATCTTAATATTAAATGGATGAGACAGATAAAATGGTTCAGTTTCAAAAACAAGTTTTATTTCGTTGTGCCAGTATTTATAAAAACTAGTGTACAATTTTATATCAACAAGAATAGTGTCAGTTAGTATAATGACTCGTCGTGTAGTTATTTTTTTGTTTTATCTTTAGATTTGATTTCTTTCTTCGATTTATTTGCTTTTTTAGTTTTATTTTTTTTCTTATTACTTGTTTTCGATTGTTTCTTGTTCAGTTCGACAGTACTGCACTGTTGCGAAATGTTGTTTATATTATTATCAAAATTCCGTTTTTCCGTTGGCCCCTTTGGAGTAACTAGTTCGATTTCTAATTCAGTTTTCTTGTCTTTTGTTTCCAGTTTTTTGCCAATTTTTAAAACGAACACATCTTTCTGCGGATGCAATATTTTCTCCATGGCCACAGGGACCGGACAGTTAGTTGGCGTAACGCTAAGTATTTTTCTGTCCCTTTTATCGCAGGTATTGTCGTAGCCTTTATGAGTGTATTTTAAATTTGAAGTGTAAGTATCAGAATTATGGAAATCTTTCGGTAACTGGAATTGTATCTGATCTCCTGTATTGTAAGGTGTATTTTCACAGGAGCACAATTCCTGTATCCTATCGTACTTTCCCATTCGTTCAACCTTCGTGGTTTTTGGGACACGAATTTTTAGTTCGTTCGCATTAATTTTTGTAAATATCTCGTCGTATTTAGGGACCTCGTTTTGATAGTGTGAATACGGAATCGGCTGATATGATCTCTTAGATGACAGAATGCTTGATGTTGGACTCGGACACCTTTGATTTCTTTCAATGAATGAAAGATTGCGATGCGCACAGGGTAAACTTTTTTTTGTTAAACTACTTTCATCCAAAAGTATCTTGCCTTGATCGTCCATTTCAACTTTTTGACAAGAATACATTGTCATTCCATTATCTTGCTTCAAAAGAAACGACGTGCCCTGAGGTTTAGGAGTAGCACAAAACGAAGTCATGATTTCTTTTCCTAGGAATGACATTCTTGTCGAAACCTCAATAACTCCAATAGAGTCCCTGTGGTCTTCGTCACCGCAAGACAGATGGTACAAATTTTTGGACAATGGTGTCGATGTTGTACACATTATATTATCATCAGGCTGTTCAGCCAACCATTTGCGACACAATTCCTCGCGTAATTTCACAAACTCCACAGTTAAGTCCATACACGCCTGTCCTATTTTAGTCACACAGCTGGTGCAAGGTGGCTGTTTTGTTAATTGTATGGTTATTTCAAAATCTTTGATGCTACATATTTTATCGTAGGTCATAGCGAATAGTATTGACTTCCCTAAATTTAGTTTAGTAAAGTTATATATTTTACCGTAACTGGTATCGTAAAGGACAATAGGTTGTTTTCCTAAAAATGTCGCCAAAATAACTAGATTGTTACCATCAACGTCGAAACAATCACATTTCATGTGAATTTTATTTACGATAATTTCCAACAAAAACAGATGATAGGGAAAATTAACGTTTTCCTCTTGTTGATCGGACATTTCTTGTTTAGTTTTAGCTATATCTTCGGATAAACTACGAATAGATTGTCTTAAAGCTTTTGCTTCATTTGAAAGAACTTTACTCATATTGGCTATTTTATTAATATTGCTAGTTATCACTGGAGATCCTATTGGGCTTTCAGATCTTCTCGAAGTTTTGTTTTCAGACACATTCGATTTTCTATTGACTGAAGTTTCTTCTGGCTGTCTAATTTCGAGATCTGTCTCCATTTTACGTTCCTCTAAGTATTCCGATTTAATACTTAAGCTTTTTGGACTCTTCTGTTCTGGTGATTTAGATCTGACACTGCCATTATAATTTCTATGAGATACTTCAATCGAAATATTATGATCAGTTGGGATTGGACTGTGAAGGAAATTGGCCAGTTGTGGTGGTGATTGTGGTGCAATAGAGGACTTTGGAGTCTTGCTTTCTTTTTTAATTACTTGCAAAGAAGGTTGTTTAGACGAATGTCTGGATGTTGATATCGCCTGTGCAGTAGGAACTTGCAGGCTGCCTTGAGTATCCGAATATTTCTCTCTGTCAGCAGTAATCATTGGCGGTGTTGAAATTAAGTCTGTATTTTGTGATAGCTTTGTGACAGCTTGCAGTGAGGTTTGTTTAGAAGAGGGTTTAGATGTTGGTATTGTTTTTAATAATGTAGGCGTTCCACTGTCCTGATCGTAAAATGTTTCATCATTGTCAGCAGCTGTAGACTGTATTGAATTTAATACTAGATTCTGTGATACTGTACTTTGCTCTCGCTTATTATTCTCTGTTGATGGTGTAGTGTCCATTATAGATTTGGAAAATTTTAATTATAAATTGTTTTCTGACATTCTTGAAATTACATAGCCCATGTGATTTTCAAGTTGACTAGATTTTTTTACTTTTTAAATAAGAGACAGTGTAATTTGATTATTTAGTATTACCACCAGTACTAATCATATTTTACTGTCTAACTATGCATTTAATATTTCGTTTTAAGACAGAAGTGTGAAATTGGAAAATCCATATTGATTTTATTTATATTATATACATGTGTATAAGAATTTCCAATTTGTAAAAAAAATAAGCACAATAAAAATTAAAAACTAAGAAAGTAAAGCAAATAAAAGATTTGGATCAAGTAGGTAGGTAAACAGTTTTTGTTCAAAATGAATATGCCATAAGCCGAATATTTAAGGCATCAACTTTTGCTAGAATATTGGCCATTACATATTAATATTTGGCTTTGTTTGTTCATATTACAAAGTTGAGAAAGTACTCTCAAAAAAATTGTGTATTTTGTATAAAATATAGTATTATAGTCACAATAAAGCATGTCTGGGTTTAACTAAATATTGATTATTTTAAAATATACATACCATTCTGTATTTGTGCCACTTTTTTCGCAATTTCTCTGACAATCTGTAACCTCCACTTCTCAGCTTGTGGCAAATCATTACATTCTGATGCAAGGTACGGACGTCGTTCTCGCTGGCCTCCCGCTTCCTGAACTTGTGCCGCACGCCAACGTGCTAGTGTTGTCCTAGAGAGCATTGCGTAAATAACTAATAGTAGTTACTGTTTAACATCATGAACATAGTTGAAATTTAAATTTCATGGAAATAAAGAGTTATAAATACTGTTAATACTGAAAGACCTGATAGCTTCATGACTAATATATACAGGAATGAATACAATATAATCTATATGTGAATGCTATGGATTAACTTAAGAGATGAGGTTGAAGTCACTTTTGTTCTATTTGTAACTTCAAACCAAAATGGTTGACTGTTTCACAGGCGCAATAAGCAGAAAATCAGCAATTATGCACATCTATAAAATTATGATGAGCAATTCTCTATAAAACATTATTATTATTGCCTATTATACTAGTATTGCCATGCAGAAAGAGTAAGATGCCTGATGTATTACTTAAAAAAAAAGATTACAAGACAGGCAGTCGTCTTAAAAGATGTGAATATAGCAGAAAGACAGTCTATTTACTGTGGAAATAACAATATGCCATTAGGCCACTGATAAAATTAGAAAATTTATGCATTTAAGTATTGCAGTCTTTATTACACAATTCACACCCTTTTCTATGAATGCCGAAAATGTTACATAGCAATACCTTTACTAACATTCAGGTCATATTTGTGTTATGGCATTTTTGTTGTTCACATTTCCGTTAAATTCTTTATAGATCAAGTCTATTGTCTCATTTCACACTTTGTTTTACTGTTACCAAAATTATATGTTAGGCACTTATTACTCATATTATGTATATTTATACCATTTACTATAATGCAGATGTACTGTCAGTTTGAAAATGGTCTTTAAAATAACAACTTGCATCTATTTGGATCAACCATTGCAGTAACAATGTTAATTTGTGTCTGATGAAAAACATATTTGGCACATATTCGTAACTGACTTTCACGATCAAGGAATTACATTATGTAATCAAGCCCTGCAAAAAATATAATTTGCATAATTACTGGTTTTAGAGTGTCATTTGGGCCTGCACTGGCAGATGCCACCATCTGCCTATTTCTGCCTTAAACTTCGATCAACAATAGTAACTAGATTTCGGGTCGGTGCATAAAATCCGTCTCGTCAAATAACAGCGCACTTGAAATGTGAGCTCTTATTTTGTTTAGTTCACTTCAAACACAGCCAATGTCAACCCGTCTCACAATACCGCAGTGTGTATTCAAAAGTTGCAAAAATAAGGCCCGAAAAAGCAATTTAACGGCCGGAGTATCTTACTTTCGGTAAGTACATGAAGTATAAACTATATTGTAAGCTTTAAACTTATAAATAATATTAAATTTTGAACAAAATTACCGATTTTTAACCACCGCTACAAATGTTGGCCAAGGCTCGGCCAACACATGGACAAACTTTTGCTTAACAGAACAGTAAATGCATGGAGTAGATTTGTGTTGTAATAATTTTTTAAAATTTGTTAGCAGCACTTCAAAATTAGTTGGTTAAAATTGGTTAATGCTGCTTTTGTGTCTGTTTGTTGGACTCTCATTAGATACTTAGCTTTCCATTTTTATTTTAGCTTTCCTAGCAATCACGTGTGCAGAATGGATCTCGATTGTCGCCAGAGAAACAAGAGATGACTTTTATAAGCCAGCTAAGAACTCCGCTTATTGACACTGGACATCTTTGCCTTCCGTGCTCACGGCTACTGAAATGTGGCCGAAACATTGTAATAAAAATACCACGCTTGAAACCGTTTAAACGTTGTTTTATTATGTGCACTGGTCGCGAAAACTTAAAAATATATATTACACAAAAACGTAACGCTAATAAAATAATAAGTAATGTATAGATACTAACAAACATACATTTCCAAAACATAAAAAGTAAACAACTAAACTTTTACTTTAATTCATTAATAAATTATTTTAGTGTTAAGCGCGACTCCCTTACCTCCTGTAGTAAATAGAAATCGGCATTTCAAGAAGTAAAAATAAATTAAGCAAAACGATGTTAGTTCTCAGAGCAATTAAGGGAAAAGTTACTTTATTTGTTGCGGCTTAAGATTGATTTAACATTAAAAGTTGTTTAAAATATGTCTTTTTATTGGTAAGTGACAGAAGTAATTTATTGCTTTGCTCGTTTTATGTGACGAATGATCGTAAATATTAGATAATGTTTTGGAGATTTGTGACTTTATTACTAGGTACCATAGTTGTTATTAGTTTGAAAGTAAAAGTGTTTCAAAACTTTTTTCTCCGTTTGTTAGTGAACGAATGTAGCTATATAAGTATATATTCACGCGGACAGTTTTTGCTTTAATTTTATACGTATCCCTTTATCTAGTTACTATTGTTGATCGAAGGCCTTAAAGCATAAATGTGTTCCGTTTTGAAGGGTGAACAGCCATTATAATCTCCAATTAGGACTCATATCTAAAGGTAGGTGACAGCCTTCACATAGCAACGATAAGGCCTTTTGTAACCACAGAGTAACAAGTGCGCCGTTAGTACTTTCATTGCATGGGCAACAAAGGAAATGTTTTACTATATTCCTTACTTAGCTTATCAACTCAAGTAATTATTAGAGCAAAGTTAAGTAATATCACTTACTAAAAAAGGTGCTGCCATATGAATTTACTTAGAAATGTTCAATTGTGTATATCCTAACAGTATTTGCTGACTATTATTTAATTGCAATGAAGTTTGCAAGTTTATACAATAAGTAGTATGCAATAAAGTATTATTCATTTGCAATAAATAACGCTAACTTTTATGAAGAAATACAGAACACATTATTTAAGCAATAAAAAAAAAAAAAAAAAAAAAAAAACGCATACTCACATTGCTTTCTCTGCGTTTCTGGCCTAAAATTTAAAAGGAAAACATTTTTAATTTAGAAAATAAAATTAACAACTTAAATAAAAATAAATGAGTTGGGACCTGCTTACCATGGTTTAAATTGTATTTACAATTTCGGTTTTTGGGATCAAGACCATTCAAATTTCAGTAAAACTTTATTTTAAAGTGGAGCTGTATGGTATTTGAGGTAGATTCTCATAAAAAAAGTGATAATTCCTTGATTAAATATGTTAAAACTGAAATCGACGAGATGCAACTTTATTTAAGTGAACTCTAAATCCTTTTACGATACCTATAATTTATTTTTAGAAGCAGTATATTCTTTATTATATGAATTTTAGTTCTGTAAAACCAAATATTTAGATAATTTTGTACAAGCGAATGCATGCATGCATGTGTTTTTGGTTTTTGTTGTCTGTTATCTGTCATTAAAATGACAGTAGTTCTATTTTTCCAACTTGAGAGGCAAAAGTATCATACCATACAATCTAATCTTCTATAAATTTTTTTAAATTTTTGATATGAAATAACGTTGATTAATTTGAAACATTAATCAATTGGCATGAAATTAAATGAAAATAGATCAGATGATATAGAATGAAATTTAATCGCAGTAAAGTGGCCTTTATTTAATGAGACTTCCTAAAATTAACAGTAGTAGTAGTGTGGGTATTCACAAATTGTCTTAGCCTAAAGGATAAAAAGTCCGGTGCATTCGTATCTTGCGGTGCACTCGTGTTCGAATCCCGCAGACAAGGACAAGTATCAATTTTGCTAATGAAATACGTATTTAACAAATGTTCACGATTGACTTCCAAGGTGAAGGAATGACATCGTGTAATAAAATCAAAACCAGCAAAATTAAAATTTGCGTAATTACTGGTGGTAGGACGTCTAGTGAGTTCACACGGCTAGGTACCACCACCCTGCCTATTTCAGCCTGGGGAGTAGTAGTGCGTTTCCGTTTGAAGAGTGGGGCAGCCGTTGTAGTGTTAAAATTGAAACCTTAGAACTCATCTCAAGATAGGTGGCGGTATTTACGTTGTAGATGTCTATGGGCTCCGGGACCACTTAACATTAGGTGGACCGTAAGCTCGTCCATCAACATAAGCAATAAAAATAGAAAAAAAAAAGTATCTCCAACTAGTAATATTTGAAATAGCTAATTTTTTATCTAGGCTAAAGTAATTTATTGTTCGAAATTAACCCAACGTCTAGATCAGAGTATGTAGCAAATTGGCCTAGTAAAATTGCTCTTTTTGTTATTAAGCTACTAGAATTTGGATTTCAGTGTGGAAATGGTAGCCGATATAATAATTTTAAGCTCGAGATAAATAAAACTTTCATCGAGGTTAAGGTACGTAGGTATACTTCACAATTTTTCCGCATTCGTTATTTATTAATTAAATTCCGGTGGTCCGTTCGCTGTTTCGCTTCGAGTAGAACTCATTACTAACTACCTTTCTCTATTGATTATATAAGGTTTTTTTACATTTATTTTTAAGATAAGGTTTCAGGTGAAATCAGCCCCTAAATTTTTCAATTGCCCCATGGCGGTCATAGGCGTCATTAACGCTATCGATATAACGAATCCACAATCGATAGAATAGATAGATAGAATGGTGATACCTAGGCTGCACTAAAAGTATCAGGAATGGAATATTTCCACTGTTCCTGTCATATTAAAATCTTTTTAATTGAAAACTCCTTGGTTTTAAAACGCGAATACCATTTATTTATTTTAAAAAAGATTCTCGGTCTTGTCACGAGGTTTTGTTCCATCGTATGGAAAAATATTGTGTCAAATTTCGCGGAGAATACTTCGAAAAGCAATAAATACATTTTTAAATAGTAATGTTGTGTCACTTCGTTAATTCCCGAAATTTTCAGTGCCGCCCTCGTAAAATCTTACGAGGTTATCCATTCTAGTAAAGGCAGGAATTGAGATTAGGAATAGAGGAAACTAGGTATTTAAAATACTGCTACGAAGGACGAAGTCTGGATATTTCAAACACGCTGTGTTATTAAAACAACATGAAACTTTTCACTTATTTATTTTAACAAACAATTTACAAAATGTGAACTAAAATTACCTAAGTATGATATGTAATACGCATAACAGAGTTTGCCCTAATAATTTATTGAAATGACATCTAGTTTGAATTTTTTTATAAAATTATACTAAGTAATTGGTATTGCTTAAAGTGTGTAGTTGATAGAAACTTTGTATAGGAACTCATCATCATAGCAACAATACTATTTGTCGTGTCCAAGAATTGGTTTTGTTTTTGCCATTCCTAAGTTTTACTAGGTTATATTATTTTGTCGATCATTCGTACGAGACCATTATCTAATAATCTAAAAATACTTTGTTACAATTTTGGAAGCAGAACATCAAAGCAAGTATAAGTTATAGTAATTTATCAATAACTCGTGCATTGTCGTGCAAACCATAGTTTGAATGACAGATGCTAACAACCTAGTGTAATATAATTCATTAAAAACTATTATTTTCGCTGCCAGAGCGAAGCTAAGCGTTGTATATATACACATAATATATTATACAAGTATATTATAATACTTTGTAACACGATACGACATTTCTTATAAAAAAAACTATCTATCTAACAAAGAAACATAACTTATAGTAATTATAATTTTATAAACAGGTAGTATATCGTCATTGTTAAGCTAATACCTACGTGATAGGTGCAAAAGTATAACTTTCAGATTCTGATTCTTCTAAAACTCAACAGTTAATAAAGAAAAATTATGTCAGTATGTTTTATATTAAGGTAGGTATTCACATTAAAGCGATGTAGGCTAGTTAATGTTTGGCATTTCGTATTTGTGTACCAGGCACCTTCGACATATTTTTTTACACTAGTTATAGATTATAAGCTCTCTTAAACAAGAACACTAGTAAACAGTAGACTAATATTTGCATCTTAAGCTGCGCAAATTTTCAAATTTATTAGGTACTCTTCATTACAGAGAAAAGTTTTAAATAGGTTACAAAGGAGGCTTTAAGGAAATCATTCTAACTCCAAGATAAGTGGACATTTCATGATTTTTTTCATGTCCAATAGATGAAGCATAATTGCTTTTTATAAAATCAATTAAAAAGTATTTTCTCGCTGGTCAAACCTTAAAGAGGCTTAGCATGCTTTTCTCTTTTTGAGACACTTTTTCTTTTTATCAATTTTCAAATAACAACGAAGTTAAAGAAGTTTTCACTTTAAAAAATTGGCCTCAAAATTACATTTAATTCTAAATAAAATAATTTTAGAAGTAGGTACTTCCAAATTACTTAATAATATACTCTATTTCAAAACATCCTATCCATATCATTATTTCGATCGGATGAAATTAGATTTGTGACGTTTCCTTAATTTTCGGGAATATGTCAACTCTGACAAATGAGTTTATTTGTCACAAAAATTTTAACCATAACCGTTTTTTTTCCTCATTAACGATCTGTAGCGTTAGGATTAGTATAGGAGAAACCTCTGAAGGGTTCCTGGTCCATGGAGCGAAGAACTTGAGGCTCCACAGCAGTCAGCCGCGGTCGTTCTCCTGTGAATGCTCGGTCGAAGTATTGTGTGTCCATTGGATGTCTCTGTCATCAACAACATGGTCGCAAATATCACAGCCGTTCAATTAAATTATTTAATTTAAGAACACAAATATGATGATAATTCTCCCAAATGCTTTACAATAAATATGTAGTGCAAATATATGTTTAAAATAATAATTTAGTACGGTGGAAACGTATTTGCCAAATGTTAAATAAACCAAATTATTCACAGCTGACGCGCTTCTAATGATAGTTGTTTGTTTTTGTTGTGTTTATTTTTATGTTATTCTTATGTAATAACCACGGCATACGACGCATAACGGCCAATAATAATTGGAAGAATTGATAGAACAAAATATATTTAGCGTAATATTCAAATATCAACGAAAAATATCATAGCTATCCATGACAATGGAAACAGCTCAAAACGTTGGGATAGCAAATACAGAATAGTAAAATCAAAATTGTTATTATGTCTTGGGTTCACGATTATCGAAGAAATAAGTAAGAAGAAAATAGTTCTCCACACAAAAAAAAATCCGACCAAGCCACGTGGAACGGTATCTGGACAATAAGCTCAATGAAAAATATTTAATTAAAAGCGGAAAATATATACATCAAGATGTACTAATATTTATTTTTCTTAAAGTGCAATCTGCTATCGTACTCTATGAAGAATGTAACTTTTTTTATTGCTCGGTTGGGTGGACGAGCTCACGGCCCATCTGGTGTTAAGGGGTTACCGGATCCCAAAGCCAACCACCTCACCCAGACATAAGTTCTCGAAACGCATTACTGCTTCACGATAGAAATAGGCAGCGTAGTGGTGCCTACCCGTGCTGACTCAAGATGTCCTACCACCAGTAAAACCACTTTTTTCTGATTATCTTTTTCACAGATCAAACTGGTAAGTATGTCACAATAAAACTTTGGATATGGGCAATGAATAAAATACTTCGATGACAAATAATGAACATTCTATACATACAACTCGAGGTCTGAACGGAGCCTCCAGTTCCCGTCTCTCGAGTCTGTCCCAGTGTATCGCGTGGAAGAAATCCTGCTCTCTTATGTCGCCGTGCATACATTCCACGCCACCGAGACGCGTCCTTGCGTCTTTATCCAATAACTAAATAGACACGTTTTTTTTTTTAAATAGAAACAAAAGGAGTTTAAGCACAAATACGCTTTAATAGCAAACCGAATTAAATATTGGTGAAAGGATATTTGGTTTAAACGCCATTTCGCGTAATATGCTACATATACATTTGTAATTAAATACGCCTTTTATTTCATATTAGTATCAAAAATTCGATGTTATTAATTTTTTATATATAGCTTAGATAGGTGGACGAGCTCACAGCCCACTTGGTGTTAAGTGGTTACTGGAGCCCATAGAAATCTACAACGTAAATGCGCCACCCATCTTGAGATACAAGTTCTAAGGTCTCAGTATAGTTCAACGGCTGCCCCACCCTTCAGATCGAAACGCATTACTGCTTCACGGCAGAAATAGGCAGGGTGGTGGTACCTACCCGCGCGACTCACAAGAGGCCCTACCTAGTAAGTGTACTTCAATTAAGTTTACTTCATGAAAATACCTGAAGAAGTTTTTTCTTATAGTTTTTCCTAATTTGAAACTGTAGATGGGTGTCTTGTAAAGTAAAAGGCGAAATGTCGCCAATTATATATTATATAACCAAAATAGCCTTTCACCCCTCGATATAATATTTTTCATCTTGGTGATCCTGGTCAGGATATTATATCAAAGTAATAAAATTATTGTATAATTATCTATACTAATATATAAATCCACAGTGGTTTTTACGGATTTTCCGTTATAAATAATGAACCATGCATCCGATTGATTTGAAACTTGGTATCCATGTAGAAAATACATGTACTTAATGGATAGGCTAATATTTATATGAGTGTTGGACTTCCTAATAATAATGACAATAAATAATAATGTTAATTTTAAATGTCCAGCGAAGCGGGCGAGTACGGCTAGTTACTCGTATAAAAACTTACTCTAGTTAAAATGGAGAGAGATTGCTTGGACAGGAAACGGGGGTACGACGGCATTTCGTTACAAATCGACCAGAACAGCTCGTCTTCGTCACAGCCACTGAACGGACTTTGGCCGATCAACATCTCGTAGAGCAACACGCCAAACGACCACCAATCTACCGTTTGATTGTATTTCAATCCTTTGATAATCTGAAAACAGAAGAGTATTCAGACCAGGGACTTTTTAGTGGGAACGCGAGGAGTGAAGTTGTGTGGTTTGTTTTAATTTGTCTATTTGTGTTTCTTCAGGTTTAAATGTGTGATAATATCTGTTAATATTTGTTAAAGTGCACAAAATTGGGATAATGACCCAAAGCCGCTGGACATAGCTTTTCGGGATCCTCCAAAAAGTCCACTGAAAAAATCTCAGTAAATGACCACCATTTTACTGAGATTATATTTCATCCCAGTTGATTAATGCCTCAAATTAATTATATTCATTTAATTTCACTCCATATTATCATTTTTCGTAAAATTAGGAATATCAGTTATAATAAGACATGAATTAAAGGTCTTAGTTACCAGGTCATAAAATCCCTTAAAAAAAATCTTCAGACCAGGTCAACAACTAAAAAGACAAGCAATGCATTCCGGTTGGTTAAAAGTAACCGATGGTTGTAAAATACGATGGGGACTTCGATGTCATGTCTCGAAGGCGGGCAGAGCCATTCAGATGTGACGTCTATGGACTCCGATGTCCAGTTAATATTAAGTTGGCCGTGATTTTCGGCTACTCCTCACCATCAAAATTTCATGAGTGAGTACATCCATGGTGCGTTGTTAGAGATCATTTTCGCCACGTACCATCAAGCTTTGGAATGAACTTCTCACCACAGTGTTTCCTGAGTGTTATGGCACTTCTTTTTTAAACGAGGTTTGCGGAAGGTTGAGTTATACAGCGACTTAGCTGTGCTCCTGGCATTGCTGACCTACATGACCGATAGTAACGACTCACCATCAGGGGGTCGCATGCTCATCTGCTTAGAATGACAATAACAAAAAAATTATAATTTTTATACCTCTGGTGCCATATAATCTGGCGTTCCGCAGAACGTATCCGCGGTTTTGTCTAAATAAATTTGTAGCTTGCACATGCCAAAGTCGGCGATGCGAACATGGCCGTCGAAGTCAAGAAGAATGTTGTCAAGTTTCAAATCTCTGAAAAAAAAACCGAAATATTTTGATATTAGCTGGCGAGTGCCTGGTGGCTGAGACTGGGTTCCGATGACCATAAGACCCGAGACACCGCAAAACAATTCCCACTTTTATACTTGAGTCTCCATTGTAATAGAATTACCAATAAAACCGGACTGACATAGAACACTCTTACTGGTGGTAGGACCACTTGTGAGTCCGCGCGAGAGAATCTGAGAGAATTTGCCAACACTAGTCCTAGCAAGAGCAGTGCTACGCAGAATCATTTATTTAATTCACTATGAATTTTAAATGCTTTTAAATAAATTGGATATGTGGGGTGTCATTAAAATTCTTGCATCATCCCGAATTAAGTACACAGACTAAATAATTTGGCAGGGCCGTTGGTATTTTCATTTTATTTTATAGGTATTATTTTTGTTAAAAATATTACGGTTTTACATAACAATAAAACCGATATTATGTGCCGAGAAGGAAAACATACAGCATTGTATTATGAAGAAGCAGTGTGTACTTAGCTTAAATTCCTTGTCTATGTCCAACCATAGACAGTCAATTTAGTTCCATCTTTAGTCGCTAGGTGCTGCCAGCAAGTATAAAGGAAGCGCAGCCATCTTTGATCTTCATAGTCTTCACCAGGAAGAACTTCCTGCAATGCTGTATGTTTTCCTTCTCGGCACATAATATCGGTTTTATTGTTATGTAAAACCGTAATATTGATGTGCCTTTGGAAAACATACAGCATTGTATTATGAAGACGTGTTTGTTATCTGCTGNTAAAGAACATCTGTGCAATAAAGCTTACTATAAAGTCAATGATTATCTAGAAGATTGCACAAAGTGGGAATGAGTTGCTCGCTCCGGGAATTTCAATATTGTAAAATTGTTATGTTATAATTACTTATTGTAATATGAATATTTAAAAAAAAAAAATATTTAAAATAAAAATAAAAATCTAATATTTAAAAAAAAAAAAAAAAAAAGCATGCCCGCTGAGTTTCTTGCCAATTCTTCTCAGGACGGAGGCTAATTCTTGTGAATTGGCGGTAATTCTTTTGACGTTCAACAAGTATGTACTTTCATTTATGTTGAATAAAACTTTTTTGATTTGATTTGATTTGATTTGATTTTATAGCTTAGATGGGTGGACGAGCTCACAGCTCACCTGGTGTTGAGTGGTTACGGGAGCCCATAGACATCTACAAAGTAAATGCGCCACCCCTCTTGGGATATAAGTTCTAAGGTCTCAGTATAGTTACAACGGCTGCCCCACCCTTCAAATGAAACGCATTACTGCTTCACGGCAGTAACAGGCGGGGTGGTGGTACCTACCCGTGCGGACTCAAAAGAGGTCCTACCACAACTAAGTGAAATTCAATTAAGTTTACTTCATGAAAATAGCTGAAGAAGTTTTTTTCTTATACTTTTTCCTAACTTGAAACTGTAGATGGGTACCGGTGTCTTTGTAAACTTGCGAAATGTCGCTTAACCACCATTATTAAACCAAATAGTCTTTCCCCACTCGACATAATATTTTTCATCTTGGTGATCCCGGTCAGGATATTAGATCAAAGTAATAAAATGATTGTATTATTATTACTTAAAAAAACTTACTCTAGTTAAAATGGAGAGAGATTGCTTGGACAGGAAACGGGGGTACGATGGCATTTCGTTACAAATCGACCAGAACAGCTCGTCTTCGTCACAGCCACTGAACGGACTTTGGCCGATCAACATCTCGTAGAGCAACACGCCAAACGACCACCAATCTACAGTTTGATTGTATTTCAATCCTTTGATAATCTGAAAACAGAACAGTATTCAGACCAGGTCAATAACTGAAAAAACAAGCGTGGGGTTCGTTCGGGTTTAACGGTTTTTTTCCTACCTAAGCTGATAGCCTTGAGAGGATCAGCGTAACCTTAACTAGTAGGTGAGCTCACGGGGCTCAAACCTGACGACGTTGCTAACACGAATCCTAAGCAGGAGCCGTGCTTCGTAGAATCTACCACCGGATCGAAAACACGACGCACTGAGAAGATCCGGCGAGAAAGTCAGTGGGCTGTAGCTGTGGTTTAATTTACTCGTCGACCCCTTCATCGCAAGCGATGAGTTCGACGAAAACGATGACCGGGTTTAACGGGTGGGAGCAACTGTTATTAAATACGATTGAGACTTCGATGCCATGTCTCAAAGGCGAGCAGAGCCATTCAGATGTGGTGACGTCTATGGTCTCCGATGTCCAGTTAATATTAAGTAGGCCGTGATTTTCGGCTACTCTTCACCGTCTTCAAAAAAAAATTGTATTGTAACAAATTCTTAAAATTTCATGAGTGAGTTCATCCATGGTGCGTTGCTAGAGATCATTTTCGCCACATACCATCAAGCTTTGGAATGAACTTCTCGCCACGGTGTTTCCTGAGTGCTATGGCACTTCTTTTTTAAACGAGGTTTGCGGAAGGTAGAGCTATGCAGCCACTTAGCTGTGCTCCTGGCATTGCTGACCTACATGACCGATAGTAACGACTCACCATCAGGGGGTCGCATGCTCATCTGCTTAGAATGGCAATAACAAAAAAATTATAATTTTTATACCTCTGGTGCCATATAATCTGGCGTTCCGCAGAACGTATCCGCGGTTTTGTCTAAATAAATTTGTAGCTTGCACATGCCAAAGTCGGCGATGCGAACATGGCCGTCGAAGTCAAGAAGAATGTTGTCAAGTTTCAAATCTCTGAAAAAAAAACCGAAATATTTTGATATTAGCTGGCGAGTGCCTGTTGGCTGAGACTGGGTTCCGATGACCATAAGACCCGAGACACCGCAAAACAATTCCCACTTTTATACCTGAGTCTCCATTGTAATAGAATGACCAATAAAACCGGACTGACATAGAACACTCTTACTGGTGGTAGGACCACTTGTGAGTCCGCGCGAGAGAATCTGAGAGAATTTGCCAACACTAGTCCTAGCAAGAGCAGTGCTACGCAGAATCATTTATTTAATTCACTATGAATTTTAAATGCTTTTAAATAAATTGGATATGTGGGGTGTCATTAAAATTCTTGCATCATCCCGAATTAAGTACACAGACTAAATAATTTGGCAGGGCCGTTGGTATTTTCATTTTATTTTATAGGTATTATTTTTGTTAAAAATAGCTTATTATTCTGTACCATATACGACCAATACCGTCTTTACCATAAGGGCACACGGGGCCCGTGCCCAGGGCCCCCATTCTCAGGGGGCCCCGAAAGACCGACAATTTCTCTCACACGTTTATTCTCAAAACATTTTTGTCGGGCACATTACACTTTTTTCAGAAGGTATTTACAAGGAATATACTATGCCTATAATAGAATATTTTGCTCGACAGAAATCCCGAACAAAACCGTTATCGAAATCGTAACCAAAAAACATTAATATCATTAATGGCATATTATATCATACTGTATTTGATTACCTGTAATAAATGGTCATACTCAGTAAAAAAATGTTATTATAATTCCCTTTTTTTACTTTCAAAAGGGCCTCAAATTCTTGTGTGCCCAAGCGCCCCATCCTAGTTTAAGACGTCCCTGTATACGACACGACAAAGTTGAAACATACCTGTATATAATTCCTCTTTTGTGAAGAAATTTCAAGCCGGAAACAATTTCAGCGGCATAGAAACGCGCTGTTGCTTCTGGGAACCGACCGCTCTGTTGTATGTGGAACATCAAGTCACCACCGTTGAGGTACTCCATCACGAAAAACAGATGGGACTGTAAAAAATATGATTAATAACTTCAAATATATGAATGATTTATAAAAAGAGTACTTGTCTTATTTTTCGAGAGAATAGTTGATTCATACTGCATAGAAACGCTACGTTCATCTACAGTGCTGTTACAATTATTATTGCAATAACCACTCTAGTTAACCAGTTAGTATTTCATTAACGCCGTAACAATTACTGCAATAAAAACCAGTCTAGTTTGGGAGATATGCCGGTTAAATACAGCGTGTTGACATTCTTTTTTCAATATGTCGTTGAAAAGCTTTTTTACTTCCGGAGCCTGTATTTATACTTTTCGTGAATGTTAAGTGTTTTACAGCGCTGAAAGTGTTGAATCGCGTCGGTGAACTGGGATTTGAGCTTTTCTTTAAACGAGGTTTGCGGAGAATGCTCAATGGAACGCAGCGGCTTGACTCTGTCCTTTCCATTGTTGACGCCTATGAGCAACAGTAACCACTCACAATGTTATTTTTGCCCTACATTGCCTTTTATTTATACAGTATAAGATCATTCATCATTATCATGCCCTTCTCCCAGTCACCTGGGGTCGGCGCAACATGTCTATATCCTTCCAGTATAAGATATTCTTATAAAATAAATGGCTCAAAAATACAGCCGCATTGATTAAAATTGAACGTTTAATTTAAAATGTAAAGAAAAAATTTGCTTCAATCTAATTTACAGTACTTTTGTTTACTTAAATAGAATCTATATATTAATACGTGAAGCAAAAACTTTGTACCCTTTTTTACGAAAATTGCGCGGACGGAGGAGTATGAAATTTCTCACGCTTATAGAGATTATAGAGAAGGAGTGCACAATGCTAATATTTTTTTAAATAATGCATAGAAGTTACTTTATATCAATAAAGAAAACATTACACACACTACCATGTATTTGACACAACACATACATAAAAATATACTCTTTGTTTACTGTCAATTGGGAAACTTTTGTTGTTGTTTAAAGTCTGTGGTCGAATTGAAAATAGATTGATATTGTTTGTCTTTAATGTTATTGATCTATAGTGCAGTTTTAGCGAATACTGTGATTATATTATTGAATTATAATAGTGTTTGACAATAGAACCATATTAATGTTTAAACTTATAATTTCAATTAATTATAGTCGAATTTTGACTACTGCGGGGCCACTAGTATAGAATTAATGTAGGTAATAACTCACGTCAGTTTGAAATGTAGCAAATAGATGGCAAAGGTACGGATGATTTGTACCGAGCGCTAAAACTTTCCTTTCGATGAGGGTGCACTCGACGTCGTCGTCCTCCAGCACCACGTCCTTCTTCAAACACTTTACAGCATAATAGTATTCGGTGTCTCGGAGTTCTGCTAATAAAACCTGTAATATATGTAATAAAACATACATTTCGCCAATGTTCCATAGTCACTTGCTATTGAAATACATCAATTTTGGAACGACTTGATGATAGTATCCCGGAATCGATGATATTGTCAGAAAATCGAAGAACATCTAGAAAAAGTATCAATTCAGTCAGCTGCCAGCAAAATATTCCAGCAATCATCTTTTGCTTACTTCTTCTTCCGTACCTTATACTTATATTTAAAGTTGGATCTATTTATTATTAAGCCTTCAAAGTTAGATCTTATATAGAGTAACTGTGGATTGCTCTCTCCAACCCGATAAAGGAACAAACATTGGTTAGTTGGCGGACCGGTTTGCCCTGTTCGTGTTCTTTCTGAATATACATAATCCGCTTATGTATATAATAAATGTAAGTCAAGAAAAATATTGTAGTAAGCGTCCATTTCTTTTCAAACCAAAAAAGGGTATTGAATTTAATCATTACATTATACGCTACTAGCGACCCGCCCTCGCTTCGCTTCGGAAACTGTAATTTATTATTGATTTCTCCACTATTCAATGGGTGTTATTATACATACAAACCTTCCTCTTTAATCACTCTATCTATCAAAACCGCATCAAAATCCGTTGCGTAGTTTTAAAGATTGAAGCATACATAGGGATATAGGGACAGAGAAAGCGACTTTGTTTTATACTATGTATTGATTATTGATTTGAATGGCACTTGTGTGTAAATAAATACATTCGTTTTTAAATTTAGCACAATGGTAATTATGAAACGTTGTGTTTATTTAAAAAAAGCTTGCAGAGATTAACATTTGATAAATGTTTAAGAAACGTTTTGACAAGCATGCGACGCGTTGCTGATTTTTATTTTATAACTGGGATATAGCTTTCTCCGTATTCTTGGCTCGGTCTCAAAGGCAAACGGGCCAAGCGTTCGCGAAACCAGGAAGATATCTCCACTTGACTAGTTGAAGGAATTATTGTATACAATAAATATTAATCCAGCAACGTAAATCTATTCTGATGGCGTATGTACGCTGGATCGTTAATTAGTTGCAGCTATGTCGACCAGGATGAATGATATTAATTTGAGAAATTATTTTATTCGTGTAATTTAGGTAGGATTAAACCCTACTCGATTTGTTGAGATGTTTTCCTTTATTTTAGTTAAATAGCTATTGACGAGCGAGTTTATCTTAATTACACGACAAAATGTTATAAAACAAAAATAATAATGACCATTGGGCGAACACAAGTGTGACTAAATATTAGGTATTTACCTACAAAGTTGCCGCTTAGTTTACAAAAAGTTAAAGTCATATATTTTTTATTTCTATCAATCAAAATGTGCACCCATATTTTCGATGCATCTCTACTAGCGCATTGATAATTTTTCAATGGCCTGTTTGAAGAAGTCAGGTGTACGGAAGCCGTTTGCTCCAACCGCATTTTGTACTTACTGCCTTTCGGGTATTGAATTTTTCTCCCTGTGAAAAAGTTGTCCAAACTTTGGATAATGTAGAAGTCTAATGAAGTGTAGAAGTGAGAAGCTAAGAAGCGGATGACGCAACCCTAGCTCTTATATCTTAGAGACCGCAAGCAAGATCGAAAAACCTAAAGGCACTTATTTTGTAAAAAAAAATCGTCTCATAAAACAGTTCACGATAAATTAAAACCAACATTGGGGAAAGACTATCTACTCAAAAAAAATTTAAAATCCTATTTCAATTATTTATTTACACACGCAATCTTGTTAATTATATTCTTCGTCAAGTATTTTGGTGCTGATAATCATAAATTTAATAAAGCTGTTAACTGCCCATGTCTGTCTTCGCTAGGCACAAAGTAAAAAAGCCCCACAATCGAGTCAAGAATCGATGACAGTTTCTTTCTTGTAGAATTTATTTATAACTTTATAGAACGATTAATATGAATGAAGAAAGACGTGATAAATTGTTTTCAGTCTTCTATCTTGTAACAAAGTAGACGATCGTCCCAGCAGGAGGCCGATGACACGTGCGGGCTTACGTTTGTAATGTGGTCAGTGATGTATGCGCCAGAAATAACTCGTCTAAATCTAGGTAGATCATGATGTATGGAGCAGGTGAACTTCGATGTCTGATGCAGGCTACAAACGGTCACAATACTAGATACACACCGCTTTAGGCTATTATGTGCGCCAAAGAAGATGAGAAATCGGTTTCGCAGACTATATGCGTTTTTTTTTGTAATTGATGTTATTTCTCGAAGATGTCAAAGATCTGTAGAGGCTCTTTTTTATTGTCTGGGTAGAAAGGCGAATATACAGTCCGCTTGATGGTGAGTGAACACCGTCGCTTATGAACGTGAATAATGCCAGGGATACAACCAATCCTTAAGGAGTCTCCTCAAGCGTTTGAAGAAGATCAAGTCATAGTGCTCAGGCAAAACTATGGAGGAAAATTCATTTCATGACCGAATGATATATGGTAAAAAAATCTGGAAACACTATGGCTGAGCGCAGTGGCTCTACGCCGTAGGTATATGTTGAACTTGTGGGGTGCCAAGGTAAAAGGTTATCATTGGAAAATCTTAAGCTTTAAACCCTATGTGGGTGTACAGTAAACGATTTATTCGTATAATATTAGACAAACAAGCTTGATAAATAAAATTGCAAACACAAAATTGTAATGCCGAAAGGACAAGGGGCGATAAATCTTAAACTAAAATGCCTTTAAATTTTGTTACTTTGGCACAGAATTACATTCAGCAACTGACGCTAGTCGCATAATTGGTGCGTAAAATTATGCTTTGCCTAAATTAATTAACCAAACCTTTAATGTCGTATTATGTGCATATTTCTTAAATTGATATTATACTGGGACAGCACCATAATATTTTCACAGTGGTACTATAAAGCCGCAAAAAAAGCTTTTGTCATTATTCAACTAACAATCTTATTAGATACTAACACTAATTAACAATCTTAAAAGAATAAAAAGGTATTCTAGAAGGTTACCTTTGCTAATGATAGTTTTCTCTTCCAAGGCATTAACAATTGTAATCTTTCACGGGGTCATTGTGCCCAGCGCGGCGTTTAAAATAGAATTATACATTATTATGGTTTGACATTTTCCAGTCTTTGCCGTTACGTGCGTCATTTGAAATGTGAGCGTCTATCGAGAATACTAGAGAAATATAAATAGTGTTCTAGAGAACATTTATCGTCAAACCAAACTATAGTCTGTATGATACAAATAATCAATGAGATATTAAACCTCATTGTAAATCTTTATCTTAATAACAGACAGAAGATAAGCTGTCCCACTTTAAACACAATTATGACATACTATGCTATGTAGCTAACGTGCTAATTGTGGGCATTCATGAACAAATCCATGAACTTCTTAAATTAACTATTTTAGTTATATTAAAAAAAACGAGATGTATTCAGCTAAACTGGAGAAACTGAAGATGTGCCAATACACATTAAATCAAATAGGTTTTTTGGGAGGGAAGTATTATTGGTGGCCTAGAGATTCTTTCGGCAATTCTTTTTTCGAAGCATCATTAGGACGGATTGACGAACTCCAGGGGTTCGAGCTAGGAATATTGAAGCATTACCAAAACTGTACTAGTGATTAAGTGCTTTGTAGGTCCGCACAGGTGTAACCAACATCCGTTTCTGATAAAATTGAAACTCTGGTCTCATTGTGAATAGTGGCATTCGTTGCGATATCCACGGACTCTGGTAATACTAGGTAACCCGTAATCTGTTTCCCTACTATAGTAGGTATAACAAAAAAAAATTGCCAAAAATTCTATTCTATCGATTGAACGATTATTTTAATAAAATAACATTAATCAAAACTACTTACTAATTTGTTTTGTTATCAACGTCCGATTTCGTATTTTTTTCACACGAACGAAATGCTTAGATATATTGGTGGTAGGACCTCTTGAATTTACTGGTGGTAGGACCTCTTGAGTTACTAGTGGTAGGACCTACCTCTTGAGCCCGCACGGGTAGGTACCACCACCCTGCCTATTTCTGCCGTGAAGCAGTAATGCGTTTCGGTTTGAAAAGTATTGTAACTATTCTGTAGCCGTTGTAACTATTCTGAGACCCTTAGAACTTATATCTCTCAAGGTGGGTGGTGCATTTACGTTGTAGATGTCTATTGGCTCCAGTAACCACCTAACACCAAGTGGGCTGTGAGCTCGTTCACCCATCTAAGCCAAAAAAAATAATACAATATTTAAATTTGATTCCATTATTTAAATCTTTACGTCTCAGTGTAGTATGTATTGTTAGTTAATACAAAAGTCGGAAGGCATTAACGACACCGAAACACGTTATATTTCCACGACCTAGTTCTATGCTATTCTTGTTTTAACACGGGCAATAAATAATGATGCACGTTAAGTTCAACGCACGTATACATCGCTTTAAGCACTCAACGACTGGTCGACGGAACATTTATGTAGTAGGTATAATGTATTTATTTATTTAAATCAAAATACAGTTTAGCTTTGTAAAACTATAGCAATTGAGTTGCTCTTATAAAGAGAAACAACATTTAAAGCTATTGCTTCACCATTATTTTTATATCATTTTATATTTTTAATATTGCAAAAATGCTCTTTATATGTCTAATGTTCTAATGTTTTAATAATCGAAATTCTATTTTTTTTTTTTTTTTTTTAATTTATTGAAAGCATTGGCAACACGGCCATCAGCTTAAACTAATTTTACAAAAAAAATAGAACATGAACTAGAACTTACAATAAAACACAAATAAAAGAAACAAACCAAACCAAGAAACAAATACAAATCATTGAAAATAACAAATTAATGACAAAATGAATTGCAAGAACTTACTATAAAAAAATAAAAACTTACAAGTTTTCTTTCAACAAACAACAAAAAAAGAATATGAGTCGTTATAAAAAAATAATTAAACTTGCACATAAGCAGGAGACCTATGATACATTCATGAATTATACATTCATAGTCGTCCTATAGTGTG